AAACATGAGAAACTACAGCAGAATGTTAACACAAGTGAAGAAAGGACTAAACCCATTTTGCATTTAATGACTGGAGATGCAGAAAAGTGGCGTTAAGGCACCCCTGCGGGCCCTATCAGTGGTTGTTCGACTTTGATGCATTGCATTGGGACTGCAAGCCTTTCGCATGAATTAAGCGTACCAATTTTCCTCATCTACTTACGCCCCTGGAATGATGTTAGTAGGTACCGATTTCTACCACGTACGACAATGTCGAACAAAGCTTTAGTACATATTCTCAAAATATATGAAAATTTTCTATTTTTTTAAAGACAGCACGAATGTATTTTATCATATATTGAAGATATAAGTTATGAGGATGAGGCTCCGTTGCTCTATTTACCAAGGTTGGACTCTAGTGTAATACCGTTCAGGTTCATACTAACATATTTCAGGGGGTCGAGTGTAGTTCCATGCACCTTTCGGATACATAGTGGTCCAATGTCAGCTGCATCCCATCTTTCTAGCCTACATCAGATCGCGGGCCGCCCCTAGACTAGATCCTACCCAGTTTAGAGACCAACTTCTTTATGCCGGCTTGGTATTTACAGTTACCTCCTAGTTACGTTTTCTCCATCTACACACGTAATTATGTCCCGTTTAAGATAGAAGCTCTCCCCGCTGGTTATATATCAATATCTCGAAGGTCATAACGACTTTTCAAGCCGCCTCGGAGAAGGCAAAAAGCAAATACCTAGGTAGACATGCGGTGAATTGAGGCGTACATACAAGTGGAACAGCACGCTTGACAGATCCACACACCCCTGACAAGCCTTGGCGCAAATCTGAAGTCCCCGGCATCAAGATCAGCCCAGACGATTTTCTATCAGCTCGTTCAGCTTCATATCAGGTTTGATCTCCTCGAGGATATGAACTTCCTAGGTTTGGGAGAGCTCGAGAAGTGATCGTCTGTCAGTAATTTTATTTGACACCATCGGCGCGATATGTGGAAGTTATCGCCTCATCGCGTGCCAGGCAAAAACGTAAAGAGTCATAATCCTAGTTGTAAATCATTTTTAATCGACGGATACCATGAAGACATGCTGTCATTCTAAGGCAGGAATGAAGCCGATTTTCCATGTAAGTATCAGGTTCATCTTATCTTGTTCGGCTGAAAGGATTATGCCTTTTAGGTTCCTGGTGATATTGCTGCTCTCGGCAAATAAGTTCTGCAGTACTGGCCGGATGGGTTTCTTATTTAAAGACGCGCTTCAGTTGGAATGATCTCGCCCAGTTTAAATGTAGAGGCTATATACATCATATCTACTAATTTTAACAGTGTCGACAATTTATAAAAAGAAAACCAAAAGGGGTTAGATATGTATTTTATAACGCCTAGCAAAACACGATAGAATCGTAAGGTCTATGTGCGTCTGGGCTGCTGTTGTACTTCGTAGCGTTGCATGATGCGAAAAACTTAGATCAGGATCTCCCCTGGCCTTCCCCATTTTCATCAGCCATTTTACCGGGCTGCTGGGACTAAATCAGAGCTGGTGTGAACCCGACTCGCAAGTAACTGGAAGGCTTGTGAAAGGCAGAAAAGCAATGCCATGTATTACGCCCCCACAACTGCCACCGGTACTTACAAATAGACTTGGCTGGAGGGGTTAAATACCTAGGTAGGTAGCTATTTTAACAGGAAAAAATAATTCATATTATTTGTTAAGCCATTCAAACATGATTTCTCGACGTAACATCATCACGAGCTTATTTGGGAACATTCTTTCGATACGACGTCAAATCCGGGTATGTTCGACCGCGCAGGAAGAGAGAGAGATGACTGAAGGAATGTAGAAAAAGTAAAACCATAAGAGCCGCCACGGTGCTGGCTGACTATGTAATAACTACATACCCTCACAATCAAGCTGGCAGGTAGTGGAGCAATAATATGTCACGCCAGTCAGCCCTAGGCGTTGGGGGTTCTCCTATTTTACAACTAATCCAGATCCGACCTACCTAAGTACGATATTCCTTCATTTTCCTTGCATCAAATCCAAGCCTGTTGGTCTGCGTTTCGCCTTAGCGACCACTTCAGTTGGGGTTAGTAGTTCACATATGATGAAAAGGAGTTTAAACCGATCATTGGCTCTTGATATAACAGGGGTGCGTCATTACTTTCAGGCTATCGTCCCATGCTCGTGCTTTGATGCGCTTTCTGGCGCCGGGATCAACAAGGAGACATGGATGGGCTACAGATGAGGTATGGGGCGTCATCGATTAACTTGGATTGGAATACCTCCAGCTAGGTTTATAGAAAAATATTATAAGAGCTCTCTGGAAAAAGTCCAGATACTCAAGGAGCCGGAGAGCTGTGGCCACTCCCGTCAAATCCTTGCTCATCCTTGTTCATCCCACCTAGCATGTCACAGATTTCCCATTTGCATAGTCCCAGAATACTGGTTGAACCGTTTCAACGTGATGTTGCTAGGTTAACAACTAGTTGCTCTTCTCGGTGATTTGCTCTTTGCCTGGTTAACCGATTCATTAAGGGATTTTGCGTAGGTACGAATTATCCATTCTTTGGGTCAACTATAGCACACCTTACTCGGCGTAAGACTTATCCGTTCTCTTGACGCCTTAGCGTATGTACATACACGTGCATCACGTCCCCCCTGAAGCTTTTGAGAATTACAGCCGGTGTCCCAACTGGCTATTATGGGAATAATGGTACAATAGAGTTAGTACTTACATGATGAGGATAATCTATGGCTAGTCGGAGGCATTTCTGGTGCATAATAGGTCGGTTAATCCTCTTGGTTACAAGGTTGTTTGTCCAAATGTTATGGGTTGAAGTGAAGGAAAACCATTGAAAGTTGTGATAGATGATATCCGCCTCATATTTATCATCGAGGCGAGACGGTAATAGGAATTGGCTGCTCAATATTCCAAATAACTTCGCTTTTTGCCAGTATCTTCCAGCCAGGATTTAATATCGTTTTTTTCGAGTGCGCATCAGTCGAGACAAGCGTATTAGATTATTCTTTTTACTTTTCATTGCTCTCGTCATCAAATTTTAGTCCGCGTCTCCTCAGTCCTATTGCTTCACGGGGAAGAAAGTGCCTGCATGTCGTAAAGCTTGGGGGGGATGTTCCTCTACTCCGCAGATCACTGGATCATACGCCACTCACTGGTCGCTCATAGTTCCTGATATATACTCAGGGTCTGCCCCAGACAGATCTTCTCCCGCAGTCGCTTCCCGTGCCCCGACCCAAAGAGCCTTTCCTCATCTATGCCTATCCGTAGACACCGAGAGGAGAGGATAATACAGAACCGCCCTTCGCCTTTTTGACTTGGAAGATCCAGTCCCGTCATCGCTGCGGGAACTTCCCGGTTCCGTGGGCCGTGCTCACGTTCGATCAGAGCTTCTTAGCTTCTAGCTTCAAGGGTGGCGTCCAGCTATAATCGTCTCTACGTTCACACGTCCGTTGCCGGCTATCGACCTGGTCAAATTTTTAGTATCGCTGAAAATTTTACCGCAGGACCAAAACGCATGCGTCGATCAAAAGAGGCATATTCTTCGATTATAACCCTACGCATAATCCTTTCCCGCCTAAAGGAGTGTTTTGTCGTGTTGCAGTTAACGCTCTGGACGTTGCCGAAGATATCCATTTGGCCCATCAGTAAACAAGCCTCAGAACAGAGACCCGGAACGGCGTACACTAAGCTTCCCGATCTAGATATATGGTGGGCCCTTGTTCCCAACCTAAGGAGTTACCCCAGGTATAGAAGCCAAGGAGGTGTGGGCATCCGTGTGCGTTGTCCTACCACGCCATCGCTGTACCTTGCTAAGTAATCATAGCCCCGGCGGTTCTTGAATGAGAGTCAGGCTGCTTTTCTGGTCGGTTGCATATCTCATTCTAGGGCAACAGACGGCTTTACGGAGTCGATTGGCCCATTTCCGGCTCGCTCTCCACCATATTCTACTACCTCCCCCTAACCACTGTTACCATATTTCGGTTTATACCGGCCATAAGGAGTGGGTGATAAGTTCGGACTGGAAACCTACTAAACGCTGCCCTCTATCGTTCCCCGTCAGGTACACCAGCCCGTAAGAAGCCACAACGCAGAGGCCTTCCATCCCCCCATTCGCAGGGCAAACTGCAGGAAGCGGGCGTACTCCTTGGTCTTCCCGTTGGACGGTCTTGTTGATGGTACCTAATCGGCATCGAATAATTTTCTCAAGACAGACAATTCCTAGAGGACACGTAGCTAATCGAATATATAACCTCCTTCGAGCCACCTAGGCGCATGATAAATATAATGTCCTATCGGTACGCATCGCCACAAGAGTTCTCCGAGTTAGGGGCTTCGCAAGCCGGCTACATGAGTAGTCATCTATCATCGACAAGTTCCAACATAGAGGTAAGACTTACCAGCAACTATACTAGCACAGCCTCCCATCTCCACCACATCATCCATTTTGCCAACAGTTAGCACAGAGCAACCAGTTTCCCCCCGCTCGGCGACGAGAGTCCCTGTCTCAGGAATTCAAGCTAAAAAGGTCCGTCTCGACCCCTAACGTGAGGCCACAGGGGACGAACGACGCCGATCCCGGGACATTTGATCCTCCCAACGAGAGGAGGAGAAACAGGCTTGGCTATCATCGGACACCGATTGCTTGTAGTAAGTTGTCACCGCGCCGGACATTAAGTGGCTTCGAAAGGATTCGTACGAGAACTAAAGTGTAGCGTGGTATCATAGAACATTGCCGGAAAAGAAAGATCAGATGCAAAAAGCCCGAGAGGCCAGACGTGCTAAGACGATGTGAGAGTTGCATTAATCTCAATATTCCATGCACCTACTCTGCAGTAAATCAACCACCTCCGCCCACTATGGGACAAAGACAAGGAACGCGAGCCTCTGTTGGAGCAGGCTATGCATCACCCTCCACGTCTCCAGCGATACCGACAGGACCCACAATGGAAACGCAACCGAATCCGCCATATCACCAGTTAACCACAATGTCATCGATGCAAAGTATGAGCCAGCAGTCGATGAAGGCAGAGGAGGGCGAGGTTTACTCTGCTGAGCCTAATCGTAGGTATAACCCGAAATGCTTTTCCTAGTATTCGTGCCCATGGAAGCAGCTACTAAAAGGCCAAAGTTCCGCCAAACACATCTAGCAGCCAGGCGTTCGGCTACGAGCATGGAACAAGCAGCTGGGTGTCGACAGATCCGGGTCCCGGCGTTGCAAAGACAGCCGGCGGCGCGAATGATCCGTGGGCGGCTTATCCGGACGGCTTGCCGGAAACCGCGGATTTGTCCTCCTATACCTCCCATGCGCCAGTCGCGACCTTGTCGACGGGGTGGTCGGCAACGCCGCCCGGACTTCATAGGGTAGACAGCAGCTCTCGCCTCGATACATGGAGGGCCTATCCACCGGGAACGAGATCAATGTCCTATAGCGACGATCAGTCAGGACAATTCATGCCGCCGACGAGACCATACGAGAGGGTGCAACCGCCGATTGCGACTAATGCTGTGCCGGAAGCAAGCATGGGTGCTCATGGCTCCCTCTCTGCTGGTGCCATGCCGCATGCGACGTACAGTTCATGGCAATTGCCATACCAATATTCCAGATCCAACGAAGATTACGGCGTTTGGTACGAAGACCGTGAGCACCATGCGTCGGAAGCGCATATGTCGTCTGTGGGAGAAGATCCATCACAAGCCGGAGGTATGTACTACGGCGGGAGATGACGTCGAAGTTAGTCACAGGCGTTGCATGGAAGACATATAGACCACACTTGCGGCCGTCTCTCACGCGTTCTCTCCCTAATAACAGTGCAATTTGCTGTGGTCTGCAGTTGGTCTTGACTTCCTCCCTCTCACGTATTAGCGGTGTACGATTCGACGGTTTCTGTTTTCGGAGAAATAGACTAGATAAAGCGAGGAAGCATGAGAAGTAAAAGAGAAGGAGAAGATTACGAATAGGAAAGAGGCTGAGCAACGGAGTTGCCTGAGCGCAAGGAGAGATCTGCGACATATTCGCAAACTTGAAAACACCTGGGGGATCGACAAGAATACGCCATGCGAACCCGTAACGCCGCGACAAAATTGACTTCACAATTCGGAGTTTTAGACAGCGTATCCTATCGTTAGCCAGGTTCCAGTCGGCTAAGTAATCTAAAAAGTCTTCGGCATGCTGGAGAAGGGAGGAATTGCGTAGCATTATTACCCACGAGAGCTTCACACTATCGATTTTCGATCTTCGCCAAGAACCAAAGCGTCACTGTCCTTACCGAGCATAATAGATCTTTGGTTGAGCCGCCGTACCGACGTACCCCCACGAGCCCACAAATCTCATCGGCGCCTGTCAATTGGAGGGAATGAATCACGATATAAGTACGAATGTGGAATGGTGATATAAGATTAGATCTACTAGCATGGATGGGGGGTTTCATATGATCTGGAGTTGAGGGATGGCAACGGGAGTTTCCCATTTGGGTAAACAAACATATGTAGAGGGTAGGCGGCTATAACTCTGCTTCAACTTGGACACCTCGCTACCAATCTGTGCGCTCTCGATGGTGGACTTTCGACAACCGATGCGGCCTCCCGTCTCGTCCCTACCCGCGCTTCTTCGGCCCGGGGTACGGACAAGCAGCCGAAACGGACAATTCGGGTCCAAGTCGAACAGGACCCCGAGAAGCAAGATGGACACTCAATATGAGGCAGCGGGGATTTCTCTTTTGGTTGTATTAGGCGAGTTTTATTTTCATCCACTTCTCGAATCTCGAATGTTACCACCCCTAGATGTCGGTCAAATGTTCAACTCCCTTGTTGCACATGACTTGGGTAACTGAGGAAAAAAGTAAAGAAAACAAAACCGAAGAGTTATGTCTGCAAAAGGCCTAAAGAATAGAAATATTTTTCTGGGCGATAGTCTTATATTGTTTTGTGTTTGTGAAGTATAAAGTCAATGTGTTTCCGATTCTTCTACCTAGCTATGGTGTATCCATACTCGGTAAGGAGGGAGCAAGCCCTTCTAGGTAGATGTCTGCCAAGGTTGACATTATCTAAGGAATCTATAAGTAATTCTGTAGACTCCATTTTTTGTTACTAATATCATAAGAGTGCCAGACCGGTTATAGCTACATCCTTTAGTTAAAACAATTAGCGCTACCCTATCCTGTGGACGCCGGTCGTGTCAATATCAGATGACGAGTGCACAGTTACACAGTAATGCAATTCAAGCCTCTCGGCTTCAGTGTTCCGAGAATGTCTTGAATGTTAATGATATTTCATCTAAATAGTTGGTATATAATTAGTGTTACTAGGTATCTTGCAGTTATGCTTACATCGGCATTGACTAAGCTCGTGGCAGTATCTCACTACACCGGGACTACTAATATTATCGAGTCGCCTCTTTCTGGAAATCGGGTCGACTACATGCTCTTAAGTAATTACGACTTAGACACGGCGACTAGCAGGCTAACATTTAGTATAGAAATCCGTTATAGTACATGACCTATAATAGGTTTTTCGCTACTGCTCGCTTATGTCTCTAGCCGTAAGGTTAGGACGAGTAGACCAATATATGCTCCGATGCTCAGAGACGTGAGGAGGAGGACGCTATTGCCGCTAGTCCGAAACTTATTCTTTAACTCGCCATCATCATCCGTCGTGGTGAAAAATTGCCGGTTACCCTGGTAGCGGCGGTATATAGAACATAACATCACCGTCGTACCGTAGACGGCGAAGAGGGCACCTATGGCGTAGAACTCAGAGGTGAAGATCTTGAGTATGATGAGAGCAAAGCTGAATTGAGACAGGGCTGTTCGCATATATGCCCCTTCGAAAGTCCGCTGGGCAGCTCGGATCTCCACCAACCTACGAGAGCGAGGAATTCGAAGTTAGCAATGATGCTTCAGTACATGCGAGGCTTGTCCCAACAGACGGGTTCCGACATGGATCACTGCTGAGACCTGCGGCGCAGCAGAACTTGAGCCCCAGACTCAAGGTCATCGGCGGATTGTGAAGGCAGACATAGAATCACAAGAATCCGACTTACTCTTGTGATGTGAGGATTACCGAGCGAGCGCGGTGTAGTCGCAGGTGAAGGCGATCTTCTGGATTTGGCTATAATTAGACAGGTCAACAATCAGCCAATTCCGTAAGTGTAGCAAGCACCAGGGGGTTTTTTGACGTGTGACATCGCCTTGCTAATCGGGATGGTACCGACAAAAAGACACTTTTCTGTCTATACTAAAACAGTACAAGAAACTCACCTGGAACATGATTTCCCATTTACCTGCAAACTCTAGTATCCTTATTAAATCGACCTGTATACAGTTCGGTCCATAATATGCATTTTGATAACAGCTTGTCGATATCTACTGGGTACCTGCATGAGGCGAAAAAAGGTACCTACCTAGGCTATCGACCTTGTGAAGCTCATAAAATAATATTGCGGGGATCTGGACGAACCCCACTTCCTTATTTACCGTAGGTACAGCTGGGAAGACCCCAGTCAGCTGGCTGCCACATTTCCCTAGTTGTCTCACCAATGCACCTATTTCCAAGTTATGTATGAGACAATATAGACTTTTCCACGAGTGCTCTAGGTACTTAGGTAGTGGTAGGTCACGTACCTACTAGGTAGATAATAGCCGTATTTCTAACCCCATATCTAGTGTAGGTAGGCATAACTATTTGAGGTCATTCCAACACCCTATCGCTTTTAATGCAGATCAAATGGATTCATAAGAATGGAAGCAGAATAAAAGGAGCAAGGAAAGAATCCACATGAACTTACTGTACACTAGGTTCGGGCAAGAGTATCCTTTATTATGAGTAGGTATAATAATAACGGCCTTGATGGCTTCTAATATTAGCATTCAGGGGTAGAGCAGGTATATGCATAGGTACGTACTACGTATGTATCTATATTATGGATGTATGTATGATCTAAGATAAGCTGCTAACCGATATAGCGATCTAAATTGCAGCAATAAAATTGAAGGTGTCTTGAATTTCATGGCAGGCACGGCCTTCTTAGACACTTATGGTTCAATTAAGAATTCGGGAAAATTATAGGACGAGCACGTGAATTGTTTCTATGACCTTGCAGCCTTGCTTTGCTTATTCTTCATTTCTCCATTCGAAAATTAAAACCCAAAAAAATCAAAACTACGGAACTTGTTGGATTCCAAACCGAAATCCTAACGACTTTGATACTTCAATGATGCAACACTCTGCGGCACAGCAACACTTAACACTTGGCGCACGTGATAGAGATCCTGATTCTGAGAAATCGCTCTATGCGCATAATCAAAGTGGTTTTTTCATTCTTTATTAGCGGGCCATGTTGCATCGCGCCGCGCGGTTAAAATCAGATTTGGCGCTGTGCCATTCTCCATCTTGGTCGGTTTATTCCTGTTTCTGTACCCGCGGCTGGTTCCGGTCTAGGAATCGCAATTCGGTCTGAGACAAATCGTAGGCTTTGCTCCCATTGTCTCATTCTCTAATATTCGACACAAGCCACGTCCCGGTCTCCCATCTCCGGCGAGGCATTGGATTCGGATTACCTAGGTACTTGAGTATACTGCTGCATATATCGATTTCGCCTTGTGCAGATTGCAGATTGCAGATTGCAGAACCAGAGCCTCGTTACACATTCACACATTATCTCGACTCGTCCTGGCTGTGCCGCCCGCAGTCAAGGCTGTGCTGGCTTTGGTGCGCTTAATGGATCACCACGGATTCCACGCTACTGCGAGTTATCAAGGTAGGAACCGATGCATGCAACTCTATCATATATGCTTAATGTTGAATAAGCGTTCACATTATCAAATCGGTTCTTCTATCTTCTATTTCTTCGCAGCCTCATGAAGATAGGAAGAATTGAGATGAGAGCATACCTTGTTGTTGACGGATTCAAGACTTCCTGGACATTCCTGCTTCAGCTAGCGGGTCACTTTGTCAGGTCGTGCTACCGTGACATTTTGCTGGCTCTCTTTTCTGCCAATGAGAGGATCGAGACGACGGTTAGAGAATATCTATTTTCTATTTCTTTTACTTGTCCGAATTTGTGGTGCGGCTAGAACAAGAAGGAGGGGGTATCATCATTATGTCATCTTCCGTATTTTGAATATTCGGCAGTGATATTATACTCATGTTCATAGATGCTTTCGGTGTATTATGGCCACTGCCACATAGCACCGCCATAGGTGTAAGTATTCGTGGTAAAACGGGCTGCCAGAATGTCATCATTTTGACTCGGGACAAGCCTCACTTGGCAATCTATCCCGTCATCAGAAGTGCCTTACTGCATACGATCTCACATGCAGACATGGCCGGAGGTGGTGGGCTTACAAGTGGGGTTAGACCTGGTCTCCTCTTCGGGGCTGAGAAGGAAGCGAAGAATGCCTTACTACCCCTGTCGACCAATGGGGAGAACGCCTAGCTGGTCTAGCGATGACAAAAATGATGGATATTCGTCCAATCAAACAACGCCAGAAGCTTTCGAGGGGGAGCCGCAGTAGTGCGCGAGCCGGGAGCCCTATCGTCGATGTATCGATTCCGCCAAAATTGCCTTGTCTACATCCATGGATGGTGTACCGCCCGTTTTAGGTCACCCTATTATTCTAATTCTACTATTCCCTCTCCTCTCTGCCCCTTCTCCCTATCCAATTGCCAATCTATCATCTCCCCTCACCCACAGAACTACCTAGTATTAGCTTGTTGAGCCTTCGATTCTCGTTCCGTTATTTCCCCTGTATCTTTGCACGGCCCCTTCGCAGTCCCCAACCCGCCGGTGCAGGTTTCGATCAGATTATCTCAGACATAACGGACAGAAAGGAAGTATTTCCACTTTCGCGCCGAGTTCCGTTCGACTCCACTTCCCATTAAGCGCCGCCGCAGTATCAAGGTACCGACTTACCCCCCAGTATCGTAGCGTCAAGTCTCTAGCAGAGACCTTCTTCTATTTTCTGAACTTCTTCTGATAATCAAACCGAGAACTAGACTTTTCTATTCCCAACATCATTATCTACGTTGTATATTATACGTTAGCGCATGGTGTAGTCGAAGAGAGCCGATCCGTGAAGATACCGGTTGCGTTCAGCTCGCGAGGCTCTCACTCGTTTCAACTCACGACTGCTGCGCGCTGCTCTGTCGTGTAGGAGGAACATGGTCTCTTTCTGACGACTTTTATTAGGAACCACGTCGTTCCAGTACTATACTTTTCTTTAATATATACTAGCCTCGAGTCACCTGCCTGTCCCCAGCTATGACTATGAGTGCGGGATACACAATTTCGCCCGCGTCGCTCGACCTTCGCGACCACCTAAAGGATCGGGCGCAACAAACCCACCACGACACCCATTACAACTACCATTACAACCACAATCAGAAAGGACCTGTCACTCCCGTCGAGTCCCATCTCCTGTCGCCATATTCTTCTCACCTTCAAAGCAACTCTGCCTCCCCTACGGGCAACTTCAACACCCCCGCAGACTCTGTCTCCACCGATATCTACCAGTCGAGTGACTTTAGCAGCAGCGAATTTAGTGACGCTTTTCTCACTGTCGATTTCGACAACGTTGGGAGTGGTGTGCCTCAATTCCTCGAAGGCTTTGACGACTCGCAAGACTCCCTAAACTATCATACACAAGACGAGGACAATGAAGTTATAAATGTTAAGTATCCTTTGAGCCCTCACCAGACGCCTTGTATACCATCAACCTCGGCATTTAGCGATAGTGTAGATGCAAGCACCGACTTAAGAGCTTCAGCACCAGCTCAGCAATTCGCAAACCAAGCTCGACCCTCTACGAATTCTGTTGACTCGAACCAATCTGCGCCGCAGCTGACGCCTGATACCAACGGCGGTAGTTTTTCAAGTGATGATCACTCTGCACCAACTACTCTCGCCATGGCCACGCAGAGTCCGCGCGTGACTGTTTCCATGTGGAATAGGGATGAAGACGCTCCGATACAAGGTGTTGAGAGGTCTTTCACTGCGCGCACTGAAAGTTCTCGGGCAGTGCAGGCTTCGCACAGTTTGGCCGGCGATTTAGCTGGGGATCCGACTCATGAGAATATACCAAATGTGTTACGGGATGCGCACGGTAGCTGGATACCACACTCTGCTGCCGGATACCGGGGTCTCGCTCCTGGAGATCGTCCTTCTGGGGAGGTCCCAAGCCCCAACCAGCAAGCTTCTCGCAGGGAGCGTGATGAGAAGAATAAGGAAGTCTTCGACTGGGTTTGGTCGGCTGGCAATCCAAACGACCTCTCTGGTGGCTCGGATGGCTCTTCTAACATAGTTGTTGGCGGACAAGGCTCGGACGACGACAACATACCGACTGGGGAAATTCCTCTGGGGAACACGACTGAGAATAAACACCTCCCTGGTCAGGCGTATCTTAATGTGGACGCTCCTGGAGGACCGCTCACGCAAGCTGATTTCGATATAATGCGACAACTTCCAACTTGGGGTGATGCGCCGGCCATTCATGCCATCCAATCAGGTAGTTCTCGATACCAGCCGGCGACATCACAAGCTGCCATCGAGAAGTTCAACCGCCAATGCCAAGACAATGAATCCATTGTTTCAAGAGCAGCTACTTGGGGCACTCGACGGAGGAGCTTGCCTAGTATTGTGGACATGGAAGGAATTGTCAGTGGAAATTTCTTGAAAAAGCTGTCCATCAGCGGACATACTCGTCGGCCGAGCTTTATTAAAAGGTTTCCTAGTCTCGTACGGAAGCCTAGCGCCAGCCAAATCTTGAAGCGCAAGAATAGCAATGCTAGCGATGTGTCGCCAGAGGAGTCTGAAGATAATGAGCGTCGCCGGGAGTCTAAGGATACCTTGGCACCACCGTCGCGCACGTCTAGCTGGGGAATTAGTGGGATCAGTGGAATTAGCAAGAAGCCCACGCCTAGCCTGAACACAGCTTTAGTTGGAATGGCCACTGGCGCTGCTTCCATAGGCACCACCCATGCCCGAAGTGGTTCGATTAGCGCAACCTCGATAACTTCTCCTAAAAGCCCGTTCGGATCCCTAGGACCTCCCGTAAAGAATGCTCTTACAAGAAGAAGGAGCAAGACGGAGCTTCCCAGGGGATCCAACCCAGAAAATATAATCGGAATGCTGAAGAAACAAGGTGGCCCACCCGTTGCTTCACTGGCAAGAACTAAGCCGGCAGTGGAACAAGACGAGGACGAGGACGAGGACGACGAGGGATTTGACGACGGCGATATCAAGACCGAACCTAATAGACTTCAAATCATCGAGCCGACTTTCGCGGGTTTCCGGAGTCATATCATGGGTTTGAATCCTCAGTTCCCACGCGAGAACAGCTGGTTGGCTGACCGTATTGCGCACCAAATGGTCATGCGCTACAAGCAGCTTCAAAGTGCTAAAGTCAGGCATTTGAACCAAGTTAAGCAACAAAAATGCCCTTGTGGTCCAAGGTGCCTTTCGCTTGGCGGATCAGCAGTGTCCTTAGAGGGCAGGGGAGGTGAGCGAGGTGTCGACCCTTTATCAGCTCGGCCGGATTCCTCGGATGGTGACACCAACCCACTCGAGGGCGGTATCAACTCGGAAAGTTTCCCTCTGGGTATTCCTATGCCTCCGATAATGTCTCTCCCAGCCGAATTCGAGTGTCAGCTGTGCTTTGCGAGCAAGAAATTCCAGAAGCCCTCTGACTGGACCAAGCATGTCCATGAGGACGTTCAGCCGTTCACGTGCACTTGGGAAAAGTGCCGTGATCCGAAGATGTTCAAACGGAAAGCTGATTGGGTCCGTCACGAAAACGAGGGCCATCGCCACCTTGAGTGGTGGCTGTGCGACGTAGATGACTGCCGGCACGTATGCTATAGACGCGACAACTTCCTGCAGCATCTGGTTCGCGAGCACAAGTACACTGAACCGAAGATCAAGACGAAAGCCGCCATCAAGAAGGCTGGCGGCGGTGATCGTACGTGGATGAAAGTAGAATCATGCCACGTAGAAACCCAAGTTAAGCCGTCCGAAGAGCCTTGCCGATTCTGTCGGAAGACTTTCCCTACCTGGAAGAAACTTACGGTCCACTTGGCAAAGCACATGGAGCACATCAGCCTCCCTGTTTTGGACGTAGTAAAAAGAAAAGAACTAGATGCGGACACGGTTATCAGCCCAATTCAAGACCCCCCACGCCCTAACTTCCCGGTGTCTTCAATCAAACAGGAACCTTCGACGTTTAGCCCGCAAAGCGCTAGTATGGCGTCGAATCCCATTTCGATGGACTACACCCCAAATAATCTCAATTACGGCATGCCAAATATGTCACTGCAAAATTCCTTCTACGGCCAGCACCAGATGGCTCAGCAATATGCTGATATGTCCCCTAACCCAGGGACTAACTTGATGACGCCAAATTATAACATCCCTCAGCCTCCACAACCACAATACCATCCGTTGCCGGTCACCACGGGCCCCTCTTATGGCTCTTCTGCAGATGCCTACACGAATATGCAGCCTCAGCCAGAAGGACTGGAACCATTCCCCCAGCTCGATCTGAACCCCCTAGGGATCCAGGAGCCTGGTGGATCTTTTGGCTACGATAACCTCGGGAATCCTGCCATGCAGCCCGTCGAGCAGTATGGCAATCATCCAGGTTCAGTCTCACCATACGGCCACTCACCTCACCAAGGTCATGGGGCCTTCTACAATCCATGAATGATATACCAACTATTTCTTTTTCATTGCGGTGCACGTTTGGAATTCTCCTTACAACAGATACCCCCGAGCTGGAGTTCGCCGGATGGCCTTGGTTGAGCAGGGTATACTTCTCTACGTTCCTGAAATCATTTACTTAGGACTTTTTATATGCAATCTAACGATATCCCATGGCGTTATTTGGGCGATATGTATATCATGTTTGGATTCACGTCCGGTCCCCACAAGACCGCTGAATCTCTCCAGCCGTTCTATGTCGTAGTGTATCTCTTATGTCGGGAGCGCACACGTAGCTGGACTGGGTTCTTTTCGTCTCTCTTTTTTTTTTTCTCTAGGGCAATGTTTGGTGGTAGAAAAGGGTTACGAATGACTTTTGGGTACGAAATGATGGGCGGGCGGATAACGAATTCTTTCCAAGAATAAATAACGGCAGCGGAATGCACACAATCCGATCTGATGAGAAGCGCTTTCTTTCTTTTCAAGTCGTCGGGACCGGAGGGCGGTTTGGTGTGCTTTTCTCTAGATCTCAATAGACTTCTCGCTTATATTTCATGAATATTGGATCTTATCTTGGCTTGTGACCTTGCGGACTCGGTTGAGGTTTAAATAAGTCTTCGAGTTCTTGCATTTACCCCGGTCCGGAGGCCTCCGGTGTTTATCTGGGACAGGCGGGTCTTAGGGATTTCCGGATTGTGTATGAGCCACCGCCGTGAACCTTCGACTTCCCAATCTACCTGGTGTACCAAGTTTTACTTGACATAACTGTGGAGTTACCTAGGCATCTCGGCGCATCGCATTCTCGAAAGCTATGATCCTCCCCGCGTGCGTAGTTTATACGTGACAGAAGTTGGAGCCCCTTAACGAGCAAGTTTCCCGAACTTCGCGGCGGAACGGGTCACAGTCATAAAGGAATCGCAGTATTACTATATGCCAGATCGTATTGCTTTCGATAGGTTGGCTCGCGTCACGCATAAGTTTGAATAAATTTAAGCTTAATCACGGCGGGTGATCAAACCGAATACTAGTAATACTAGCTTCATTTCGCACTCGGCGCCGAAAGCCGCTCGGTTTTCTAGGGGTCTTCATAAATCGTTCTATCTCCAGCCAATTTCTTATGTTGTACGGTATTTTAGTAACTTTTCTTAATCAGCGACCTCGGGATCGCGGCGTCGACCCGGATGACTGGTCAATTTCATTTGATTTACGCCCTAAGTACCTAATCCATCAAGCATCCATGTTTCAGATCGCGCCGCTCAGGTCATTCGCATCGTTTGCGCCCACAACTAAAGAATTGAAGATTGATTGAAATAACATACCAGATCGTTCTCGAAAGGGATGACGATGGACTTTTTGGTGCCTCATGATATGGTCGAATATGTATATTTATGCCATGTGGTCTATTTGAGCATAATGGCATTAAATTGTCTGATATCCGTGCAGGCTCGTATGGCTAGGGCCGGGATTAGTAGGTTCGTCATGTTAGATCGCTTGGGTCGATAGGTAATAAGATGAACGAGACCTAACATTAGAACCCTCGTTGCACGTGAATGTGCGCCTGGACATGTAGGTATCAATCGATCCCAGAATGCTCAGAGTCGAGGATCATGGAACGACACTAGGAATAGAACAAAAAGTACGATCGAAGATCACTCCTCGTGTACGTAGATAACCCCGACATTTATGTGACGTATACTATAATGGAAGCCAGGATTCGGGGGGCAGCTCGATGAGAATCTTTCCCCTTTTCTTGCGATCTTGAGTCCCTTCCAAGGCATCGTTCTGCTAACTCCTGTTTTGAATGTGGCTTGGAATTTAGAGGTCGGAAGTCGACCAGAGTTGACCTGGCAGAACCCCTGACGGCGCCGCGGCGGACAGGGCGGATACCCCTACCAGGAGAGCCTCTAACGCGCGATTCTTAAGATCGGTTAACAATTTTTGGCCAATCATCGGCTTCCCTCCCCTTTCTATCCCATTTCCGACCAACCAGATTCCGGACTTTAATCTCAATCTAGACTTGCTTTGTTCTTGGTCGATTAATGAGGGCCCCTCTGATAATTATGCTTGCGTACTACCGTATCGGACTATATTCCTTAGCTCTATTAACACAGCACACCAGGTGCTTTTTTCATATGCACAATACAATCCCATGATAGGTGACCCCGACCGCTTCTACCGCCGCGTCCTTCGACTGAGGTGGTGGTCGTTTGAGACAGTGTGAATCGTTTTCCTATCTGCTATTAGCTAATTCTCACCGTGTTTCGAAAATTCCAAGATGGCCGCCCTTACGCTGCCGAGAGAGGCCATACTAAGCCATGGAGGTTGCCGGATTGTCCAATGATCTGCGAAGGGGGTCGGTTTCATGTGGGTTAGCTTAGCCCCCCCAGTCGCACTTCTCGGTGCGGCCCCACGACGATGGCGCCGACAGGGGTAATGAGACTGGGGTACTGGACTGCGAATGTTCACTTGGTAAGGGACGTGCCAGCCAGTCAACGTCGGCCTATTCCATTCGAGGAGATAGATCTCTTGTCAGGGGCCTGGACGACCTGGACGATGCACATCTTTTGATCTTGGCTTCCTCGCCAACCATCTTGCTCTGACCTTCACTCTTTTTCCTTTGGCGCCTTTCCCTACTTCTGCTTTAAGTCGTATTTTGGTGATCTTCTCGCACACTCGTTTGCTGCTCTCAGTAAGAATCGTTTCACATATGCGCCGACGTCGACCCTTTCTCGCACACCATCGTCAACCTTTTCGTCATCGTTGACAACCGTTTCCAAGCTTCTATTTTACCATAACAAGGAGAGATCTCGGGGTGTTACCAATTCTTTCATCCCCTTTCGCGGAGGGCAACTTGTTGCCATTTTCCATTCTTTCCACAGGTTGATCCTTGGCCATTTTTTGGTTTCCACGGCTTTTCTTTAGGCCAACCAACACTCTCTTTACTCTCTCATGCTCTTTGTCTTATACGATATCTACCTACCTACTTTTAGGTTTCGAGACGATTCATCCATTCGGGAAATCATCAACCAACCTATAACCGGACGAACAAATTCTTCGAACAGCAACAATTCACAATCGATATAGATTTTTAATAGCCTTGGTTGAACGGATTGCCAACGGCGTGATATACCAGGCAGCATCTAGCGATTGATTTTCAAACACAACTTAGGGGCACAGATAAACAGGGGATATAAACAGATAGATATAACGAACAAACCCACTTCACAGTGGGTTTTCACGATTTCCTTGACTCGTTCTACGACACAAAGTTCGATCAATATGGCGAAATCGAATTCGAGGTGGAATATCCGGCGGGCGGCGATACTGGCAACGGCGTTGGCCAGCGGAGTCTTGGGCGATGATGTATTGGTAACGAGCGGATTCACTAACTGCGAGGATGGCAGCACTATTGAGGTCCAGAAGGCGGATATATCTTACAACAATGCCGACAAGACCGTGGTTTTCGATGTGGCGGGTACGAGCAACAAGCAACAGAATGTAACAGCTACGCTCTCCGTGACAGCGTACGGTCAAGATGTCTACACGAGTAGCTTCAACCCATGTGAGGAGGGGACATACGTCCAGCAATTATGTCCTGGTACGTTAACTTGCGCCCCAAGCCACTTTTTTATCAGGTTTCGGTTGCTAACAAGAGAATAGTTCCGGCAGGGTCATTCGGGGCCAAGGGGTCTCAGGCGATACCTTCGCAGTATGCTAACTCCATTCCTGCCATTGCTTTCCAGATACCCGACATATCGGCACAAGCAACTCTACAGCTTAAGTCTCTGGACGACGGTCAAGACATAGGTTGTATTCAGTCACAAGTCACGAACGGAAAGACCGCCACCGTAGCCGCGGTCTCGTATGTCGCTGCCGGTGTAGCGGGAGCAGCCTTATTGGTCGGTAGCGCTGGAGCAATCGGTGCAGCTTTCTCGGGTAGCGGTGCGGCCGGTGGTGCAGCCGGCGCGAGTCCTAGTCCAAGTTTTGGGGAGATCTTCGGCGTGTTTCAGGGGTTCGCGATGAACGGCATGATGTCCGCCCAGCTACCTCAGGTCTACCGGAGTTTCACGGCCAACTTTGGCTTCTCGACAGGCCTCATCCCGTGGGAACAGATGCAGGTTTCTATCGACAATTTTCGACAGATGACAGGTGGAAACCTGACCAACGATGGCGTCGATTTCCTTAAGAAAGCTACTTTGGTATATCCCGATGGGTCGTCTGCCAGCTCAAATTCCTCTTCGATTGTCGGACGTGCCCTCGCGAACGCTTACCTTGCCGCTCGTGACATTGAGACGTCGGTCAACGGAACTGGTGACGGAAACTCAACATCGAGTCCCGAAGCAACGATTCGTTCGGTTGTTAGTGGTATTCAGGCTTACGCCGAGCGATTGTCCGTTCCGCAGGCAAACACCTTCATGACCGTTCTTCTCATTGTTGCCATCGTAATCGGTGTCATTGTTGTTGGTATCTTGTTGGTGAAGGTTATTCTTGAGACCTGGGCTCTGTTCGGTAACTTCCCCGAGTCTTTGACTGGGTTCCGCAAGCATTATTGGGGCTCGATCGCCCGCGCGATTACATCCCTTATTCTGCTTCTTTACAGCATTTGGGTCTTATACTGTGTGTTCCAATTCACGCACGGAGACTCGTGGGCCGCTCAAGCACTAGCTGCTGTTACTCTTGCGATCTTCACTGGCATTTTAATCTTCTTTTCCTGGAAGATCTGGAGCATGGCTCGTAAGCTTAAGAATGTCGAAGGAGATGCCTCGGCTCTATATGAAGACAAGAAGATCTGGGTAAAGTATTCGCTCTTCTATGAATCCTACAAGAAGGATTATTGGTGGGTCTTCGTACCGGTCATCGTCTACATGTTCGCCAAGGGTTGTGTCCTTGCGGCTACCAATGGCCATGGTATGTCACAGGCAATTGCCCTTTTAATCGTCGAAGGGTTGATGTTGGGCGTTTTAGCCTGGAGCAGGCCATTCGAGCGGAAGTCAGGAAATGTTGTGAACATCGCCATCCAGGTTGTACGCGTTCTCTCTGTAGTATGTATCCTCATCTTTGTTGAGGAATTCGGCATTGCCGAGACTACGCAGACCGTTGCCGGTGTCGTCTTGATCGCTATACAGTCAGCGCTCGCTGGAATTCTCGCTATCCTGATCGCGTATAACGCAATCATAGCTTGCTTCAAGCAGAACCCCCACCGCAAGCGTAGAAAGGAGATGGGTAAGTTGCTCGCCCCAAGTCTTCCACAGTATATGCCTCCCGGAACAGCATTCTAACAGACACCACAGAAAAGTTACAGCGTGATATGGACACGTTGACACCTCTGGATGCGCGAAACTCGCTACTCCTAGAGCGTGCCAAGACCGGCGACACGAAGATCACCATCGCTTACGGCAATGCCCCTTCGGATTATAAACTACCCGCCAAAGCTCGCGATTCCTCTGAACAGTACATTAGTCTTTCTGTCGAGCCGACCGATGCTTACTCGCCGCTAAATGCTCCATACAGCAGACCACTGACGCCTGGCACACCGGTGGGGGCAATGAATGCTAGCCGCGAGAACCTTGTTCATGGCGCTGCTCCTGTCGGGCAACAACCTACGATTCCCAATGTAGGAGGCGGATACTCGACCTATAACTCAGCGCAACAGAACGGATATGCTGGATATCGTCAACCCGGGTACTAAATAAAGGGGTAGCCACGAAGAATGAAGACGAAGGCTCTGGTGTGGGGAGGGAGGCGAGACACAGATTTAGTGTGATCGAAACGGCAAAGGAGGGGGGGCTCTCACTGGTTTTCTATACCTGTAATGTGGCCACGAAATGCTGTTTAAACACGAACCTATACCCATCTGTTCTAAGCTCATCGGAGACGGGGGGCTTCAGGCCAGGGGGTACGGGACTTACATAGACATCGATACATACATATCTTCCTTTAATCATGTAGACGGCCGTGCCCAAATTCTCTACCTAGTATATAGCTAAAACCGTACCGAATTGTAGTGATCACGGCCGTTATTCTCATTTCTCTTCTGAAGTTTCCGAACATGATGCTGTGGAACAGTGATATTGTGTCGGGTTTCAATTTATATGTGACACTTCATAAATATCTGGAAAATACGTGAGATAGGGCATTGATAGAAGATGTCTATGTGAGTCAGGGATCGGATATTTGTTTTCCTGTGAGCGTTGTGTAGAACATAAATCATGACTTCAAAGTTTCTCAACCTTGAATCGAAGTACGTACATCGTAGTTTGAGCTTACATAAGTAGGTAGGTAGTGTAAGCATATCACGTAAACTACTCGAAAGTTGCATATGTGCATATATCGCAATTCTTAGGTATTTGATTACCTAATGGATCTGGCACTAATGGAGCTTTGACCATTTGGCTTAGAGTGGCAGCAACGACGCGTGAGACCAGCTGCCTTGAGCTTCAATTACCTTGTGCACCAGACGTCGTTTTAGCTCTTTACAACATCCATCCACTCGTAACGTCGCCCACATCAGCTCGACCTTTTCTAATTATTTACCATTTCAGATCCGAGGGCTGATAGACTTCTTTTCTAAACCAATTTCCACACCCCAATTCTTACCATGGATACTCTCGTAGCCAGGTACAGCCGCCCGGCTGCATCCCACCATGAGACGTTCGCCGACGACCAACAAGAAGACCTTCAGAACGATATGTCGCCCGCCCTCTCCCTCAAGTTCGCCATGCCTCCCGTAGCCCAAGTAAGTTATACTGCTGCCCCACTTCTACCTCTACCTCTACCTCTGTCTCTCTTTCAACGATAGTTTCATATCAAGCAAATCCGCATACGGAACAGAGCACACAGGGCTAACCGACAAAAAAACAGCCCTCGGCCTGGCTCCGCGCAGCGACCGACGACCACTCGAACCCGGACTGCCCGATCAAGATCGCGCACGGCACGACGACGCTCGCCTTCCGGTTCCAGGGCGGCATCATCGTGGCGACGGACTCGCGCGCCACGGCCGGGAACTGGATCGCCTCGCAGACGGTCAAGAAGGTGATCGAGATCAACAGCTGCCTGCTGGGCACCATGGCCGGCGGCGCCGCCGACTGCCAGTACTGGCTCGCCTGGCTGGGCATGCAGTGCCGGCTCCACGAGCTGCGCCACAAGCGCCGCATCAGCGTCGCCGCCGCCTCCAAGATCCTCGCCAACCTCGTCTACCAGTACAAGGGCATGGGCCTGTCCATGGGCACCATGTGCGCCGGCGTCACCAAGGAGGAGGGCCCCGCCCTCTACTACATCGACTCCGACGGCACGCGGTTGGCCGGCAACCTGTTCTGTGTCGGCTCGGGTCAGACGTTCGCGTACGGTGTGCTCGACGCCGAGTACCGTTACGACCTAGGCGAGGAGGAAGCCTTGGAGTTGGGCCGCCGAAGTATCCTAGCCGCCACGCACCGAGATGCGTACTCCGGAGGTTACATCAACCTGTACCACGTCAAGGAAGAGGGTTGGGTGAAACACGGATTCAGCGACACGAACCCGATATTCTGGAAGACGAAGCTGGAGAAGGGCGAGTTCACAAACGTCACGAGTTCATTGGACTAAGGCAATGGGTCAAAGAAGCAAATGGTAAAGCATATGCTTCGCATCGGATACTCCTGGTGGGGCATCAGTCACGTAACGGGGCCGGGGAGAATGCAAAGCAGAGTTTGATAGACGGTAGCTATCTAGACGAATTCCCACGGTCCTTGAGAATCCGCCGTGTAAATGTACAACATCCAACTATGGCATCATTTTTTTATTTTCCACCACCGAATTCCCAATGCTTTCCCCGTAATGAAGTAACGCCGATGTATGCCATGCCATGCTGCCAATGCAATGTAATCATACATCTATAGTCGTAGCACTCTACTTATCTGCCGATATTTAAGCAAGTGGCCTCAGAGAGCATCATGCCGTTTTACCGTCCACGTTCTTCCAGCCACCTACTCCAAGAATGCCACCGTCAACATTCGGATCCAGGGGCCACTTCTTGATAGGGGTTACATCCAGCTCGGTCCGCCAGCCAGCCTCATACATCTCCATGCCCGTCCACGCGATCATCGCCGCATTATCCGTGCACAGCGACAACGGCGGACTCACAATGCCGATGTGGCCATAACCGCGCACATCCAGCATCGCGCGCAAGATATGCATCAGGTACCGGTTACTAGCGACGCCGCCGGCCACGACCAGGGTCCGGACGCCGGCCAGCGACCTATCGCCGGCCCGGCCCTCGCTCGCGTCGAGCGCGAACAGGACGCGGGTGGCGAGGTGCTCGAAGGTCAGGCGCATGGTCTCGCGGGCGAGGACGCGGCGCTGCGCGAGGTCCATGTCCGGGCGCTCGTCCAGGATCTTCAGCACGTGCCCGTTCATGCCGCCGAACTCGTACTGCATGTCCCGCGACAGGGCCAGCGGCGGCCGCAGGAACCAGCCGCGCCCCGAGTCGAAGTTCTGGATCTCGTCGACGCGCTTCGCCGGCGGCGTGTAGCCGTAGTCGATGGTGTCCGCGGTGTCGGCGTATGCGTCTTGGGGAGAGGAGGGGGAGGAGGGGGAGGGAAAGGCGAAGCGCTCGAGCAGCGCGCCGTATACGATGGTCTCGCCGCCGCCGGCGATCGCGGAGGCCGGTAGGATCGCGCGCGCGCACTTGTCTATCATGTCGCCGACGGCGATGCTCTTAGCCTGCGCGAGGATGGCGTGGTCGTTGAGGGATCGCGATAGCACGAGCAGCGAGTGCCCACCCGAGACCAGGAGAGATAGGAAGGGGAAAGCCGGGGTGGGTTCGAAGCTTTTTTCCTTTTCCTCTTGCGTCCGCTCCTGCTTCCCGGCCTCGAGGGCACTGACGAGCCGCGGCGTCAGCGCGTGCGCTTGCATGTGGTTTACGCCGAGGAGCGGTATATCCCATGCGACGGCGAGCCCCTTGGCCATGTTCAGGCCCGTGGCCAGACTCGACAGCATGCCCGGCCCGCGCGTCACCGCCACGAAGTCCGGTTTTCTGCGCGCCTGTCCGTCGACCCAGAGCACATTCTCCTCCCCGCCTATGTTTCTGTCCCGATTACCATCTCTCAAATCCGCATCTTGCTTTCCCAACGCGTTGGGGAGCGCGCGCATAGCTTCCCGCACCAGGCCGGCTATGTGCTCCGTATGCGATGCAACGGCAACTAAAGGGTGCACGCCTTGGAACGAGCGGTTTGCGGACGTGGTTTTATCGTTGAAGAGTAAATGCGCCGCGCCTTTCGGGCCTGCGTCCTTCTCCAGGACTGCGACGCACGTGTCATCGCATGACGTCTCGATGGCGAGGGTGAGGAGGCGGCGACGCCTCGTCGGTTGGGACGAGAATTGGTGGCATCGCGGGGAATGTGAGATTGGAAGGAAAAGGCGGGGTTGCGATCGCAGGATTCGGGCTCGCACACATAAGTTATGATGTGCCCGCGATAGAGAGCACGACCATGTCGGCAGCCAACACGTCGCACTCATGGAGCTTGGTGAGAAATTGAAGATTAGAATTAACTTAATCAATCATGATTCTATAAGCCGTGGAAGAGCGTAAATTTTGTTAACTCGATATCTACCTAAACGGTTTTATTATCTTATCGTAGCCATATAACACTTTCCGACATTCCAGACCCCTTTAGTATTTCTAATATTTTCAACTTTTTCATACCTACCCTTAGTCAGAAGACTGGAATGGACCACTAATTAATAAGATCAGGCCCAAGATACCAACTATGGCACAGATATATCGCCTTATGTTGACAAATCCAAGTATTGTTGCAACCACAAAGATCAAGGTGTCGAGTATGCAGCTCTCTATGATGTACTATGTCAGGCTGATTGAAGCCTCGGCAGCCTCATGCACCTGCCATTCTGTCATGAGACGGTAATCTAAGTCAGCCTGCATACTAGAGGGCTACACTGCAGCTTCACACCGCCACAGCGCCGAAGACCCGTTTCCTCAGCTCATTTGTCGTACGTATCAAAGCCACTCGGTGGATGTGGTGTTCGAGGCAATGTGAATTGGTGGCTATGTAACGTCGAAGTCACATACGTATTCCTACCTTACTCCTACTATCCAACTTGACCTATTCTATATCAATAATATCGACTTGTCTTAGTTCCTACCTATTCGTAAATACATGCCGAGGTTTAAGGGGCTCTTGACAAGATATGGACGAGAACGCTGAGGGTATCTACGCAAGGCCTCCAACCTCGCGAATCAAGCGGTCTTGGGAGAGCATAAACCACCGGAGTGATAGCTCATCAGCGGCATTCGTCGACTCTGTGAAGAAAGCCCGTATCTCTGAATCGGTAAACTTCCAGCATTTAGATGTACCTAAGGTTGCCAGCTTCAAAGAGCCTGTTGTTTTACCCCCAATTCACACCCTAGGATTTGAATATGCACCATCCATCAAACCGATCGCACCTAGCCCCCCAGTCATCCGAGGGAGCTATCTCTCATCGCCCCTAGCTAATGTCGGATATTCAGGCTATTATCCTCCTAATACCCTATATCAAGAACAAGCTCTGATAAATCGGGACCTGTGGGCGCAGACACACGAACCTAGGCAACAGTGGGCACTACAAAATAAAGAACGGCAGTCCTTCAACTCCACGAACAACATTTACGCCGATTGGCCAGTTCCAAACTTATCATCATTCCAAGAGCCCACAAGGTATGAGGAACAGACACGTTGGGTAGCTTCGGGGTGTGCACAGCGAGGACATTGTATGGCTCTAAATGATATCACAAGTTCAGTTGCAGAAAATAACGATATCGACATGAATAATATAACTGAGGACAACAGCTGTATTAATGATCCGTGGGATGGAAGGAATGCACAACCTGAGAATGACATTTATGGTCTTGTATCATCTTCGAAATCGCCTTCTATATTCCAGGATATGGACGACGATAACCCAGTCGCAAGCGGTAAAATTTCCAAAGAGACTTCATATGACTCCTGTTTTGGCATGGTAAGAATCACCTCGTCCTTTAAGTAATGAAAACAGACCATCCATTAACGTGAACTGGATAGATTATCCTGGAAGATTTCAACGCCCATGTAGGCCTTTTTAACGGGAAGGCTACTAGAGAAGTTTCTCTCGAAGTAAGTGGGGGTATGGTAATCATTCATGAGGCGAAATCAAACGAGTACGGGGGCCTTCTCAATCGCAACGCGTCTCGTATCGTTTCCGACTTAGTTAGGAATTACGACGTCGAACTCTCAGCATCCATGAAGAGCCCGACTGAGATCGAAGTCTTAATATACGGCAGATTCGAACAAAGAGAAGCTATTGGGGACATGTTGCTTGAGCGGGATTGTTTCCTCCAGCAGCCGGAATCGTATGATGTCTCACGGCCGTACGATAATCCTCAGTGTCTCTCTAACCTAGATGGACAAGAATCATTCTGGGAGAATAACGAATCATCCCCATCTCAGAGCGCGGTATTACATGAGAAAGAGAAGAGTAGGGTTGTCGAGCTTTTAGACTCTGCGACTGGTCCCATAAGCTTTAGAAGAGTCCCTATTTCCGATATTCTTATCTCAAAATTGAAAGAGTAGGTATCTAGATCTGCCCCAAACGCTAGTAAGTGCTAAGAAGTAGCCAGGCATCAAATCAAAGCGCTCTCCATGATGACAGAGAAAGAATCAGGAAATATTTGCGAAGCGGAATTCCCTTCTGTGTGGTCTAAGAGTTCCAACACAAAGTTCTCAAACAATAGGTGAGGGACTATAAAGGAATTATTGAAAATTCGCTAAGAATATAGATTCTACAATCATGTCACCCAGAGCTATACCTCACGGACACCGAGTGTATGTCTCGGCGGTCTTCTTGCAGATGTAAGGCCATCTTCGACTTCTTCACAGAGCTGAGCTAATCGAGATATTAAGGAAATGGGTCTTGGGAAAACCTTAACGACATTAGCACTTATTGCGACATCCTTGAATGATGACAATTCGACCTTGATAGTGTGTCCTATGACGAGTGAGTGTTGGATATTGTCTTCCACTCTGGTTCTGATATTGATACCCTGCGATAGCTATCACCTGTTGGCGAGACCAGATTGAAAGGTGTGTTAATTATATCAACGTACTTGATCATTTATGCCTAACACAGTCAAAGACATTTTAGGAAAGGATCTCTTACTTACAAGATTTACCATGGATCAACAAGGGGCTATGATGTCGCTACTCTAAAGAGGGTCAATATAGTTCTGACAACATACGAGACCCTAAGGGCTACGTTGCCGGTGGAAGATGGTGGAAGACGAAGATCAAAACACTGTAGGAAGCTTGGTCTCCTGCACAGCATCAACTGGTATCGAATTGTCCTAGACGAAGGTGAGTGACAATTGTTCCTTCAGACTCCTGTTAATTAATAGGAGCACTAGCTCATATCGTGAGAAATCGTGCTACGAAGACGTTTCAAGCTGTGAACACGCTCAAAGCTAGGCATCGCTGGTGTTTAACCGGTACGCCGATCCAGAACCGCTTGGAAGACCTAGGAGCTCTTGTTGAATTTCTAAAAGTCGATCCGTTTGATGACCCTAGCACCTTCAAGAACACCTTTCTAACCCCAATCAGTCAAGGGGAACAGTCTGGATGGGAACGACTTAGGTTGTTGGTTAGGTCCATTGCCTTACGTAGAACCAAAAAGGCTCTTGACTCTGACCTCAACCTCCCCCTTCGATACGAAATTGACCATATGGTTGATCTGGATGACAATGAGAAAGCTCTTTATGATCTAGTCAAAAGGAATTTCGCCATGGCTACCGACTCAGGAGGCCCAACCATGAAAACATTCCAACTTATTCTTCGACTTCGACAGGTTTGCAACCACGGAAGCGACTTGCTTCCCCATAGTCTACGGTCTTGGCTTCATGAGGCTTCTGCATTCGATGCTGCCTTTCCTCCACTTCAGAGATGCGAACAATGCGACACGACCATCGATGAGGAAGGTGAATTATCATCTTGCCTACTTTCGTGCTTCCACCAGGTTTGTCGTACCTGTCTTGCGATTGATGATTCCCTCGTCAACAGCACTAGTCCCATTTGCCCCTTATGCGACGGCGACCCATTCGGAGAAGGCAAGAAAGCAAACGTTGCGTGGAGGACGACACCCGAGTTTGAATCAAACAGTTATCGCCCTTCATCGAAAGTTAAAGCTTTACTCCAGAATCTGCAAAACGATCGCCAAGCTGCAGTCGCATCTATCCAGCCATCAGCGAAAAGGTACGTCGCATTCAAATGATACTCTTATTTACTTCATGTTGACCAGTCGTAGTGTAATATTTTCGACGTGGACCAGCATGTTAGATCTCATTGGCAAAGCATTATCTGCGAATGCTTTTAAGTACCAAAGGCTCGACGGAAGCATGAATCTGAGACAGAGAGGTCACGCACTGGAGGACTTTCGCATGAATCCGAACTGCACAATATTGCTTGCGTCTCTCGGAAGCGCTGCAGTTGGGTAAGCTATAAGAGACTGAATCAAGATTATGTCGGAACCTACCGCTAAATTAGCCACAGACTTGACCTCACTATGGCCACCCGTGTTCACTTAATGGAGCCAGGAGTATGTAAAGTTGGCATTTCTTCTTGCTCCCTCCTATGTCTCCTTCCCTTGGAATGTTACTAACTCCCACCGTTGTAGTGGAATCCTTTGCTTGAGCAACAAGCCATAGACCGCATCCATCGTTTAGGACAAGATAGGGAGGTTATCGCTACGCGTTATATTGTGTCGGGCTCGGATTCAATTGAACAGGTCAGTTCACAGTAGATAGGAAGTGACACCACTAATACCAATCACAGTATATTCGGCGACGACAAGAGCATAAGATGAATGTTATTGCATCGTCCCTCGAAGAATCTAAGACTCACCATGACAAGGCTGAGAATATTTTAAGAGTTAGTTCCAATGGATTCTATATTTTACAGGCAACATTAACCAAATGTAGGACATAAGAAGCATAATATGCACCGATGGACCGGCACTTAAGGGGGATTCATGATACCAAACAGAGAGGTGAACCTACAGATACGGCGAAAACAGAGAATATCCCATAGCCACACCTTCGGTTTGTTAAGATTCAGGTGGCTGGAAGCTTACGCCCTTTATCTCAGGGGTATATATGTACTATCTACAGACCTCTACCAACTCCTAGTAAATTAGGTAACCTTCTCATAAAACAAGTATGATACCTACTCATAACCTACGTCTATCTCAATACAATTAAAATAGACACTGCTTCCCTTGTAACCAATTTGCCTAGAATGCCGATACATCCCTCTTGGTACGTCTTGAAATAATAGCAACGTCCTCACCCGCCCTAATCCTACGGACCATCTCTTCCCACGTCAACCCAAAATATCCCGCAATTTTCTTCGCCTTTGCTGAATTCTTTTGAACCCCACATTGAGGGTGTTCTGGATCTGCGCCATGCTGTAAGAGCATCTTCGCTAATTGAGCTCCGTACTGATTTCCCGCTTTCACAGCCGAATATAATGCGGTGCGATCACCTGATATGCCATTAGGATTACCTCCATTTTCTAAACAGATCATGGCGCCAAGAAAGCAGCGCGATTGCGTAGCAGCACCAATGCCTTTCTCGTATGCTTCGGGCCAGATGATATATTGCTTGATTCCTTCGAAACGTTTCCTTGCCTGGTCGAGTGTATCGTTTTGAATCGCTGCGCAGGCAAAAATCCATTCTGGCTGCTCGATTTCCTGGGGGAAGTCAATGTGGCATTCGTCGATTAGATAAGCCATCAAAGTCGGACTCCAGAGGCTTAACGCGCGTAAATAACCGGACATATTGAAGTGTTTCGATCTAGGGGCTGCAAAGCTTGATCCAGTCGTTAAATCGACCGGCACTGACATGTCTGCTCCGCGAGAAAGCAGAAATCCAATATTTGGTAGATTCTCGGTTTCAAGCGCAACTGCTAGCAGATAATCATATGATCGCCTACCTCCGCACTGACGATCCCAATCGAGTAAGTAGGAAAACAACCCTTCAGATGCTTTCCAGGCAGCTGTTGTTAGGATTTGCCCACGTTGGTACTCTTCAAATGCTATATGCTTAATTAGAAGTTCTCTGACGAGTTCTATATGGTTAAGTGCTATAGCATCCTTGACAATATTAAAGGAATCATCCAGTGGTCGAGCTGGCGATAAGCCAGAGCCTGTTATAGTCTTCTCCGGTGTCTGTGAAGGATGGGCTGCATGCGTGTGTCTTTGTAGCTCTATTGTATCGCAGAACCCTATGTCTGCGAACAAACAGTTGGTGGCGGAGCATTTGTGCGGCCGTTGATGTATCTTCAAATGCTGGTCTCTGGATTGTTTCGACCCAAATCCGCATCGGTATGCATAGCAGAAAGGTTGATCACAGCAGTACAGATTGGTTCCATATAGGCGCTTCAGATCATCGCAGCGACAGCCAGTTCTGTGATCTGACCTTTGACATATCATATCTTCCAAGACTTGTCGGACTTTGCGTCTAGCTGAGAGCGCCCTTAGCGGATCATTTGGGCAATTCATATTGTCTATGAGACGTTAACATTAGCAACATCAATACAGACAATGGGTTTCTGTACCATCTTGATTGGGCATCCCGAGTTGTGCCTTCGTTTGAAAGTACATGACAATGGATAAAAAGGCATGGACTTTAGGTTCATCCGCAAATTTCCTGAACATATGAACAACATGCTTTGGAACACACGAGATGTTCAAGGAGCCACTGGATCGAATCTCCCGCAATCGATTTAGAGCCATGACGAGGCGGGTGTCTAGAGCGCCACTCTGATTTCCTAAGGCCTTTAGATGTTCTAGAAACTCTATAGATGCATATTCGAACAGGACGTAGTCACCGTCCATGATTCTCTTCGGTATATCGGCCATAACATTCGATTGGAGGGAGAATAACGAATTCAGCGATGAGAATGATAGATATGTAGTGCATGTTAGAGTGGCATCTATATGCGCCTCATATAGGTTCAGAAAACTGTCGCTCTGCTCATGAAGAAGATACCTATATCAAGTTAACTCATCTCAAACTATCGATCTCTTGCTTAATGTCATCTTACTCTTTAGCAGAAAAATGAACGAACTGGACATTATCGTTATTGATCTCGATAATCGGACCGCACATCTTGCAAATATCACGGAACTGCTTACGTCCCTTTGCGAAATCCTGCTGTCCAGGCTCGATGGCTAGGATCTGAAGGAGCTCCTCTTCCCGCAGAGGCTTTTGAGCACATGCAACCCATTGCAATATCTTACGCACGATAACCTGGACAGTTCTTGAAGATTTAGTCTTAAGTCTGTCGAGGAGTCTTCCATACCTATGCGACCATTAGTAACCTTGCAATTGGTTCGGTCGAATAATGGACACTTACACCTCATCCAAACCATCTGGAAGATCTTTTATCTGTGCTTCAATGTCATGGGGGTTTCCCTGGTCTTTCACCATAAGCATCACCAACCTAGCGTATATGAACATGCCTAACAACTTCTGTTAGCGCTATTAGTCCCTTACCAAGGACGGCGGACTTGCCTGCTGCCCTTTCTGGGATATTGCTAATTCTGTCCTCAATTTTGAGACAAGTCTGGTCATCTACCCCATAACCTCTCATTTCGAGAAGTAAATTCTCACACTCAAGTTTAATAAATGATTCTATATCTTTGGAATTTTTATGATCAACACGGACCGGAACAGCTCTGTTTTTGAGTCGTAGTGCGATGCCACGCTCCTCTCTACTGCTGATGAGTAGTTTTGTCTCCGGACAACTCTCATTAATCTTTAAGACACTAGCAAGGAGGTGCCCCCAGGAGTATTCGTCCACTTCATCTAGGCCATCCAATATGATGAAGGTAGGCCCCAATCCTTCGAGGATTTTACGTAGCAAATCCATGACGAAGTCTGGATCACTTTTGAGTTTCCTATAGTTCGATTGAGAGGCCTCGTGGAGGAGTGGTCGTAGGGATGGGTCGTTTTCGAGGAGCTGAAATAGGAATGAATGAAGGACCTTGATGGTATCACTAGCTACTTGGTTATTATGAGATAAGAACGCAAACACTGCTCGCTGCCCGGAGATTTGCATTGTTCTTATGAGATTTCCTACGATGAAGGTTTTCCCTATTCAACCGACTTATTAGAACATCAACGCCTACATATACCGGGTGCAACTCACCAGAGCCAGGAATCCCGTAAAGCCACATGATTCGGGCGGTTCTGTATACGGGATCACGCCATCTCATGAAATCTGGCTCATCTTTCAACCATTCTCCTGACGTGACAGAGCTCCGGCGTAAAATACTAGATAGTTCCGTATCGTGGTCATGGGGGTTGAATTCATTTCGGATAATGCTGAAATTCTGGTTATCACGGAAAGTTTGTGCCTGATCATACTCCTCGAGGGCACGTTTTCGAGCTTGATGAGCTAGTAGGATATCTTGAAGTGTTACATTCGTCGTCATGATGGCCTTATGGTGATCCATGTTCTCTTGAATCTTCGTGATGCTTGAGCGGATGTTGGGCCAAAGGGACTCAATAATGATGTTTCGCCCTACAAGACGGCATGAGAAAGTTGTAAACCTAAAAGTAGGATGCAGCATGATATACTTGGGTTGGTGAGGAAGTTCAACAGAATGGCATAGAAGTCTAAGATATCGGCGAAAAATAGACATAGTGCTCGGCGAATTTCATGATTGGATTGAAATAACTGCGTATAGACTTTGAAGCTAGGAAGGGTCATTCCAACGTCTGCGATGACTTTGACAACCCTCTCAAAGGCCAAGATGACTGAGCTGGACGCCTGGTTGAATGAAATTAGATATCATCCTCATCATCTATTCAAAAGAAGGACTTTTCTCACGTGGAGGATGAATTTGAGGGGACCCTGTATTACAGAAAACCCATCATTAGCCAGTCAACTTATGGATAGAAGCATAGCTAGTTACATAGGGACAATAAATACCTACCCAGATAAGACTCATAATCTCTGGCTTCGCCTGAACGAATTGCTCGATAATGGCAGAGTACTCTTTGAGTCCATTGATGAGTGGTTGAACTCTCCTCAGTCCGCGGAGCGTCTTCGTTTTTGCTTGCTGTCTTTCAATCTTCTTCGCTTCCTCGAAGACATCATCTATAGAAGTGAGCTTCGAAAAATCACACAAGGCTGGATTCTTCAGGCTTCTCTTGAAGTCTTCCTTCGCAGATGTGAAGGCGTCATCCAGCCATGACTGAGGAACCGTAGCCATTGTGGTGCACCTGATCGCAAGTCGCAACCCAAAGGTCTGTCGAGGATCTTCTGTTAGTACCTAGACAGATGCCAATCCCAATAATAAGTAGATCGAAGAATAAAGATACATAGGTAAGGTGTATGGTAGTTAATCTAAAGAGTGAATCTGCCTTCTTACGTGGCAGAGGCGGTGCTCGGGCAGAAAGGCAGTTTATGTAAGTAGGTGTCTACCTGCGTAGAAGCAGGCTGTGCTTACCATATGCTGTGTCGCCTGAAGATATGCAAAGAGACTGTTCGAGGGGTTGTCTTAGCATAACAAGACCCCTGATGATATTCATTTCAGCGAGAATATCGACCAGTTCCCTGCCCCTAAGAATGCCTAGCCATCCTCCATGACATTGCCGACAGCCACTTCTCTGTAGAGACCTAGGTACCTACCTAGGTACTCAGGGTAAGTATCTTTCTAATAACACCCAACCACAAAAATCAATAATCAACAATTCAGATGCAGGACCAAGCCGATGATATGTAGCAGACCATTAAAGTGCCCAGATTAAGTACCTACCTAGGTATGTATGTATCTACAGTACCATCCCCTTCCCCTAATTTCCCACCCCATCCCTCCTTCTTCTTCACCTCAATCTCCCCTCACAAAACCCAAAGCCCCAACGACCCCACCAACCCCGCCACCAAAGCCGTCACAACCACAACCACCACACCACCAGCCCCCTCGCGCGCCGCAGCAGCGCCGCTAACTGCAACCACAGGCACCGAGCCATTCGACGCAGCGGAAGTAGCAATCGCGCCCGCCGCGCCAGCCGTAGGGCTCGCGACGCCGGACGCCAGCGACGCCAGCGACCCCGTCGTCTCCTGCACGCCGGGGAGCTGCTGCAGGGTGCCCGAGGTTTCCGCGGGAAGGGCCTGGACGGCCGTAGTAGAGGCCGCGCTAACATCAGAAACAGAGTCGGAACCGGAGCCCGCGTTCGTGTTGGCGTTACTAGAGCTGCCGGAAGCCGCGCTAGGCAGCGGCTGCAGCGCCCCGGCCCCGGCCCCGGACTCCGACTCGCTGCCCGCGGTGGGAAGCGCCTGCAACGACACCGACGCCGTGGCTTCGCCGGGTAGCGCCTGCAGAGCGCCCGTAGCTTCCGCGTTTCCGGCGCCGGGGAGCGCCTGCAAGGAACCGGATGCCTCGGCGGTGGGCAGCGCAGCGAGACCGGCTGATTCGGACCCAACAGCAGCACCAGCAGCAGCCGCGCCCGTGGCTTCAGCGCCGGCGGCTCCGGTCGCAAGACTGTTGTTAGAGAAACCCGCCAGACTCGGAGTGGCCACGGCGCCCGGGGTAAGGGCCTCGAGCGCCGCGGCCGACGAAGCGTTTGCCGCGGCCGCTGCGGTGGCGATGGTCTGGAAGCCCTGGATCGAAGCCGCACTGCTGCTAGTAGTGGCGGCCACGGCTACGTTGCTCGCGTTGGCCAGCACGCCGATGTTAGCCGCCGCGGAGGAAGCGACGGCGTTCGTTGCGGCGGGCGGGATCTGCTGGAAGCTCTGGATGCTTGCGGCGGCGGATGAGGCAACGGCGATGGCCTGGAATATGTCAGTGTTGGTTGCTAAATACTAAATCGCGAGATAGGGGTAGAGTGGACGAGAACTCACTTTCGACGTCTGGGCTACGGCGGCGGCGGTTGTTCCAGCTGCCATAGCGGCACTGGAGCTGCTTTGAGCTCCTAAAGACTTCAGCGCCGCGCTGGTTGTGCTGGCGGCGTTCACTGCGGCAGCTGAGGTGCTGGATTCATCCGGGAGCGCGACCAGCTGGCCGGCGGTCACTTGTGCGCCGGGAAGCGGTACAAGTCCGCCAGCCGCAGCGCCAGCAGATCCAGCTCCGGACTCAGCTTGTGATTGCGCCTGGTTTTGCGCCTTGGCGTTGGCACCTTTAGATCCACCAGCGTTCCCGCTATCCTCCGCATTTCCGGCGTTGGCAGAGTTGCCGACGTTTGGCAATTGCTGGAGTTGACCCTTAGCAGAAGAGTCAGCCGCGCTCGAGTTATTATTGAGGTTGTTATTAGCATTATTGTTGTTGAGAGCGCGCACATCTTGACCTTGACCTCGCTGGGGCAAAGCGTAGGCTCCGTTTAGGGCCGAGCTGAATACAACGGCCAGAGCCGCAACCAGATGAGACTGCTTCATCTTCCCAACCTCTGCCTATTGCCACTTAATTATCGTAGTTTCTCGTCGTAGCGTTGAGCCGCAGAAGCGAAGGCCCGACCTGGGACCGGTAGGTATTTATAAAGAATATTAGTTGAATAAGATTATAAAGAACGTAAAGACTGCTCAACAGTGTGTGCTGACCAGCAGACTAACGAAGGAATGGCTGCAGAATGGAAGAAAGGAAGAAGAGAGCAGACGCAACGAGAAAGGAAAGGAACTGCGAATGGAGTGCAGATAGAACGAGATCTTGAGAAAAATGTGGGAAGGCCCGGGGAAAAGGCGGGCACGATTTTCTCTCTGGGATCAGGCTATATGTACATAATGTCATGATCCATCACGCGGTTCTCCGTGATCTTCGAATAGGTGTCTGAGCTCAAGGCATCATCATGGCTTGACATCTCTTGGCCTCCGCCCTGTGAAGGCAAGTCACGGTGTTGGACATGCCTGACCCGGGGTATGAGTGTCGAAATAATGCCGATAGGCCTACTTTAAAGATAACACACCCTACCCATGTCCCAGGGGGATATTCAGATGAAGCTTAAGTAAAGTTTGATACCAGAAACATGGGACGGAAAGCTGTCAAGTCTTAGGTAGCATCATAGCATGCAGGTAAAGGCAGAGAAGGTCGAGACGAATCGAACTAGTGCCATCTGCCCCATCCGCGGTGAACTGGCTAAGTCGGTACGACATTGCCGCAAAGCATGAAGAAGGCATTGGAGAAACACGAAAAGAGCCAATTGAAAAGCCCTACAGTGAACGAAGATTTGACGATGTGATACCAGGAAACGCGGCTCAAAAAGAGCCGTGCCCACGACATGGGGTTGCCTCCTAGCGATGACAAGAGCCCGGAACTGAGGAGCATCCGTCTTGCCTTTCCCCAAAGCGGCCCTTGGACTAATGCCGGCATTCGCTAACCCGTCCCTACTGCTAAGCTTCTTTTATCGATTTGGGGTAAAACTACGTCGAAAATGGTCTAGAAGGCTCTCTGTCGAGGTCTTGGCTCTGAGACCTTGAGACGAAACCCTGCCAGTTCTGAAACCTGCCACAAAACAAAGCCTAAAATCAACTTCACGTAACATGCGTACAGCATCAAAATTTCTTGGCACTGACGACCCTATCTAAGCATGACTTATATGAAAGCAATCACGTCTTCAAAATATAGATGGTTGTGTGGTCACTGTTTCTTCGATCTTGAATCCCTTTACTGACTAGTGGTTTTTGTAAGCTAACTCTAGTCGAACTGCGTAAAAGAAAATAACCTACAAATGCAGCCTATGGGACGAGCTATGAGCGTCATCATAATATCTCATCTACACAGGTCACCTCCCATTATTGAAAGTCGGCCTATCAATAGCTAGTAATTTCTCTCGTAGACTCCTAACGCCATTCAAATAGACTCTTAACCAGGGTTTCTCCTTGAAATCAAAGCCGGTGACCCGTAGCCGTTATTACCAGTATCTCAACATCTTAACACCTACTTGGACGTGTCTCGGATGCCGCGTCGCCCTAACGATCAACATTTGAAATTACGAATTGTACAAATAGCCATGATCCTTCTCGTCGAGAATGACGCTATTAATTAAGGTCGTGACGCATACGTATTACATGTTGCCTTCAGCCGGTGTGCCTCCTTGTTGGCTATCGACGCCATGAAAAGCATCACCAAAGGCCGAGTCTTCCATATCTAGATCCAAGCCCTCTCCGAGATCTCCCGGAGTTCCGCTGAACCCAGCTAGAGCATCTCCAGCTGTATTCAGATCATCGAGTGAGCTGAAATCGTTCTGATCACCGTCAAATCCCGCCGAAGGAGTACCTGTCGCTGAGCCTTGCTTGCTCAAAGGGCCTGTTACCTTCAGCAGATTGTTGGCGGATGCCGGGTTTGCGGGGCCGTCCGGAGTAGCACCACCTTTAGGAACGACTACCCAGTCTCCACTTCCAGTACCTTGGTCAGGAGCAGTACCGGAGAGCGGCTCAGTGTTGCCCGTACCATCCATCTTCACATCGCCCGTCTCGTCTTTTTGTGCCGGTTGTCGTGGTGACGGGACATTCAGATTGGCAGGTGTGGCAACGCCGGAATGGACCGCAGAAGCTTGAGCTTGGGGTGTCGGGAAGTTATTTACCGGCGTAGAAGTAGACGAAGCTCCTGTTCCGGTATGGATCTGGTCTAGAAGACCAGCTGCGGTTCCACCCATGTCAATATCGGAATCACCGATCATAAAGCCACTGTGTTGAGATCCTGCTTGTGACGGCTGACGGGACATAACACTACTTCCGTTGGTGCCGGGATTCTGAGGAGCAAGTCCAGGTGCTGCGGCCGGTTGAGGTGCCGGTTCTGGGGCAGGTTCTTGATAACCCCCGTCTTGTATTCGTCGTAGATCGTAGATAACCTCCGCTCGACGACCGAGGTGTGCTTCGACCTGGGATACTATCTCCTCGACTCTCTTGCTGTGCTTCGAAGACCAGCGGTTGGCGCTATCATCGCCCTCCTCGGCATCTCTCTCAAGTTGCAGTGAATTAGAACCGGGATCGCCTAAGGCTAGTCGCAGCTCCCGTTCAGCGGTAGTGAGGATAGAGTTACGCTCGAATTTGGCCACCTTCTTAGCGTGCACCGACTTGAGCGTCTCGATGGCTGTTCGAGTAGATTCGATTCGGTCAGCAACTCGCTTGCGAAACTCGGCAGCCTGCTCGGGAGCTAGCTGAGTTATGGCTGGTTTCGAAATTTTTTCGGTCGTATGAAGATCATGAGCCTCGAAAATCCCATCGGTTAGACCCGAAAGCTCGCCTTTGAGACCTAGACCAAGATCTGAAAACCCAATTTGGCCCATTCTGTAGGGAGAGGACAATATCTCCTCCATCCATTCGTGGTTCTGGCGGTAGCGAGCTAGACTAACCTCTCGGGGAGTCAGATGATCGAACATGTCGCCACGAGATGTGTCCTCCTCGTCATCGTACGAATTGTCCGGGGGAATAGCGGCCATGGCGGGAGGCACCTGACCCTGCGCAGCTTGGGCAGTACGAGCGCGCTTCGATGGTGGCGCGCCGGCCGCAGGGGGGTGAGGGGGGTATGCCATACCCGGCGGGACTCCACGAGGACCGGCAAACATTGGCTGTCTCGAAGGCTCTCTGGGCCAGGCGATTTGGGGCCAATTAATTCGATCACCGAGAATAAACTCTTTACGTTGAATCTGTCCGCAGCGCTGGAGATAAGCGCGGGTTTCTAGCATAGCATGCGTCCGAGAGTCCCGCGGAATCAAATGAGAGGGGATGCGTTCGTTGTTCTCAACGGGACCGTAGTGAACTATCCACAGACTAGGATCAACGGTAGAGGCATTCGGAGTGTGGACGGTGGGAGGAATGAGGCGGAAACGACGTCTTGAATGCGTTGCGAAGTGCTCGTTGTAGGCATATCCAGCTTTGTGGTAATAAACCTCGAGGATCTACAGATGTGAGCTGTAAGTCCATATATAGTAATTTCGAGAGTTAGAAAGATGAGAGGGAAAAAAAAGAAACATACCACACCATTTCCCACTTCCTGTTGCATGTACTGTTCCTGTGGGGGCCAAATATATCCATCGCTGGCAAAGTTGACGCCCATTTGCTGCGACGGCTGCCACGTCAAGAAGATGTTGCCATTCTCGGGACGATCGAGGTAGGTCCAAAAAAAGGGCGCGGTATCGCGTGCGATCTTTGGAGCTTGCATCAACCAGTTCGTAACTTCATTGGGCTCAACTCGGGCCTTGAGAGTGTAGCGATAGGTCGAAATCAAATGCACATGGGGAAGCTAAGAAGATATCTATTAGCAGGTCATCACAGTGATGGGCGATGCGCAGTGCTAGGTAAGAAATACTAGGTCTCTGTGGACCCCGTAGCTGGGGTCGCCCATTGAGGACATCGTGTCTCAAAAGAAAACAAAATTGTTTGTCGCACTCGATTGATCTATATCGTGGAATTCGAATATACTTCTAGGAAGTCCTTGGATTGACTTTTCGCGTTGTGATAGGAACAATGCGCAAGGATAATTGCGATTAACAAGGCTGCGCGAAAGTTTCGGTTTGATGGTCGCGAAGAACGATGCGCGACGGAATAGCGAGCTTGGAGAATAGTACGTTAAGTTGCGGCTTGACTGTGGATCCGGATTACATAAGATAATTGTGGCTAGAAAGCTTGAGCCAATCATAAACCACGGTCCCCTGGAATTTAGTAGATGACCACTGTACGAAGTAACAATATTCTCCGATATCCAGGCTGATGCATCCAATACCTTCGTTTAGAAAATCGCGTACACCTATTCCTTATAGTTTTCAAGATGTTCCCGAATCATAAAAAGCTACTAATCAAGCACATGATCGCATGCCTTGATCGAACAAACCATAGGCATGCAAGACATGCGGCGACACGGTGAATAATTCCCCAGTAGTTGGAACTTGAGAGTAAAGTATCAATCGTCTCATGCTTCCTTCTAACAAGTCCATTCACATAGGCTTCTGTCATTATTTTGCAAGTTTATATTTTTTTCTTCTAAACCTTGTGGCTATTTCATGTCATAGCATGCTAGATTCCTTTTCCCTCTATTGAGAATGGGACCAACCCTCATACTGATCTTACCAACTTACCAATGGTAAACAAACCAGTTCATATTCCTGACATGAAATTCTTCGTTTATGCCTGGTAGGTGGAAGCAGAGACGTTTCCTCCCCGACCAGTCCAGTTGACGTGGTGGTACTTGCCCTCTGGGTACTTCTCGTTGGCGAACTCGGGCTTAATTAGGAAAGTGTGGGCACCAAAGTAGTCGCGCTGGGCCTGGAGCAGGTTGGCAGGTAGATCCTGAGTGCGGTATCCATCAAACCACGACAGAGCTGTAGAGAATGCGGGTGTCGGAATGCCGAGGACAGCAGCCTTGGCAACAACGTCTCTCCAGCCGGGTTGCGCCTTGTGGATGGCCTTGTTGAAGAAGTCATCGAACAACAAGTTCTCGAGGTCAGGGTTGTTTCGGTAAGCCGCAGTAATGTCCTTTAGGAAGACAGAGCGGATGATACAGCCACCTCTCCACATCAAGGCAATCGACGGCTTGTTGAGCTTCCACTTAAACTCTTTCGCAGCCTATTCTCATCTTGTCAGAAAGTTTATTTGAGGGTAGGAAGAAAGTCCACAAACCTCCTGCATCAGCATGAAACCCTGGGCATATGAAATAATCTTAGAGGCGTACAGAGCTTGCTCGAGGTCATCAAGGAATTGCTCCTTGCTGCCCTCGAAGCTACTCGTACGTCCAACATACTCGAGCTTCTTAGAGGCCTTAACTCGCTCGGCTTTGATGGAAGACAAGCAACGAGCCAATACAGCCTCGGCAATTAGGGTAACGGGCATTCCAAGGTCCAAGGCATTGATGGCAGTCCACTTGCCGGTACCCTTCTGACCAGCCTGGTCCAGGATCTTCTCGACCAGTGGCGTCCCGTCGTCATCGTTGAAGTACATGATATCACGGGTGATCTCGATCAAGAATGAGTCCAAAACACCCTTATTCCACTTTGTGAAGACGTCTCCGATCTCCTTGTTGGACAAGCCAAGACCGCGCTTCATGATATCGTAGGCCTAGTGGAATATAATTAGCTAATCTGTATCACAGGCGACGTTGGGGTTTACGAAAACGGAAAAGGGGGGTCCAACCTCGCAGATGAGTTGCATGTCACCATATTCGATACCGTTGTGCACCATCTTGACGTAGTGGCCAGCACCCTCGTCACCGACCCACTCGCAGCAAGGTTCGTTGTCGCTCTTAGCGGAAATGCTCTGGAAAATGTCCTTGACGTAAGGCCATGCCTCCTCGTTACCACCAGGCATCAAAGAAGGTCCGTATCGAGCACCCTCCTCACCACCGGAAACACCGGAGCCGACAAATCGGATACCCTTACCCGACAGGTACTTGGTTCGTCGGTTCGAGTCCGGGAAGTGAGAGTTGCCACCATCAATAATGATGTCTCCCTTTTCTAGGAGAGGTAATAGAGTCTCGATCCAGTCGTCGACGGCCTTGCCAGCTTGTACCAGCAGCATGACACGGCGGGGCTTCTTTAGCTTCGAGATGAACTCCTCGTTGGAGTGAGCACCAACAACAGACTTGCCCTTGGCCTCGTTTGCTAAGAACACGTCAACCTTGGAGACGGTTCGGTTGTAAGCGCAGATGGTGAATCCGTGGTCGGCCATGTTCAGAATCAAGTTCTGGCCCCTATGGATTTACTGATGAATATTACAAAGCATGGTAAAGGAGTTAGGAGTTAAGGTAGAACGTACATGACGGCCAAGCCAATGAGGCCCAAATCAGCGCTTTCGGATTCGTTAGCATGACTTCAACAGAAAGCTTTTATAACGACGTCGTAGGGAAATATATTATATGAATTGGTATGGTATGGTGTGGTATGGAATGAAGCTCGCCTTGGGCCTCCTAGGTTACTAGTTATGTTGGCGAGTCGAGCCCTACAGGGCCCGGGGAATCATCTCAGTTACAAAGGTCGCAAAGGCATACGACGGTGGGGTGATGATAATTGTTGATGGCGGGGTAATCATCATAGCCCAATTGACAGAGAGGGATATTTCAACTTACACGGCACCAGACATGATTGCGATAATGTTGGTAGCTCAATCGGATAGAGGAAGACGTAACTTTCGACGATGGAGTAGAAAAGAAGGGAGCGCAGGTGTAGGACTACTTTTCTATGATGGGAGTTGTGAAGAAGAAAAAAGTGGATGGGATGAAGGATGGAGGGGTAAAGTTTATGGTCGTCTAGGGGAAAAAAGGGCGTAGGAAGGAGGGGAATTTGTTACTGAAATATACTTCCCCTCCACTCTCCCAGCAACCTTACCTACACCTTTCTGACCAACCAAACTTAAGCTACCGGGTTTCCCAGGCTAGTTGAATATGACGGGAAAGCTCCTGCATCCCCATCAATCAAAGAACGGCCGGGAGGCACGGGCTTACTCAGGGCGCCTCCTTCAATGTATGCGATGTAATATGCGTTATCCATTACCAGATTCATAGATCAATTACCCGATTTGTCTCGATTCTAGTATATATTCTCTGACAGCCGAAGCATTTTACACCCATTCAACTCATGCATTGCACCTAGCTATTAGAGCATTATGAATACCCGCCTACGTTTTGGAACAGATTCGCTACTAAAATCATGTCATTTTGTTCTCTATGCCGGGGCCACGCCTCATTTCGGTCCTGGTTGATTCAGATTTCCCCGTGTCGCCTCAATGGCGTTTCGTAGGAATCCACCGGGGACGTTATGTTTGGAACACCCCGGGTCCACTGAATTGAAGCGAATTGGAGCGAATTACCTACCTGAGTACCTCACCCGGACCTAAGTATATAGTAATATACCTACTTGTTCAGCCGTATCATTTATCAGCCTGATTTCTCCGGGTTCAACAAGGTTGATGGGTTTGCTCTCACGTATTACTGGACGATAGTCCCGATCTCAGCAAGTTAGGAGACATTACCTAGGTAGTTAGTTATTCACGCTACTAGCAAAATGTTACCTACCTAGGTAGACGTATGTATGCTTACCAGAACGCTTAGCAATTAGGAAGCATCTAGACAAGATAACCCGTTGACAACCTAGGTATATGAGACATTGGCACCGTCGGAAAACGGAGGCACCGGAAAGCGATAGCATCCTAGTTACTTACATCAAGGGGCTGCCCTTCATGGTTACTGTAGGAACTCGACAAGCAACGCGTGGCTCAGCCTGGTAGAGCTATCGTATACCCAGGTACCTAGGTATGTATGTATGTATGTATGTATGTAGGTATCTTCTACATTTGGTGGATCTATTCCGGAAGAGCGAAGACATCGTGAAGGATCTTACTCAAAACCCGCCACAAGCGTCCAGAGGGGCTCCGTGAGCGGCGCAAAAACCGACCGAGCGTGGCTGCTGTGGAACAAGAAGAACTTCTCACGGACGCAGATCCCACTCACCTATGCGAGGCTGTAACAAAATCTCTCATGGCGCGAACCGGGCAATAAATGAACAGCCTAGAAACCAATCGTGGGGGGTTTTGTCGGCCCTTTACGCGGATTTGCGGGCCTCGAAACTAGTACGTCTAGCGGCCTTATTTTGCTTATGCGAGTGGGTTCAACTGGGTTGAGATCTTGGCACTCAACCGAAAGACGGAAGATAAAGTGAGAGAGCATGCCTTTGTCGTGAGTTATATCATAGACAATAGCATTCATGTTTGAATAGCCATTGTTGAATATAGACTAGTAGGTAATGATAGTTGTGTTGGTAGTTGTGATGTCTAAAAGTTCATACGTATGAATATGGGTAGTCGATTAAGCCTTTGTGGTCGTGGTCCATCTTGAATCACTGCAGTCACAGAAACTTCGTGAACCCCCAGACCCCCACCTAAAGTCCGAAGTGATGTTCAGACCTTGTTACCAGCCACAACTCATGACCCCACTAAGCCACGCCCGTCATGCGCCACAAGCGGTATGTAGGAAACCTTAATCAATTTGGCTATCAAAAATCTTGAGAACGTCAAATCTCGATACCAACCGTTCATCAACCACCAGCCGCACGCTCATTGAAAATCACTACGTCGTCCACCACCCGACTAAGTGACCGCACATAAAATACCTCTCTACAATACGCACATAATCTCAAAGACCATATCCTCATCTAAAAAGTAGAGAGACCTGGGGAACAAGGGGAACAGAGACGAGCAAAGTCTCATAGGTACGTGTTGAACCCGAAATACACACCACCACCACCTCTCGTCGGGCGCACAGCAAAATTCATCATGTCCTATCCGCCTCCTCCAGGCCCGAACTCATCGCTCCCACCTCGTCCTCCGCCGTCGCGCGTATCCGGCTTCAAGCCCGCCTTCTCGCCCGCCCCTCCCCCAACCCACACCCCGAGCCCCGGCGCCGTAACAGGCGCTCCCTACGCGCCTCCCGCGTACTCCGGCGCGCCCGTCTCCCACCACTCTCACCACCACCACCCCCCTCACCACCAATATGGCGGCACCTCGTCGTACCAGCAACCGTACGCGCGGCCCCCCTCCATGAGCTCCGGCGGCGGGTACCAGCCCCCGCAACCGGTCGCCGCAAACCCGTACCAGCCGTACCCCGGGCAGCAGCCTCAGCCCGGGGGCGGAGGCTACCCATCGCAGCAGACGCCTAGCTACTACGGCGCGCAGCCGCAAGCCGCCGCCCCCGCCCCCTCGACCGCGTCCTACGCCGCGCCGCCGCAGATCCGCAACCCGTTCCCGGCGCCCGCCCAGGCGCGCGCCAACGACGACTACGACCCGGACATGGCGGCGCAGATCGCGCAGTGGCAGAGCGCGTACGTGAAGGATCCCGCCAAGGAGGGCCCTGGCGCGCCGGGGGCGGCCGGGGCGGCGGGGACGGGACCCGCATCTGGCGGTCGGGCAGGTGCCTACGCGAACGGCGCTACGACGACGACGACTTACAGCGCGGAGTCGAGCGCCGCGGCTGCCGCAGCGGCAGCGGTAGGAGCTAACGCGGCGGCGAACCCCGAGAAGAAGAAGACGGTGGTGCGGGTAGGCGGCGGGCAGAAGTGGACGGATGACACGCTCCTCGAGTGGGACCCGTCGCACCTGCGTCTCTTCGTCGGCAACCTGGCGGGCGAGACGACGGACGAGTCCCTCTACAAGGCCTTCTCGCAGTGGAAGTCGCTGCAGAAGGCGCGCGTGATCCGGGACAAGGTGACGGCCAAGTCGAAGGGGTACGGGTTCGTGTCCTTCAGCGACCCGGACGAGTTCTTCTCCGCCGCCAAGGAGATGAACGGCAAGTACATCCAGTCGCACCCCGTCGTCGTGCGCAAGAGCACCACCGAGATCAAGCCCACGACGCAGAAGGACGGCAACCGCTGGAACAAGAACGGCAAGAACAAGAATTGGAAGAACAAGAACCGCGGCGGAGGAGGAGGAGGAAGCGGTAACGGATCTGGCGCCGGGGGCAAGCGCGAGGGAAGCTTCGAGCCGCACCTCGGCCCCGCGGCTGCCGGCGTGCATAAGCCGGGCCAGAAGACCAAGGGCGGGCTTAAGCTTTTGGGTTAATCGTGAGTGGCATAAAAGTATAGCTTGGTTACGAGACGAGACTATCCGCATAGCCCTCGTGTTATTGGGATTGGGATTGGGTTGCTTTGCTGTAATTCACCGATGTTAGGCGTTGAGGAAACCCAGATTATCAATGAAAAGCCTCGGTTTAGACGCCGGGGAACATGATCCATAATTGAAATCCCTTGAGAACGCAACTTTGATGTGCTCTATTTTAGGTGAAGATACGATGTCGTATTCCTTCCGTCCCTGTGACTGTTATACAATTTTGATTCCACGACCGACTAGCTACCAGCAGTCGTCTGCGTATACATACAAACTGTCTACCTTGCTGTTTTCCTATCCATAGTCCTTAAGACATTCAACAGTAGACCTGACTAGCTTTTATGCTCGAGTACTTAGATGTGTCAATCTTCTATATTTGCATTCGGGGTATCTTGTTTCCTTATGTGATCCTTTCGTCCCTACTTAGCTAGGTCATCGTTGCCTTAGACCTGCTTCGTTTCCTTCTCACCGTCCCCTGTTCTCTCACCTCAAGCTCTAGATGCGGTGCATCTGTTTTCCTCACACATCCACCAACTGCCTAGTAGCTTCCTCATCTGGCGGATAGATACTTAGGTCATGCATGGGCCCTGTCCTCTTAAACCGAGATCCTTTTCGTGTACCCCCTAATGCAGCCTTGACGTCCTACGTGAGTGATTCATCCGCCCCTTTTGTTTTTTTAATATTCACAGCCTTGCCACGCGGACACCGTTTCCAAGTATGCTTTATTCCATGCAGATGTACAAGTTTGCGCCTTATATTCCCCGCACCTCTATTTTGAACAATCTTTTACAAACAAAACAAAATCAGTTATGGTCAATCCTCCCTCGAGCGCTCCGTCCGGTGGGGTTCGGTAGAGCTTGAAGGTCTGGAGTTTGGTATGGAATCCCCGTCGGCGGCAAGCAGGTTATCTTCTATACCGCTCACGTCTTCGTGGGCTAGAAGTCCGGTTTCTTCCTCATCAGAATCGCTTCCGCGCTCAACCTCACTAGAGGAACCTGACTGCGCTTGTTGGTAGCTCTTGCTATGCACGTCTAGCTGGGCATCGTTGCGCATCTTGGACAGTTTGATCCAGTTGTAGGCACCGATAGCAGCAATCGTCACAACCAAGCCCGAGATGTTGATGGGTGTGAGCTTATCGTCGAAGACCAGCGCTGCGGCCGAAATGGTGACGACCTCTTTAAAGATACCAGCAATGGAAAGGGTGACAACGCTGCTTCGCTGCAGCAGAGCGAACTCGCTAGCCGTCATTAAGAAGGCGATGGTACCTGGGAAAAGGAGAATCAGGGGGGTCCTAAGAGCGCCCCACTCGTTACTCAAAGCCTTCAATCCCTCGATCAATTCGAAGAACCCCTCCACCGGTACCGCGATGACTATCAGAGTAAGGAACATGACAGGCGCAAGGAAGAAAATGCTAGAGAACGGATTCGAAGTGGCCGGGTTTCGAAGCAACAATATTTGCGTAAGACCCCAACGAAAGCCGGAGAAAAAGGCGGCGGATATGACGAGGATAAAACCTCCCAGCTCGAATTCGACCTCACCAGCTACCATCATCACCACACCACCAGTCATAGTCGCGATGATAGCTACCAGTTTCCACGTAGGAGTTTCGAGGCGGAAAACGAAGGCGAAGAGCAGCACGAAGGCCAAGGAAGAGGATTTGCACATGGCTACAATTGTGTTAGTTTGTATCTCATCATATACCGCGCGCGTCATCACATACTATAGAAAGTAAGGGTGATGAACTTCAGGGAAGTGTTTCCCAGTCCGATGTCTAACCCCGTGGCTGCACCACACGGCCCAATCCTCGTTAAATAAAACATCTTGGTCATAATTGGACGTTCAGGCTCAGCCTCGTGTCTCGACCGACCCAAGTCGGAGCTATACTGCGCGTGGAAGGGTCGTAAGGAAGGTATGAAGAATAATACTAGACTAGAAAGGGAAAATTGTACGAGCATGTGCGTCGCGGTCGTGAATAAGGGAAATGCAAAGTTGAGTTGGCCCGAATCGAACATCCATTTGTTGTACTAGGTAGGGAATCGTCGTTAGTATTCGAGGCTTCATCTCGTCGCATGATGTACTGGAAAGGCGGCAATTGACTTACTAAAGAGATTGACAACGAGAACAAATACCAGAGACCTATGAGGATCGCATTGACGACCAATTTCCTGAACACATTCTGGTCCGCCTCTTTCCGTTCCTCATCCGTGATCCTGTCCCTTGCGATCCTCTGGTCTAGTCTGGTATTTCGTCGTCGCTTGGCCTGCTTCCTCCGCTTATCCTTCTTCGTCAAGCCCGTCTCCTCGTCGTCATGTAGATCCTCTTCCGACATGCTGTCCTCGTCCTTGCCTTCCGATCTAGACACATCCCGGCTGCGATTTTCTTCGGAAATATTCACCTCCAAGTCACCAGGGCTCTTAATGCTGGTAGCACGTGGTCGCGAAGTTCGTGAATTGGATGGTTGACCGGGGCTCGGATTCGCTGTAAGCGTGCTCCGACGGCGACGATGGCCGGTGGGAGCAGCTATAGAATCCATCTCGATGTCGTCGGGATGGCGACCGGCGGCGTGGGCGGAGGAAGGGTTGGCACCATCTGACGACCAGTCTACCTTGAAGCTGGTGGTGGCAGAGGATGCTGAGGAAGGATTGGAGAAATCAATGTTGGTGGGATTGGGAGCCAGTACACTATTAACAGACAATGTCGTTGGCTGAGGCGGTGAAGAAAGAGTGGGCAAGCGTCGTTGAGATGGATGATAGTTGGACAAAGGAGAAGGCATATTTTTCCTTCGAGTGGTAATAAGAAGTTAGTGTACGGTTAGGAGGGCGTGAAGTAATACATGCAAATGGACCACAGAAAGCCGGCAGGCATCATGCCGTCCGAATGACCCCCTAATGTCCCTAATGTCCCTAATGTCCCCTAAATGGATCCCCCCTAGTGCCCCCAGTCCAAAGTCTCCAAAGTCTCCAGAGTCTCGATAGCCAGCTCGTTAACTCTACCTAGTGTCGATCAAGCCTGGGTACATAAAACCTGCCTTGGCGATGAAAACAATGGAAAGGTGACCGGTTGACGTGTGCAGCGGTTTGAGGGAGTCATGGATCCCTTAGGAATTACTCGCGATTAAACTTGTATCCGCGTTGTTTTATGCACGAACAGCCTCAGATGTGTAATTGTGGGTACCGTTTTATGTACGCTATCACGTACACCGTAGTTGTATGACATTTAACTGTACATATACTGTCTAATTCGATTTCCTACATGTTCCCCTTGGATATGAACATAAGGAGGCTTTACATCTTAGAGAATATATGTATCTACATACAAGACAGCTACATAATAAGATGTTAGTCTTTCAGAGCCTCGAATAAACGATCATGTTTACAGATAAATCAACCCCGTTTTGCGACAAATGCAATGCCGTTCTATTCGATGACTCCATAAGAGGAGGCTCGATAGCCCAAAGGGATAATGGCGAAGAATACCTTAGAATAGGCGATAAAGACGAATCCGAGAGCTTTGATATCGGTTTCCAATTCAAAGATTCGTATCCTGGTCTCCCTTCATTATCAAAGTCTGCGAAAGCTGGATGCAAGTTCTGCAGCTTCCTCAAAGAAACGGTTGTAAACCTCGACCAAAATTCTAATTTATTCGAGCCCAGGCTTGATGTAACCGAGATTGAAGATGTAACTGAGATTCAAATAAACATGGAGTATGCGTGGCAGAGAAATGTGTACAAGACGGCAAATGGACTTCATGCACTAGAAATCAACATATACGGGAATGATAGTGAAGGTACGTGGACAATTAGTTCTTCAGTCGGCCTCGGAATAAGACAAGTCTAACAAACGACAGGCCAGGAGCGTACAGGAGCCACTGTGACATGCTCTGTCGAATCAGCTCCAGGTGAGTGTATGCATAAGTTGTAGAATAGTGGTAGTCAAATTCTCACCATATCTCAACAGGCCCATGTGCTAGTTGGCTTCGTCTGAATATCAACAGACCTGGCTGCGTATTGAGACCAGATACTATCTCCTGGATTCAAAATAATCTAGACTCGACGGCTGAGGACTTTTCAAGAACACACCCTGATAAAGAATTCGTACCAACTCGTTTGGTACGTGTTGATTGTCAACCTCCTCGGTTGATAGAAACGCGTCATAGTCTCAGCCAAGGAGACAAAGGATCATTTCGGTATGCAGCTATCAGCTACTGCTGGGGGTCACCGGAGCAGGCCAGGTCGCAGTTGAAGACAGAGAGATCATCATTATCGTCAAGACTCTCATCCATAGAGGAGCACGAGATGACCCAAGTGCTGAAGGATGCAGTCACAACATGCCGTGCTCTTGCCATATCGTACCTGTGGATAGATACACTATGCATTATCCAAGATAATTCACAGGACTGGGACCGAGAGTCGGCGTCATTGAGCCAAATATACGGCAATGCTTACTTAACTATATGCGCATTATCGTCGGATTCTTGCAACGGAAGTTTTCTTAACCGGGAGCCAGCACAAATCGAAATACCTTTTACATCGAAAGTGAGACCTGATATCCGCGGATCATACAACTTAAGGGTTGATCCCTTTCTGCGCTACTATGAAATGCCAGGCGAGGATGTCGGGAGAAGCACATGGGAAAGCCGTGCCTGGACTTTCCAGGAGAAGGCTGCGTCGGTACGGATGCTAGCGTTTAACAAGTCGGATATTCACTTCATCTCCCCGTGGAGAAAACAGACACAATACGAAGGAGATATGGAGTTTTACGACCGCAGCTATTTTCAAATAGCCCAGCTAGGATGTTACAAGGACGATACTGATCAAGTTATAGATTTATGGTACAATAAAGTGCTCCCCGGATATTCTAAGAGGCTGCTGACGCATAAGAAAGACCGTCTCCCAGCTCTTTCCGGAATCGCACAGCACTTCAGTAGATTGTTAGACGACGAGTATCTCGCTGGTCTCTGGAAGCGCGATTTATATCGGGGCCTATCTTGGAACTGCTCGTACGACAATCCTCAACCGTGGGACGATTTAATAGGCCGACTTGGAAGTCCCTCCGAATACGTAGCCCCTTCATGGAGCTGGGCTACCTATACTGGTCTCACGGATTTCAGTTTTGGCACATCGCATGGTAGCATCTACATGTCGGAGGCTGCTAAAAAACGGGAAAATCTTCGGAGTGAATGTCGTGTTTTGAAAGTAAACGTCACTCCGAATGGCGTCGACCCGTTTGGTCAGATCAAAGCAGCGTCATTGCAGATTACAGCCAAGATCTGCTCTTTGCCAGCCGATATATACCCTTCCGAGAGAAAACTGACAGAAGCTACTGTCGGCAACTGCTTGGACCCTTTTGCGTATTGCTGTCTCGATTGGAGACCAAACATCCTAAGGGAGCCTCGGAGAGAAGTAATGATGTTATTGCTTGGGACTGTTGCAGTATTAATCCATAAAGTTAAGTCCTACGGTATATGGGCTTTTGGTCTACTCATCAATCCCGTCCCCGAAAAAGATAAATACCATCGGGTTGGGATCTTCTGCTCGGCACCGCGCCAGAGATGGAGTACTCGTTTATTCAACGATTGCCCGGAGAGGACTGTCGTTCTCATCTAAATTTATCGCATATATCGATATTTTCGATATACCAACCATGTGAATCGTCTTAAAGAATATTTCTAACGGTATTCTTTTAAACGGACATCTCCAAGATCTACAGATTCCCCCTTGTTTTAAGTTATAACCAAGTGGAGATCTAGAAAGTTGCTTGGGCCTCCGACGTTTCTCACCGTTGAAACTCTACGGCTTGTGACTTTTCGATTTGGAGAAAGGCAAAGCTTTTGTGTGGGGCGCCGAGCAAATCCGGGGTTATCCAGACTTCCCATTCGCCTAAACATTCCAAATCTTGATCTTGTTCACAAATATCTAGACTACACATCCTCTAAAAAAAGCCGTCTCTAATTTCAAATTGTGACTTGCATAACTTGACGTAATTTCAAAATCCCCCAATATTTCCTATTCTAGACTCAGGATTTATCAACAACACGTCGTCTAATTAGATACGAAAACTCGTATAGTGTGGGCACCATCTAATTGTGAGTGAGATGAGGTGGGCTTAGCTCATAATCTCACCGGAGCTGAGCATCTGCTGACAAAGTCACGGTCCGCTCGATAGCCTACACAGTACTCAAATATCACGAATCAGACAGAATGTTTCGTCACTGACCGCAATATGGGCTGTTTCTGAAGCTAATAACACGCACATATAAAACCAGCGGGGTAAACTGAACAACGATAACAGTTACATTATCCTTCACGCACCTTGCGCGAGCCTGTAAGTCTACGTCTAGTTTATATTCAAGAGAAACATAGGAAAAACCTATCAAGTAACCCTACACGAAGTCATAGCATCCTAAGACAGTATTTGCATCTCCTCTTTCCTGTCAGGGGCAAACTCGTCCTTGTATCGATCCCATAGCTTCTCCAGCTCGGTCACATACAAATCATGTAGTCGGTTGATCTCTTCCTGATCCACCGAGTTCGATTGCGTGACCTTGATCGGGGCTCCAACCACGATATTCAACGGACGGCGGTAAGGCATGAGGCCTACGTCGTAGTTGAAGATCCCTCGTCCATGTAAGAAAGGAAGGGTGAACTTCCACACCTTCAGAACAAACATCTGGACCTTGTGTACCATCGGGTGCTCCTTAGGATGCAGCTGGTCGTAGAGGTTGTTTTCGCCAAATGCTAGCACAGGTACTAGGTCAGCGCCTGTTCTGACCGCAATCTTGACAAATCCCTTGCGCTCCTTCAGAATTAATCGTAGCTGCCCCGGTTGCGCTTCAAGGGATTCCCGAGCACCTCCGATAACAATAGTCACGCCACGACCCATACCCTCCCCGTTCGGTCCACCTTTACTCAGGATGTTGACGATAGACTCTTTCGAGACCGACCGCATACCAGCGGCAAGGATGTATTCACGGTATAGCGGAATACGGAAGTTCGAGTCCAGGGTCAGTAGACTGTTTGTGATGCCAGGAAATTTCTCTGAAAACCCTAGAGCGTCAGTAGCAAAAGCTGCCCAGGCGCCGTGGGAAATGATGCCATGAGGGTGATAACCAAATATATACTTTCGAGTAGGCGGTAGATCGTGGGTCTTGTAAAGCTTAGCTGGGAAGTAGCCCGCGAAGAGATGCCATATGTAACTTTTGCGGAACCACTCAGATCGGTATTTGAGCTTTCCATCTGTAGCAGCTTTTGAGCTTAGGCAGTGTAACAGGTATATAAGTAATAGCGGCCAGACAAAGGGGTTAGCAGACAGAGCGAAAAAGATGGAAACAGTCAGAGCTATACACATGCAGTGCATAAGCACCACGAGCGTCTGCAGCCTGCGTTTTAGAGGCACATTCCACGGGGCCCATCGGATCCCACCATTTGCGCTTGGCTTAGGAGGTAGGTGAATTTCGTCCAGCGTCATATCATCTAACTCAGGATATGAATCGTCGTCATCTTGAGTATGGAGACCACGCCTAGGAGGTGAGTCCCCTGTTTCCTCGACCTCACCATTTAGATCGGATTTAAGAGCGGAGGCATAGCTTGCCACATTCGTCTCGTCAACATCCGCTGTACTTTCTAAGCCAACAATTGTGGTAGCATCACTACCTTCCATGGAGATGGTACTCCTCTCGTGATCTGGAAAGTCATGAGTTCCCTTCATAGGAATGTCGCCATTTTGAAGTTCCCCCTTCAAGTTAGATGATGCATCTGCGACTCCATTCTCCTGGACATTTTCCATCTTGGAAGCGTCTTTTACCCCAGAGTCTTTGCGCTTAAAGACTTGGTACGATGGGCAGCGCTTAGAAACTAATATCCTAGGAATGTGGGATGAGATATTCGGACTGGGTCCCGAAACTCTTGCCGCACTTATTGAATCCTTGAGTGACGAACTTTGGTTGTCTACGGATGGCGAGTGGGGGGAATAGTCACTGGTTGTACGTGGAATCCGGGCTTGACTCGCTGCGGTTCTAGTCGTACGGGGTGGAGTGTAAGGATTAGACAGATCGCTGCTATCTTGGCTCGCCTAGAGGGAAAGGGAGTTTCAGTCAACGTCTTCGTCTTCTTGTGATGAGTGGTATTTGTAAAAATGCGCAAGACATACTATGCTTGACGAAGCAGAGACCTCCCGCTTACGTCCTCTAGGAATTATGGATTTAGTATCGCGCGTCGGGGTTTTCGAGGGGCTATGCTTTCGGGAGCCTAGGTTAGAGTCAGAATCGGCCATTTGTACTTGATCCCACGGATCTTGATGACATCTTCGTCCTAGACGTGGTAACTTGGAGTCGTGAGAGTTGTGAGAGCTATTGGGAGGCTCCTGGCGCGGACGCTGGCGCTGAGGGCTTTTACTCTTGCCATCCGCCATAATTGATAAAACCTAGGGATCAAGTGCTATTCACGTCGTCGAAAAGAATGGAGATAGGACATACCTTAGAAAAAAGGAGAGAAAGGCAAGAAGTGTAAGACGTACTAAGTATGTAGGTATCGTCTATCGTCCGTTTTGGGGATTAAACTTTGAACGTTGTCTGAGAATGCCGGTACTGGCTCTATATAAAGTTTCCCCTAGGAGGCCCGTTTCGTTGGCTAAAAGATTTAGGTCTGCGCCGCGTTGCGATGGCTCGAAGACTATTATGAACAAACTCGGAAATCTCGCAGCCTCGGTAACCTCGGTATGCGATCTGCGATCCGCGATTTGCGACAGACGACGACAAGAAAAACCGGGCCGAGCTAGAATTCAATGACCTGCATCGCAATTGGAAATGTGCCAGAAAGAGAGAGATTTTAGATCTCTTCAAAAATGGCAAGGCTCGGGTCCGAAAATAAAGAAAGATGTCAGCCAACAGTTACACAATATCGCCAGGAAAATCCATCTTACAAACATTCCCAGTTAAGAAGGTTGTAAAATTGTAAGGAGAGAGCTGGCTGTTTGTAGCTGTAGGTAATTTCTAGTTACAGTGGGGCTTACAGCTCATTGTTAAGGCAAGGGCATAAGTGATGAATGACGTATGAGACAGCACCCACGCTGGCACATGCAATTCATTGGCTCAGCTGCACAGTTATATTATCTATCGTTATAACATCACCATATGTAATTACGGAAGTCATGAATAAATCATAGCTTTCTCTCAGCCAAAACGACACCCCTTTCCAGTATTCAAGTTCTTGGGATTTTTCATATCATTAGCATTCTTAAAGTAGGTAAGGGCCATAAACTGCAATAATGCAATAGTTTATCAGGCTATTAAGATGATTTATACTTCCTACCCAAGTCGTCAACTTATCTATATCACCTTCTAAATCTAGGTGGTTGATGTCAAGTCTAATCTCTATTGATATCTATGAATAGTATAATATATTATATACTCACTAACCTAGTTTTCCAAGATGAGTCCAAGACTACTGCTTCAATTGCAGTCTTGCGTTCCAGCCCACCACACATCTGATGAGATCCCAATCACCATCTAGACCAACCCAATCTGTAACTACTATACCAGTACTCCCATCCCCTACCTTTAGACCTGCTGGTCCCTTACCATCTTCACCGTGTCGTAAGCAGAGATACTCGATAATGGCCGGATTCGCCTTGGCCGCGATCTTCTCCGGCCAGCAGTTGGCGTTGAAGAAATTGCTAGCACTCAAGAAATTCACGAAGAACGGCGGCGATGCCACACCTTCTTTATAACCTTCGACGCCAGGAATGGGACACGCAGGTTCAGCCGCCCGTTCAAGGTGACCGCGGGCCAGATCAAGCTTCTTTTGGATGTTATGGCTCTGGTCAATGTCGTAAAAGTCTTGTACACGGCCAAGCCCGCTTCCAATTAGTCCATCCTCACAATTGTCCGGCCAGACGCTGGCGTCAAGTCCCCATCCTCGACCGCCCCATTCACCATCTAGGCTCGGGTCGTTTTCGTGTCGGCGAAGAAGCACAATTTTCCCTCGCACCTCACCAATTTTAGGAATCCGTGGCTCGGTATACCACCGTCTTCCGTCCTCGTAGTAACGCGCCTTCAAGATCTTAGATAACTGCTGATCAGTGCCCCTGCCGGTACCCTCGCGCTTCACACTCATGATAAGTGTTTCAGATGGATTAGCCTCCAAGAATGAGTAAATAACTTCAAGCATGTCTTTGAAGTACTTAGTCCCCGTGAGTGATATTGGAAACGCGCTATGTACGAGCGCGAGCTCTGAGGATTCGGAACCCACGTTTACGCGGATGTCGAAGAACCGCACGCCATTATCCAATTGCTCACGCACGTTGACTGCTTGGCAGCGTACCGAAGGTAGCGCGACATGACAAGTCGGGCTATTGTGCGTGCCTGGGATGGATAATGCCGAGAGAGGATACTCGTCGTGCAACTCATGCATCCAACTTGAGAGATTAGTTGAACTAAAGACCGCTAAACAACTACCAGCCTGGACGTAGATAGTCGTGTACTCGTTAGGAGCATCGTTCAACTTCGTCATGACAGTACTGCGCTGCGAAGCACTCGGCACATCTACCTGGTACCGGTGTCCATCTGACTCGAAGGTCAAGCGGATGACCTCCCGGCCGGGGTCAGCCGTGCGAATGTCCGTTGTGCGGGTCTCGAAGGGCCCGATGGGGAAAGAAACATCACGACGGTCTCGAGCATCGCCCTGGATGCGGACGTTGGGTGAAAGAGACGTCGAGTTGAAAATGCCAGTGATCCTACCAAGAGGAGTCGAGCGGCCGGACACAGACTGTCCTTCGAACCGCTCCACGAGCTTGAGCTCTAGCGGAGTGGCTGTGAGGTTACGGATTGTGAGGTCCGCCATTGGCAAGGATTTTAGGTTAGGAAACTCCGGTGAAGTAGTAGTAGTAAAAGGAATGTCATCTAAGCGGATTTACATAACGTAGAGCCATGGCTAGGTCTAAGCGCCAGTCCAGGAGCATTGTCTTAGGCGGAGGTAAAGGGACACGGCGATTGGATAAGATGCTGTGGGGAGCTTCATCGAAATGCAGCTGGAGTTTATTACTTTTTCCTGGTAAAAGCAGCGCCACTGCCAACAAATCTAAGTAGGAATTGGAAGCCCTTTTCATTCTCTTTGGAATTATCTAGGTACGTGTTACAAAGCTAATAATTAATCTGTAACGTGAACGAAACGCTTTTCAATAATTCATGAATATTTACATAAAATGTAGAATTCATGTAAGGTTGGAGTCACAGCTTATCGATATTGATGTATCGAGATTTTCGTTGTAGGCGGAATGGTTAGTGCAAAATCGTTTAAAGCAATACCTATCAGAACCAAGACTCTTTCATCATCTACATTTTATCAACCACTGTCGCGCGAATTCCTCAAATTTTGGGGGTTGGAAGCCATGCTTCCCCGTCTAGTAGCGCGTCTTCCTCTAGCTAGACACTATGGGTTATGTATGAGAAAATTTAGTAGTGAGGCTACCACTACTCAGAAAATCAGTCTCATATTGTCGACAAAAACCCCTAAAGTAGGTCTATTTCATATCAGATTTCCATAGTAGCTAATGTCCATCTAGCAAGTGGTTATAGAGGCATTACACAAGCATTTTGATCGTTTGCCTAGGAAATCTATCAACACTCTGGATGGTGGAGCAGCCATTTTTGCTTCCCCTAGTTTCGCAACCTGGTTAAGAGATGATAGTTTCATAGAAGGCTTACTTGGAACTCTCTTCGACCTAGGTAACCATGAAAACTCCAAATGCGAAAGCCTTGACGCTTTGTGTGCGGTGACAGATGGGCTCACACCGAAAACACTATTCAGCGAGCCCCAAACGGGCTTTTCCATATTATATGGTCCAACGAAGAATCTCCTTCCTGGCTTATGGGATCTTGATAGTTATCAATCAGTCAGCGATCAGGATATAGAATCTTCGGTGTCATTCTTATCGAGCCCTCTACCCAAAGATACACGGCCCCTTGAGATTACATTGCCTTTAGCAAATACAGTTTTTCATACTGGAAGCCGCACTACTTTGTTCGCAAGCCATTGGCAACGCGATCGTCTTGGGAATTTGGCTCATTCCCAGACGTCCACGAAGCTGACGCAGCGGATATGTCCTGACATCAATTTAGCTGACCACACACGCCCGCTTCTTCCTTTCCTGCCGTTAATACCCCCTCGGAGAATTGTTGCTGGCTTAGGTAATATCGTTCGCCAGGTCGAAGTCGATGGTTCTCCAACCCCTGCCTCAAAAGAGCTAGAAAGCCTCGTTCCAAGAATTTTTGATATTAGATCCAAACGGGATGTATCATATTCACCCGGCCCTATCGGGGTATGGTGTTGGATTTTACCTCCTCATGTCGTGGAAAAGTACAACCTTCTTAACCTAAAAGTCTTCGAAGCCGAATCACCCCAATCGGAAGCAGAATTAACCCTTCAGAGCATGAATATGTTCTCTGAGTTGATCTCTTCCGGTTGTCGATTACATAAAATACGTATGTAATTAACAGTATAGTGTGTCAACTCAAGCTAACGGGGATTTAGTCAGCGGAGGAGGCGGCTGGGGCCTCAAGCAAGGACTTCTTTCCCTTGATCCTGAGACACAGTTTTCTCTGCCGAATCAAGACGATCAACATGACATCGAGATGTTCATCAGAGCTTTCAAAGACATTGGTAATCCTAATCCATCTGAGGGCCTTGTAACTCCAGGTTCATATATCATGTTCTGTATCGAACCGCACTTAACAGAGAAAGAAATAGGGGCAAGCCGGCAGATGGCCCCAATGACAGCCCTAGGTGTTGCTCCGAGCGGTGATCAAGAACCTGATTCTGCAAGCCAATCAAATGATATCGAGATAATCGACAACCATTTCGGTGTGGTATCAAAAGCTGGTTTATTCTTGAAAGCTACGACGTTGTCTCATATGGACAATAGCAGTGCAAGCAAATCAGCTGAACAACCCCAGGTATTCACAACGAAGATTGACTCGCCACGAGCTTCATTTTTACTTTATGGACCTCAAATATAAGTAAATTTCGAAAGGCGACTCATAAAGTACTTATTATAGTACTCTTGACGTCCTACGAAATCCCTCCATGGGTTTGTACGTAGCAAACAATATACGTACTACAGCATACAGTGAATTTAATAGTTTGCAAATACTGTGCAACCATGCAGCTGTCCAGCCGCCAGCGAAGGGTCCACGCTAACTCCACGCTAGCCATTAAAATAGCGTCAAAGCTCTGCGATACAATGGCTACGTACCTCTGTACCCCGTTACACGTACAACTAAAGACCCTCTGAACAAAGCCGCGTCTTTGTAGCTGACATTTACCAAACATCCATTTTACAACAACGCTCGAAAATGGATCGTAGTCTTGATGAGATCGTCGCTGAGTCTCAGGTATGTAATTGAACCATAATTCGACCAAATTGATGATTTGTGGTCGCTTTGTTGCCATTCCTGCTAACTGAATCTTCAGCATAAGAAGCGAGGCTCTAGACCTCGTCGAGGCGGAGGAGGAGGCGGCGGTGGTGGTGGTGGTAGTGGTGGACGACCTCGTGAGCGTGACACTTTTCCTCGCGACGGTGTAAGAAAGGTAATTGGCTCATTATGCACATACTATCGGCTTTCAGTAACTAATCGTCTGCCATTGCAGGTGCATATTTCCTTTCCCTCTTCGACTACGCACTCCCTTTCCTCGAGCGACCGGCTAAGTTATCGACTTGCGCTCGATGCCTCGGACTTCGATCGGTGATGGTATATTCGTGAAGTGACAACGGCTAACTAGCAATCTCGTTCTGCGAGACAGTCAACCCGAGATGATTCGAGAAACATGGATTCGTGAGTAGAACCGCTTCGTATTCCACGCATCATCTTTGTAAACTGACCAGAGCCTAGTGAATGGGTTCACGACAAATTCGACGAGCCTGGCTGTAAGTCGATCGATCAATGTTGCCAAAAATCCGGTCGCATTGACTAATAGAACATCAGCTCGTAGCCGTCAGCGAAACCCACGACGTCGACCTTCTCCAGAACGATTTCAGTTCGTATAACCTTATGATACTTAACCCCAAGAGGCGACCATCTAACCGGATAATAGAGAGACTCGTGGAGTTAAGGTCAAGGTAGACAACTTGCACTATGAGCTTACGGAGGACGACCTCGACGTAAGAATGAGCACATCTTCCCACCGCTCGATCTATATTAATTAGGTTTTAGGGCTTGTTCAACAAGATAGGTCCTGTTGTGAAGCTGGAGTTGCTGTACGACCGTGCTGGACGCTCAGAAGGCACAGCCTTCGTTACCTACGAGACCCGTGAAGATGCGATGGAGGCAATCAAGCAGTACGATGGCGCCAATGCCAAAGGTAAGGATAGACCACGATGATTACACGTCAGAGACTAACATACTCCCTATAGGTCAGCCAATCCGTCTATCGACCGTGTCCTCGGCTCCTCGCCGCAACCCATTCGACACCGCATACATGCCAGGTCGTCCGTTAGCCGAGCGCATAACTCGCCCTCGTTCTCTGTCGCCTCGACGCAACTCGGAGAGGGACAGAGGTGTTGACCGCTACGTGCCTGGCCGTGTCAGTCGGTCGCGCAGCCCTCTGCCTCGTCGACGTGCTGGCGGAAGACGACCCGGAGCTCGACGTGAAGGAGGCACGAGCACACCCAACGGCCGAGAGCGAACTGGCCGGGACGGACGTCCCAAGAAGACGCAGGAGGAGCTCGATGCCGAGATGGCGGACTACTTCAACCCCAGTGGAAGCAATGACGCACCCCCGGCGGCACAGACAAGCGGTGATGCTCCGGTCGGCGATGTGGATATGATCGAGTAAATCGGACCGGTGGATGGTTATTTATTACATGGTAAACACATGATTGCTTGTACGGAGTATTAAGATGGGTCAACAAGAGTGCTTTAAGTCCGATTTTCATATATTTGGTCTCATGCTAGGCAAATAAAATCTTCCTGGCTCTCTATCTGCTGTTCGACTAGCCCCTGAGTGCAGCTGCAGTCTCATGAGCAGATCACGATCGTAGTTAACTTCGACTCCTTGTATCTGATCTTTCTAATCCACCTTTGCTATTTTGAAGCGGTATCATATTAGGAGCTATGCCATCGTAGTTCTAGATCTAGATCTATAATAGACATGCTGATGCCTCAATCTACCTTTAAACCGCCTTTAACGGAGTCTACCCCCTCTCCCATCATCTAATCGTTCTTCTTCCTCTTCGTCTGCAACCCCTCCGCCATAGCAAGCGCCACATCCTCCACCGTCGTGCCGCGCTTCCTCTTCCCGATCTTCTCCTCACCCAGCACCGTGTCGTCCGCCACGGTCCTGTACACCTTCGCGGCGCCGATAAACGAGTCCGGGTCGAAGCCGCCCTCCTCCGACAGCGTGCGCGCGATCTCCTCCATCTCGCCGACCCAGCGGTACGCCTTGGGCGCCATGCCCACGACCCCCCGTTCGGCCGTCGCCAGGTGCGTCGGCAGCACGGCCGCCAGCTCCGACTTTAGCGTCGGCAGGACGCCCAGCCGGTGCGCCGTCGTGAAGGCCTGGATGGCGAGCGACGTGAAGCCCTTGCTGAAGCTCGCGAAGCACATCTTCAGCCCGCTGGCGGCGCCGACGTCGGTGGATATGTGCTTCATGTTCAGCGTGGCCGAGAGCTTAGGCCCGTACCCCGGGATCTCGGCGATGGGGTTGGGCCCCGAGGTGGGGATGCTGGGCAGGTACCATTCCGGGGAGGCGCTGCTGCCGCCGGGTTTGGGATGGGGAGGCCCGCCGAGGATGGACCCGTCGACGAAGCGCACGGTGAACCCGAGCTGCGCGTTGTTGCTGAAGAGCGCGGCGATGCGCTTCACGCTCGACGGCGCGACGGCGTTCAGGTCCGCGAAGTAGAGCGGGGAAGAGGGGTCGCGGCGCAGGGGCCCCGTGAGGGCGTCGACGATGCGCTGCGCGGTTGCGACGGCGTCGCGGGGCGGCACGACGGAGAGGATGACGGGGCAGGATTGCGTTAGGGCCTCGTCCGAGTCGAGGAGTTCGACCTGCGCGGCCTTGGCGCGCTCGAGGGTGTCGTTGCTGTGGGTGGTTTAAGCATGGGATCGGCTTAAGGATACGGTGTTGAGGAGTAATAGTATAGATGCAAAAATCGACGAGAAAGCCCGAGAGTAAATTTTACAAACTCGGGACCGGCGATGCTGATTAATTGACTGACCTTCGACCTTTGATGTTCGTCGCAACGGAGAATCCGTTGGCGATCAGCAGCTTGGCAATCCCGACTCCCATATCCCCGATGGAGATTATGCCGATTTTCGCTAACGGAGATGCCATTGTCGGTTCTCACTCAACTACCCAGGCAATACCTTGTTGTAAGACTATCTTCACGTTGCCTGTGCTAGGTGTCACAAATCCCTTCGATTAAGACTGCTATGATCATTCGTCACATACGCAAGAAACAAGGTATCTCAATACTTCGCGGTGCCATGGTGAGCTTCGTGCATGGGTACATGTCGGTGGCTTGGAGCATTGATGTCCCGCGGGCCAATAGGCTCTTAGCGATTGAGATTCCTCTATACTAGCAAGAAATCGCGTGAGAGGGTTGCAGTTGGACTTAAACTGTCCGATATACGGAAGAGCTGAACAGTGAGCATTTTCTATAACATGAAGTTGTTCGGAATAGAGTTATGAGCTGAGAAGTTGATGATAGCAAGAATTCATACCTAGAAACTCTAAGCTTATAGTCGTCGATTCTTGCTATCATCATGTCGCACTTTACCTTTGTATTCTAGTTCTAAGATCATATCGTCGATTACCTAGGTACATATACCTATTTCAAGTAAAAATTGAATATAAATGTAGTGTACTAATCAAGTATATGTACACGTTTGATGAGGTTGATAATTGCTCGCATTTGATAAGTTGGCAAGAGGCACATGTCAAATGTACTATGCAGATGTACCAGTTGGAAGCTGCGAATGCGACCGGGGTACACTAGTGTATTCAATGTATTCACTTAAATGCAGGTGCTTGCAGTTCAGAACTTAAAAAAAAACAATTATTCTTCGACCCAATCGTAATCATTCCCATCTTCGGCCACATCGCTAATACGGAAACCCCTTCGGCTACCCGTCGGGGGGCGGGGCTAGGGGACAGGCTAGCCACATGGTAATTAGGATTGCATCTTTGAATCTATCCGAATCAAGCATGGACTTCGTCCTTGAATCTTGCCGTGTCCGCGTTACACACCACCATTCGCCGTGCCACGATGGAAAACTCTCCGCACGGAAGTCATTGATGTTCTGAAGATCCAAAGAACAAGAACTCGCTCGCTCTCCTAGCCTGATGGAGTATTCAAATCATGATCATCACTAGGCACCGCAAGTGCCGTTCAGCCTCTTATCATCCGAACCTGTTGCAAGAAGCTTGGAAATCTATCCGGCTGTGCGTCTGCGGGGATTGTAACAGTTCGCCCAACGTGTGGGTGAGCAACTTTTACTATGCAGATTCTGTGTGCGTCTATAAGCGAGAACGAGGTGCCTAGTGTATTGGTATATTGAAACCAGCCACTAATGATCCCTATGAAGCTAAAGGGGCAGACGAGTGAGAGCTTGATATTCCCATGACGCGTCTCTTTTATCACTTGCGAGCCGACAATCATCTGACATCCCATTGCCTTCATTTGTCTATTTCTTCGAAGTTGACGTTGGTAATCCCTGCAAGTTTCACCCGCGCTCATATGTATCAGGGACCAATCTGTGGGCCGGCCAGTGTCGGATTCGCTTCATCCCGTTTCCATTAACCAGATCTATGTACCTACTCTTACAGTAATCAACTCACAATACTAGGTGGTATATATAAGGCGGCTACGCTAGCTTTCAATCGCCCCGGCGGCTTTTAATGCATTCCATAGTCCCACTCGGCCCAAGAAGTCCGACTAAATCGGCTTTTTCCATAAACACCGGTTTCCTATTGACGAAACACCTCAAACTACTTAGCTGGGATTAACCTGCTATTTAATTGGCTAGGCATTCTGTAACAGCTACTAAACTTGTCATGCCGACATCCTATTAACTGGGAAGCATTCGCCTTTTCTAATCAATGACTTCTAGATTTAAGTAAACGCCTAATTCTCAAGACATACGTCGATCGTTGCTAGGAATTTTATCAACTCTAACTACTACTGCTCTGGTCGCCGTTCGGACCTGTTGAGATCGGCTTCTCAACGTATGACCTTTCGGCTAGCCCCTGTTCCGTCCGTCTAATAAGACACATCGCCTGGGATCAAATTCGCCTTAATGCGGCCGTAGCCTTTATCTGGCTCAGGATCACTCTCAGGAACCAAAATCGGCAACTGTATTATTTCAACTATACACCATATCCACGATGCTGTCTACTTGGCGGAACTTCTCCGTTATATCTCTCCTTTCCTCATATCTCCTCGTCTCTCTCCAGCCAGGATGGACCAAATCACAGCTTTTTGGCACATTTGTTGCCATCTGGTTTCTCCAAGCATTCGTCTACTACGCTATTTGGAGGGCGATCTTATATCCTAAATTATTCTCTCCTCTGCGTGGTCTTCCTCACCCTAAGAATGGGTCTTTCTTCATGGGACAATTCAAAGATATACGCTCTAAACCAACTGGTATTCCTATGAGGGAATGGTATGTATATACACCGCTGACCATATACGTTGGTGTCTTGCTAATGGAATATGAAAAGGGTTTCCACTATACCAAACAATGGTATAATTCGATATCTGGGTCCGTTCAACCAAGAGCGTCTACTTATAAGTGGTTCTAAGGCACTTGCTGAGGTCCTAGTTACTCGAAATTATGAGTTTCAGAAGCCAACCACTATTCGCTTCGGCCTTAGTCGTCTCCTGGGTGTTGGTATACTTCTTGCCGAAGGCGAAGAACACAAGTTCCAACGTAAGAACCTCTTGCCCGCATTTGCATTCCGACATGTCAAGGAACTTTACTCGACCTTTTGGTTGAAGGGTCGTGAAGTTGTACAAGTTATGACGAAAAGTATCATCGCCGATGCGCAAAGTGAGGCGTCTATCCAAGACCCTGAGAAAGCAAAGAAGACATCAATAATAGAGGTCGGTGAATGGGCGTCCCGGGTGACGCTAGATATTATCGGTCTCGCTGGATTTGGTCAAGACTTCGGGTCTATTCAGGATCCAAAGGCCGAGCTTAGTGAAACGTATCGAAGTGTATTCAAACCATCAAGACAGGCCCAGAGGCTGGCTTTCCTAAGTCTGATCTTTCCCAATTGGTTGCTTGCTCGACTTCCTATCAAGCGCAACAATGACATCAACGCAGCAGCAGAAACCATCCGAAATGTATGCCGAAGACTAATCCAAGAAAAGAAGGAGAAATTGGCACGCAAGGAGCTGAAGGATCGCGATATTCTCTCTGTCGCTTTAGAATCTGGCGGTTTCTCGGACGAGAATCTCGTTGATCAGCTCATGACTTTCCTAGCAGCCGGTCATGAGACGACGGCTACTGCGATGACATGGGGTATTTACATGCTCTGCAGATATCCTGAGATACAGAAACGACTCCGTGATGAGATTCGAGCAAACCTACCCCCTATCGACTCAGACAAGGGGGTTAATAGTCAAGACATCGATCACCTGCCTTACCTGAACGCTGTCGCAAGCGAGGTCCTACGATATTACGCCCCGGTCCCACTCACACTCCGCGAGGCTGCTGTTGATACTACGATACAAGGACAAAAAGTGCCCAAGGGGACGGCGATCATGTTGTCGCCATGGGCAACCAACTTCGACAAGACTATGTGGGGTCCCGACGCACACGAGTTCAACCCAGACCGATGGATGCCTAAGGGTCCTGACGACAAGAAAGCCGCTAGTGGAGGTGCGTCGAGCAATTATGCATTCTTGACGTTCCTTCACGGGCCAAGGAGCTGTATCGGGCTGGCCTTCGCCAGAGCCGAGTTCGCTTGCTTGCTAGCGACATGGGTTGGTCGATTCGAGTTTGCTCTGGCAAATGAAGAGTATAGGGACGAGAAAAACATAATGATTAAAGGAGGCATCACTGCTAGACCGGAACACGGCATGCATGTCTACGCTACGGTCTTGGACGGGTGGTGATTTGTGTGACGTGTCTGATGGATTATTGGATACAGAACTAACTTGTATATTGGTGGTTAGGTTATATTTAATGATCTAGGATATTGTTAATACCCCTTAGTCTTACTTAGGTAGTTATAGGTACCGTGTATAGATCCCAATGGTAGATATCCCAGTGTTCCAAGTCGAGATTGAATCTAGGAAAGGAGCAGTAAACAGATATATCCCCATAGTGATTCTTGCAATTTTGGTACCTAAGGGGGGCGAAAGGTATGCTACGTAACCTATTACTACACATATCTAACTGATCTATTGTACCTTGATAAGGATGTACGACGTCCTCCCATTTTTGTCTACGCCACCTTTACAAGCCCCTAACGCCAACCTTCAAGAACCACGGGTCCTCGTCAATGCGCTTCCTCAGCTCCCCGGTCTTCAACTCATCCACGTCCCAGCTCGCCCACACGAAGCGGCCGTGAAGGAACCTAGCTTCGGGGGTGGCGGCCCAGACGGCGAAGTCGCCCGGGAGATCGGCTGTATTCCCACGGAACAGGGTTAGCTAAACGGTTCTAGACTAGCCGAGGCAGGAGAAGATATGTTGGTTAGGGAGGTTAGGGGGTTGGGGGGCAGGGTGAGGGGAAGCGGAGGCGACGACGTACGTTCATCCCACGGCAGGCTTTCATCGACGTATCCCGCGTCCTGGGCGCCAGGGGTGAAGATGGCGCCCGGGTGGTAGTTGACGATCTGCATCTGCTCGGGCGGCACGTCCGCCGCGACCGCCTGCAGGGCCGCGGCGCCCGCGCTCTTGGTCACGCTGTAGGTCCGCGCCGGGTTGATCTCCCAATTGTGGATCGCCATCGTTGATACGTGGACGAGGTACTGCGAGTCAAGGTACATTAGTATGGACTTGCCATCTACGCACGCATGCTTTTCGAATCATCTTTTACATCCTTCTTTGTATTAAGAGTCATTACCGAGACCCAATACTGAAATACCTAGGTGGTATAAATAGGGGTAGTAGGCATGGCTCACCTTCGTCTCATCCACTCCCTTCCCCAACTGTCTATAAAACCGCCCGGCAAAATCCAGCTGCGCGCGCACGTTAACATCGTAATACGTCGCCCAGAGCTCCGCGCCCATATCCAGCAGCGGCTTCACGGGGGGTATCGCCGCGGCGTTCAGCACCAGCACGTCGACGACTGTGCCCTCGCCGGCCAGCCTGGCCCACAGCGCCGCGGCGTCGACGGGGCTGCCCACGTCGCACTCCAGCCCTACGACGGCGGTAGGGCTGCCGTAACCGACGCCCGCTTCCCGCGTCTGCGTCGCGAAGGTCGAGTTCGAGAGCGCGGTGAGCGACGATACGGCTTTGGAGACGGGGCCGGGGCGCCGGCCTACGATGATCAGCTTGGCGGCCCGCGCTTGCACGAAGGCGCAAGCGATGGCGTAGCCGATGCCTGCGGAGCCGCCGGTGATGAGGACGGTCTTGCCGGCTTGGGACAGCTCGGGGCGGAGGGGGGAGATGGTTGGGTAGGTGGTGCGGTGGGAGGTTTTGGTTATGGTTTCGAAGGCTGTCATTTTGAGTTGTGGTTAAGGGGGTAGGGGTATTTTTGACTGGTTGATATTGGAGTTGTGGATAGAGGCTTCGAGTTAGAATATTCTTTGAATGCTATGGGATTCTGTTCTCCTGGTCTGGTAGATAGACCTAGGGGTCTATGGCTTATATATAGATTTTGATGTCCTACACAAGTCTGTCATTTTTACTGTCCCTAGCTTATTCAAGCCGAGAATGTAATATGATATCGTCATGCCCTTTCAGAATTAGTAGTGACTCAACATCGATTCCACCGGCGGATGTAGTATTTCCCAAGCCATGCTAGAAAATTGCATGCTTAGATAGTTGCAGAAAGGTGAACAACACCACAATTTCCCGCAGCTCTAATTGGTTCAGGGCCGTGATAACTTCCTCTTTTCCGATTATGGTGAGCGGCCATCTCCACATTTCTCCGTGCTGCAGTCTTACAAATGTGGTAGGCCCCCGGTAAGCTCACATATACCGCATTCATTTCTCACTCGTAGGGCTGTCTCGATCCTAACTTCTTTCAGCTCATTTCCGCAATCCGCGTAGAGAAGGCCAAGGTGTACGTCACGTCGAGCGAAGTAGCGCGCTGGACGCCCTATCACGAACCCGCGATCTGATCTAGCGGATCTCCCTTCCGGAGCACGCAGGAGCGCATAAGTTACAGCGTGGATACTTAATCTCACTCACCTAGACTTACCCGTCGAAGAATGGCTTCACTCTGGAGGAGAGCTTGCACCAGCTGCACCAAGGCCAAGAGACAATGTACCAAAGGTCTGCCCGTGTGCCGACGCTGTGCGGATAAACGCATCCCCTGCGTATACCCACCAGCGCGGCGAATCGTTCATGCGGAAACAGAGGCAGCGATGGCGTCAGCATCAGTTGCGGGCGCGTCTGCAGACGCGCCCCCTGTGAGTCAGAGATGCAGTAACGACGCGGTCTCAGGTGATCTAGGCTTCCCCCCGCTCTCGCTGACGCCAGCGGGAATAGTCGGGACTGCTATAGGATGCCAAGCAGCAGCAGCGCCAATGGCAGCAGAAGAAGCCCTTCAGCCACAGTGGCAGCCTGATGCTACGTCCTCAGAAGCCTGGTTCTTAACGCCGGAGTCGTGGTTCACGGATTTTACGCCTACGCCAAGCCAGCCGGCGGCCGTGATGGACGGCGTGATCCGACGCTTCGTCGAAAGCGTCCAGGACTGGCTGAGGCGCTGGGTGACGGAGGGCAGCAGCCCGCTGCACCACCGACATCTATATCGCGAGAAGATGCCACGGCACGTGCAGGACGCGTACACGGTCATCGCGATGTATCACACCCTACCTCCCAATAACGCTACTCACAGCAATCAAAATCAAAATCAAAACCAAAGTCAAAGAAACCCCAGCAGCAGCACCGACGCCAGAGCAACAGCGATCCGCATCCTCGACGACCGCGCGACGCAACTACTAGAAGACCAGGCGCTGGGCGCGTCGTCGCCGGGCAAGCGCCCGGACGTCTTCGACCACCTGGGCCGCGTGCAGGCGCTCCTCGCGTACCAGACGATCCGGCTGTTCGACGGCGACGTGCGCATGCGGGCGCAGGCCGAGGCGCTGATCCCGACGCTCGCGCTCTGGGCCCGGCAGCTGCTGGACTGCGCGCGCGAGACGCTGGACCGGCCGGGGCGCTTGCTCGCCGGGTTCGCTAGTAGTTTCGAGACCGATTCTATTAACGCTGATCCGGGTTTCGAGGGTGGTAGGGAAGAAAAAGGAGGAGGAAAAGGAAGGGGAGGGAGTCGATGTTCTGAGGAAACGCTGTGGAGGGCTTGGATCCTGGTGGAGAGCGTGAGGCGCTCGTGGTCTGTCGCGACTTATATCCAGGAGATCTATCTGTACCTGAAGCAGGGCTGGTCGGAGTGTCCCGGGCGCGTGACGATCACGATGCGAGGAGGCCTGTGGGACGCCGGGACGCCGTACGCGTGGTACCGCGCATGCAGGGAAAAGGACGCGCTGTTCTTGCCGACGACGCGCACGGAGAGTTTATTTCGTGAGAGGCGGCCCGAGGATATTGATGAGTTCAGCTTGCTCATTGTGGAGCTGGGCTTTGGGCAGGATAGGATAGAAAGGTGGATTGGGGAGAAGGGGAGGAGAGAAATGGGAAGGGCGTTGATGATGGACGGATGGGATGAGGAGATGGCGATGTGATGTCTTTGGAAACGAAGGAATGTACGGACAATGAGTAATGGGATCCTGTAGATGCTGGATTGTGGATGTAATTAAAAATGACTATCTAGTAAATACTCCAACTACGATGCAAAACAAACGACAAATCATCTTCCTCATGGCGATGCATCGAGGCATCGGTCACAACGAAAACGAGAGTTTTAGGACATCAAAAATTGCGCTCACTACGATCCACGAGGGATAATAGAAGAGGGTCGACTCCGCGCTGTGCAATGCAGGTCTCCCCCCTTGGCAGCCTTCATGCTTGAGCGAGGGCTGCCTGAACAAGGTAAGTATGAAGAAGAGAAGAGAAAAAAAATTCTAAAAGTTGAGAGGGAGCTCGGGTATTTATACCTTTCAGTCGGGGCGGTAGGGACCCGCAAATCAGCCAGGGTGGCAGAATTATGGACCCTAGCCAATCAACAATTCTCTTTGATTCTAGGTACGTACCCTTTGTCACATCAGGACCAGCGCTTTGTATGGTCTGTGCAACAAAGCAAAACCGATCTGAATCAATTGAAGGTTTAGAATCTGATATGCACCTATGCATCTATTGAGAAATGATCTGACCCGTTGCCGCCATTTAACGCGTAGACAGCTTTAACCGTGTTATCACAGGCTGTATTGTAGAAGATGAACATGATGATCTATTGGTCCTGGAAGAAGGGCATCGTGGGCTAGGTAATGGTAATGCCATACAATGTCAGATTACAAATATACCCAAGTCACTGAGCATCTCATTTAATTCTAATATATATGAGCCGTAGAAATCAAGATACTGATTTTACCATGTTATAATTGAAAAGTTGCTATTCTGGTGTACGGACGGTTCGACTGAACCAGAAATCATGTAACCAACCCTTTTTCATAGTCTCGTAGTTGAATCGCCCCTATCACCCAACTCAGGGGAGTAATAAGTGCTATAACTCATTGTCCTACTTCCATCAGAACGCCAAACCTGCTCTTTATTACTCCGAATATTCTCACAAACCATTAATATTGGCAGTTTGCGCGCAAGGTCAGGAACCATCCAGAAGAAACAAGTAGATTGATACCGGAGCGGACTGTATTGTCATGGCTTAAGACCATGGATCTGATCGATTGGATCGACTAGATTTACTCAACCTTCTTGCTGTGGCTCAAGATGAGGAACATCTCAGGTACAAGAACGGCCACCCAGACTAGACCGAGGGCTAAACCAGCGGCAAAGATCTTGACGTAGAGCTTGACAAGACGAACCCACGAGGCGCGAGAGAAAGATTGCCACGCATCCTTGACAGTGACAAAGCCCTTGCCACCGACGATGGCGGGCTCCACTCTACTAGCGAACGAACGGTCGAAGGGAACGACAGTGTCGTCCTCGTCGGGGAGGAGGGAGGCCTGAACACGGGTAAGGATAACCTGTGTGGGGATAACGAGGAAAACGTGCAAGACAAGCGAGACGAGAAGCACGATTACACCCTTCCAGATGTCGTTCTTGTCGGTCTCAGGGATAACGCCAGGTTGCTTCGGGTTGGGTAGGTTCATGGACATGGCGTACGCAAGCATCCTAGGGACAAACGAGGAAAGCTCGGCAGCGAAGAAGTACATGACCATAGGGAGGGCGGTAGCGTGGAATGCCTTCTTGAAGGGGGGAAGACGCTGCCAGAAAGTCTTGGAGCTCGGTGCCGAGATAACGATGTGAGTCCATGCCGTGTATAGCTGGACGAGAGCAATCGCAGAGACGGGGGCGGCGATGAGAGAGGGAATGAAAGTGCCAGCTAGAATGCCGTAGACGAACGCAGTAGCGACACTGAGGGAGAAGTAGCACGCGAGACCTCGGAACAGAGAGCGCCAGCCACTGATAGCAGTAAGGGCACGGTATGTAGATCGGAGAGAAGAGGTAACCAGACGAGCCTGGGAGTTAGCGGCCTCATCGGCAAGCGGGGCATTGTCTTCGGCGAAAGATTGGGCGTCATCGTTCAGGGACACGGGTTCGTAAGCCGGAGGAGACGGGTCCTCGACGATGGCAAGCGTGGGGAAGACATGATGGAGAGAGTAGTTGACCTAAAGAACCGCGTTAGTTGTTTTCCAGTACGCGCGTAGTTGGTTATCGTACCACCAAGACCAAAGGCAAAAAGATCAGGATATCCAAGAAGATGAGCCCCAATCCCCAGCCTGGCATCTCATAGTTCCCCATGGAGTCCTGACCCCGCTTATAAACCGCGTGGGCGATGTCGTGATACATTTTGGGTGGTTTATAGTATTCAATAAACAAGAGTTAGTGGTACACAAGGGAATGTGGGATAGGTAGATTAAAAGAGCAATTCAAAAGATGGGATAGTAATAACAATAGTTAGAAAATGTAATGAAGAGGGGGTGATGAAGATGTATGAAATGGGGGAACAAGAGCTGAAAAAACTCCCTTACAAATGACAAATGTCAGCGCAGGCGACTCAAAGGAACACTGAATCTCAAACAGGATGCGGCTAATACAGTGTGTAGCACTGTTAAAGCTTAAGCGATCGGACTAATAACTGTTAGGTTGATACTTTGCATGAACATTGCCTTATCACCAATTTTGGAAGTATTTTATAACCAGAACTCCGATAACTGTCATTTTCGGAGAGTCGGCAGCACAGTAAGTCTACTTACGTATTGTCGCATTCAATCTAGGCAACCGCCGCCCCCGATCGTAAGGTACCGACTGCACTGCCTCGCGTCTCAAAGTCCTAACCACTTACTGCACCTACCTAACCTGATGTTGGTAGCTGACCCCGTCGCTTCCGTTGCTATTGATTCGATACTATCCAGTTTTATCTGGTACACTGTTAGGTCTAGATTTTGCGAGAGCCAATAGTAATTCACTTATGATTTAGCGAGGTTCCTTAACAACAATCTTGGAACTATTACATCACATCCGCAGCCTTACAAAACCCAATCTGTTCAATTCACCAACGCCAACATCAACCAGATTAACTACATGTCTGCTCCATCTATCCCAAATCTCCTCTCGCTCCGAGGTTCGAGGGGAGGGGGTCTCAGGGGTCGCGGTCGCGGACGAGGAGGTCATCCACATTCTACGGCGATTAGCCATGATGCTACTATCCAGGGCACAGATACAGATGCCGCCGTATCGCGGATGAGCGCCGTTGAACTTGGCTACCTGCAAGACCCATTCGCGCAATATTTCGTCCAGAACACTTTCGGTGGCGCCGGCGCCGTCAGAAGGCTGCCCATTATAAACCGAGGTAAGGTTTCCGAGGGCCGTTTTGCCCTAGCGAGTGCTAAGGCTAGAGGTAGGGACTTATACCCGGACTACTGCGTTGGATAGACTAATATCCTCATTCTTGGCGGGCACTGCAACGCGAGAGCGGCAAATCATCTCACTCGGTGCTGGCACGGATACGAGATGCTTTAAATTGTTCTCTCAGCCTCACCAAGCTGGTCTTATCTACCATGAGATCGATTTCCCGGCAATTTCTACCAAGAAACTGAACCTCGTGAATGCCGTCCCTCAACTCAGATCCATCATTGCTAATCCGCAGGTCGAAGACAGCAGCTGGAAAAGCTCAAGTCTGCAGAATAACTGCCAATATTGGTGTCACGGGTTAGATTTGAGAGATCTACTCAAGGATGATGTGAAATCTCTTGATGGCCTCCGGACAGATGTTCCGACCATCCTAGTTTCGGAATGCTGCCTATGCTATCTAGAGACCTCAGAGGCTCAGGGGGTAATCAATTATTTCACTGAGAAGATACCAAACCTGGCCATTATCGTCTATGAGCCAATCCATCCTAATGATACTTTTGGTAGACAGATGGTGTCCAACTTAGCTGCGCGGCGGATTCGTATGCCGACGCTAGATGCTTATCCAGACTCTGCCAAACAGCAATCCCGACTGAAGGATGCAGGATTCGTTTCGGTGAAGAGCTCTACAATAGGGGATATATGGCGAAAATGGATCGCAGAAGAGGAGAGAGAAAGGGTGGATAGTTTGGAGGGGCTAGATGAAGTTGAGGAGTGGGATCTCCTGGCGGATCATTACATCGTGGCTCGAGGCTGGAGAGGGGATGGCTTTCAAGCGTGGGAAAATGAATTATGACGGAAATAGAGAATGAATCGATGAGCGTGAGGATACCTATTTCTCTATCCTCTCCATCGTTAAAACACATAGCAGCTAAAGAACAGAACATATTCAGTTCTATAGTCTCTTGATAGATATCAAAGGGATATTTGATGTATTCCCCACCTCACCTGTAATGTGCCACTTAATCAATAATAGATATCATGCAATTACCATTTGTATTAGCAACTTGAATAGTGAAATAAACCCAGGCCAAGAATTGTGAAAATATGAGAATCAGAATAAAATAATTCAAAAAGGTTGAAGTTCTTGTTGAATGCTTGTTATTTTCTTCTTTCACTGTTTAGAGTTGGTGGCTGGACTTTTGTAGTATGTATGTGCCACTAACTTATTAAGCCACTATTTTGTCCCGCCAATTATGCATATTGGAATTTCAACCTTCAATTGAATTCACAATCATTCATCTTTTTACTTTATTCTACCATCTCAACTTTCATAAGCTTCACTAATTGGTGTTTGGGTGATATCACGTATATCTATTTCCCTAAAATTAACAGTAACAATACATTCATCAATACAAAAATTCATTATTAATACGTTACTTATCATCGTCATCGTCAATCAAGATGGCGGACAACAACAAACAACACAAATACAGGCAGGAGATCCAGCAGATGATGTACGTCTCGGGCGAGACGGGCGAGCCATCTGTTGAAACGACCGCCATGATCGAGGAGATCGTGCGGCAGCAGGTGATCGAGATGCTGCGAAACTGCACGGAGCTCGCGGCGCGGCGCGGCTCGCGCTCGATCACGATCAACGACCTGATCTTCCAGATCCGCGACGACGCGCCCAAGGTGTCGCGGCTGCGGACGTTCCTGTCGTGGAAGGACGTGCGCAAGAGCGCCAAGGACTCGGACGAGAAGGGCGGGGACGCGGACCTGGGGGTCGCCGACGACCCGGCCGGCGGCGTGATGCCGGGCGGGCCGGCGGTCGAGGAGGCGGCGAAGAAGAACAAGAAGGCCAAGGTCAAGCTGCCGTGGGAGCCGTCGTCGTACTATAGCCAGGAGGTGCCCGAGCGCGACGACGAGGAGGACGAGGAGGAAGAGGAGATGAACTACATCACGCTGCAGCGGCTGCGCAAGGCGGACGAGCGCACGAAGGCGATGACGCGCGAGGAGTACGTGACGTGGTCCGAGTACCGGCAGGCGTCGTTCACGTACCGCAAGGGCAAGCGGTTCCGGGAGTGGGCCGGGTTCGGGATCGTGACGGACAGCAAGCCGTCAGACGACATCGTGGACATCCTGGGGTTCCTGACGTTCGAGATGGTGCAGACGCTGACGGAGGAGGCGCTCAAGATCAAGGAGCAGGAGGACTTGTGGAAGGAGCGCAGCGGCGGCGAGAACTCGTCCGGCAACAAGAAGCGGAAGCTGGCCCAGGGCCTGTTTGACCCGCCCAACGAGGGCAAGACGCCCGTCGAGTCGAGGCACATTCAGGAGGCCTTCCGCAGGCTGCAGGCCCGTCCGAAGAAGTCGAGGGCCATGCTCAACGGCACGAATTTGCAGCAGAGGACTAACCTGAAGCTGTTCTAGTAGGGTAGAGAGGTCGGAGAGGGTGGAGGAAGCGCGTGTTTTGGCTACGCCTATGATCTTGAAAACCCCTTTGGTTTCAAGAACGTTGGCTATTTTTATGACATAGCTGGATTACAGCGATTGCGAAAGACTGGAGATGAGAGGGAGTTTGGGACATACCCAGGAGTAGCGGTGTTTTAGGAGTCTTGTTGGGTTGGTTGAATTCTATCGTTTTACTTTTCTGAATTCACAACTGGAAGCGGCTTGGTGTTACGAGGAAATATCAAGTCACAATATAATCGCTACAGATAGATTACCTAGCCATTGGCAACTTCACGAGGATTATTCATTACACAATTTCTAAATGTGTCGCTGATAATAGCCAATATATTTGGCTACGTTCCTCTCCAGTTTTTGGTTAGGTACTCTATCTAAATTGTTTGACGTGTTCGAGAGATATTTAGATGGAGACTCGAGAATTAACGGGTTTAAATCGCATTTAACACTTCCAGCCAGTAGGTGGTGCCAATTCGTCCATGTGTGACGGGCTTTCGCCGTTGTCGGTGCGATTAACCCGGCCTCATGATCGTCGATACAGTGGGGAATTAGGGTCCGGTAGACTTCCGCTGCGGCATTTAGTCCCGTAACACAGCATCGTCCATCACCTTTTCAACTCTTTAACTTGCTTTTCTTAGAATTCAGCATACGTACTTCTCTTTAGATCTATGGGTATAAAGGATACAGAAACGATCACCAAACTAAGAAATAGACCATAGAATAGACCAGATCGCTCGCCTGCCTTTTCTATACTTCTACGTCATCATGGCACCTAACTCCCGTCTCATTCTGACCCGGCACGCCCAGGCCGAACACAATGTCGACCTGGACTACAGCAGTGAGTTGCACATCCGGAACGTACCTTAGGTATAGGTACATAGACAATATTGCAGGCGATGTAACTAACAGCCTGCATCAAGTACCTGACGCACCGCTCACCCCGCTTGGCAAGAAGCAAGCGGCGTCCCTAAGCCGGCTCATCCCTGACCTGCAGAAAGAGGCAGAGGTTATCGTGTCTTCACCACTACGACGCACCCTTCAGACAACATATCTGGGATATGCGCCGGCCATCGAGCGGCTCGGCGGACTGAAGAACGTCGTCGTGCTTCCTCAAGCCCAGGAATGCAATGACTTGCCGGTAATTAACACCGAAATTTCCTTTCCCTTGCCTTCTTTTTAGCCTGATCTTATAAACATACCTTCTTAATCAACCCGATTGAGGGTTCCTCTGCCTTGAATATGCTCAAAATATTATAAATATTTCCTTCTATTCTGAAGAAATCGCTGATTGTTGTTGAAGTGCGACACGGGCTCGTCGAAGGAGGTCCTAGAAAAGGACCCCGAGTTCGCAGTCTTCGATCTCGCGCCCCTGACCCCCGACTGGAACAGCAAAAAGGGGTTCTGGGCCCCGAGCGACGAGGCGCTAACGGAGAGGGCCCGATGGGTAAGGAAATTTTTGAGGGACAGGCCGGAGCAGAATATCGTGCTCGTTTCGCATGGTGATATTCTAAGGAGAATCACAGCAAGACCAGGTAGCGGCCCGAGTGAGTACCCTTGGAAGAACGCCGAGGTGAGAATCTTCGAGTTCGATCCTGAGTTCGTGGATTCGGAGGAGTGCTTCTTGTACCAGAGGGAGAACGTGGCGGCTGCGGGTGGGTATGGGCTGACAAGTACGGAGCTAGAGATTGAGCAGACCGAGGGGAGGTTGTAGAACTCTACAGATCAGGCTTTATGGAATTATGTGTATCCATGGGTATTAGATAGGAATTTTGGCGGGTAGAACGCCTGCTTATAGATGTAGACAGGCTGGTAGTCGATGTTCGACCTTAGAGGGGAGAATTCGGAAATATCTACGTGTATTCCTATAAAGATAAGTACGTGAGATATACATGTATCACCTGAAAAAAATGAATCAAGTAGGAGATGGACTATCATGAAGGCATTTTCAAAAGCTTACCTACCTAGGTACGTGGTATCGTTTCATCTCAAACCATCTTCCAGTGAATCATGATACTCCTTCAATGACTGGAGGCAAACGACCTGACTTGGACGATACCTACCTTACTCACAGGTCATACTAGTAGTTGAAAACTCTTCGTAGAAATAATATATATCTCTACCTATCTTCGGAAAGCTTTCACCTTTTCTCATTTCGCCAACCCGGTCTACGACTGAACTCGGTACTTAAAAATAATGGACGGAATTTCACAGCCGATATCTTCACCATTCCGTGGTAGGATCAAAGTATATGATACACCCGACGGCAGCGACGTACGCTGGACCGAACCGCGGCGTGTCCACCTTCACAAGAGAACACCTTCAGGGGCTACACTATGCTGCGCTTCTGTCACCATAGGCGGCGTCGTAGAGGACCCGGACAATTGGCTGGTCTGGTTGACCTCGGACCAGCTTGTGCCGGAGTCCGAGAGCCAGCTCGAACAGCATTCAGACACAAGCGATGAGAGTTGCGTCTGCATCGGATACGTCAAACACACGAGCCGAAATCTTCACTACACCCTAATCGACATATTTGTCAACCTACGCGATACGGGCGTCCTCACAGCCGGGAAGGACTACATCTCAGGGAAACTCTCGTACAAAGCCACACTCCATCCCGTTATCGTCAAGGACCAGCACAGGAAGTCCGATCTGGTTGTCATGACTCGGAGTCGGCACCAGGACGTCATGACGGGTTGCATCACCTCTTTACCGACTAGAATCGCACGCCCGGCTTACATGGGCACCGGTGAGCTCATGGTCGCTCATTTCGATCCTTCTCAGGGCCGCGTGCCGTCGAGGATAGACGTAGGGACGTGGGTGTATGTGAGAAAGCCCAGTCACGATATCAGCCCCGAGACCAACGGAGTAAGGGGGATCGAGGAACTGGAAGACGGGATGAATTACGTCGGGGTCTTTGGGGGACACGGTGGCTATGATGGCCGCAAGAAAACTTTCATTCCGGTCGTTCTACTCGGGCACATCGTCGAGGTCGACGAGAGTGGGAGTAAGAACGCGAGTGTCAGGGTGACGATCCAGGGCTCGTACGAGGTCTTGACTGAGATATTCATCCGCCGCGGAAAGCTGGAATACCCTGAGGGCGACGGATGGGGGGCCGTGGATACTGACACGTCGCCGATTCCCACATAGAATGATACAGGAAGCAAGATTTCTTGTTGTCTACGATATCCCTTGACTTAGAGTTGTCGGTCACGATACTCCTCGTTCTTGGCAAAGACGGGGAAAGAAAACTGAGACGCATAGTAGTTAAGCGAGGTGGAAAATCTAAGTAGATAGGCTATGAATATACCCAATGAAAATATCGGTCTGCGATGCTCGATGCCAGTTGTTGATACTGCCCTCCTCGTCTAGGGGCTATTCTGGGGCATGCCTGACTTCGAGAACGACAACAACACTATATTGAGAACAATTAAGTCTTAGAAGCAATTTACTCCAACCTTGGGGCATAATTACGCAACTGTCTAAAAAGACTATCCTTTTAGATGTGGTTGATGAGTGGACGGATGATAGCAACATATGATGGCTAAGGGGGAGATATCTCAAACTCCGTCATGTTACTCAAGCACCCGCTGTCGATTCATACGCTTACGTATGACATCAGTTCATCCTCAAGCCTTTTGAAAAAAGTTCCTTTACTAATTACTCTAGATTAACTTGAGTTATCAACAGGAGGTTGTGTTACACGCAATTAAGTAGAGCAATAGGATCGTCTACCTAGCTTAGCACTTATGATGATCAACATCTCAGCCACTAGCATTCGTAACTAGAATATTCTTCCATCCGGGAATGCGCCTAGACATTCGTACACATCTAGAGATGCCGCACTCCGTACCGACTGAGAAGCCTCCGGCCTCTCTATCCATATTCGATAACATCTCCTTTGAGGGCATTCTCAGGGATAGAGAGGGAGCAAATATCGGTGAATACCTAGTTCTAAGTCTACCTAGTCAAAACAGGCGGCCAGACAGGATGTTGAGTTCTCGAAGCTAGGAATGCAATCTTTGAGCAGTACTAATGTCAGGGTCCAGGGCAAGTAGGCTATTGCCCTGCGCAAGCGCGGGAGCTAATGCAGTATTGCTGTCATGGAATAGCTACCGGGTTAAGCTTTTTGATTTATAGGCCTTGAAGGGGGAGAAAAGCGGTCAATTTGATACAGCTATAGGCTCACACGGACGAGCCAAGCCGCCTCCTATCCCCCGAGTATTACGGAGCCGTAGATGGATGAATACTTTGCGTCGGCAAAGGCGGAAGCGGATGCTTCTATGTTCTGGCCCTCTGTGATTGACAGAGGATCGGGACAGAGGGTTTATTGGAGAGGTGTGACATGTTCGTCATTATCAGAAGAGGTACGTAGGGTGCCGATCGATCTCGATATGCTCGAACCCCAAGGCTGGGTAAACGTGGAAGAGCTGAAAATGGTAAGGCCTCCGGGATGGCCATACACTAGTTTTCCACCACGGAAACTTCCATCTAAAGACCACTACCCTTTGCCTTGACAATATCACCTGTTTCACAGATTTGCCATTCGCCTATTAGACTACTACCAAGACACCTATGAGAATATTGCAAAAATAGCAACTTCTTCTAAGGTCACAATCAACTAACGGACTGACGTAATGCCCAGCTTTTCGGCTCTGTTATACTTATTTCGGAATCTCGAAAGCGAGTACGACCGCATAGTGGAGTTCAATGGAGAGTGGCGGCTTCTAGAGGGGCTGAGTTCGCTGTCACAGATGTTAGCATACTTAGTTTTTGAATATATTTTTATTCTCGTATTCATATATATTGATAAACTCATTATTACAACATTTGTCGACTTCATCTAGCTTGATAAGGATTTGTGAACGGTGATCTGTTGAGAGTTGTGGATCATTATCTTGGCTGTTTATAACAACGTAGACTAAATGCTACACTGCAACCTATGAGCGCTTGTCTACGCGTCTAGATGGGACGGTTTTTAGTTTGTCCCTGTACAAGGCCTGAGGGCCTCAAAGGTCCATCTTCGCTTTACGGAGCTAGCAGCAACCAACGGTGAAGATTAAACAATCAAACCCTTACCTAACAAGATGTCTTCGCGCCTCAACCTGGATGGCTTGGATATCCATTTGTTTACTTGGGACATGAAAACTGTTCCCGCTTACCCAATCGGAATATAAGGAATTCGTACTAAAATATACCGGCACTAGCGGTAGTGTGACAGCGACGACAGCTATAGCAATTTCCTGGGGTTCGGCTCTTGATAGGATGTAACGTTTCTGTACCGGCTTCGTCAACAACGCTATGTCTCGACTTTAGAGATGTAATTGTTGGGCATAATAGAAAGAACTAAAGAAAATACAGCCACTCACTAACTAGCATCTTGGTGAAAACTACCATGTCATGAGATTTCTAGGAGTACCGACCCCACTGAATACGAAATGAGGTTCATGCTGCTCTCACCGTCATCCGGCTCCGCAGATCCACGCCCCAAAGCCAGCTAGCTCTGCCAGCCCTGCCAGCTACCACCCCCACACTCCCGTCTGCAATGAGACTTCAAAGTGAACGTCGTAGGGTCCAAAGGCATATAAATATCCCATTGTCCTTCCTGTTCTGTCCTATCTTGTCTTCAGCCTCATCACGCAATCACAGCTTCATCTCAACTACACACTACTCAACTCACTCAAACAACTTCAAGTCTTTTACGACATCCCAAAAACCTTCAAATCCATCAAAATGCAGTTCTTCGCCGTCGCCGCTTTCGTCGCCGCTGCCTCTGCCAGCACCGTCTTCACGGTCTCCGACTTCTCTGCCGGATGCATCCCCCACAGCACCCAGTGCTCGTAAGCAATCCCCTGCTCATCGCATTGTTCGGACCATGAGCATAGCATACTAACAATCACGCCTATAGTTACAACTTCGGTGTCATCCAGGCTGGTAACGGCGAGACTACTCCCGTGGCCTGCTCTGCCATGGTCGCCGCCAACACCGACGGCTCTCTGCCCGAGGTCAAGGCCGGCACCTGCAAGGACTCTGCCCGCACCTTCACCGTCACCAAGGGCGCTGATGGCCTGACCCTCACCGTCACCCAGCCCATCACCCCCTCCAGCAACCAGTCTGGCTCTCACCTGCTCGCCAACAGCGACCTCAAGACCTCCAACGCCCCCAACGCCGAGGTCCAGAGCTACGCTGGCCCCACTGGCTTCGACCTCACCTCTTAAATCTTGGTACGACTCTGACGACCTTGACTTCGAATCTAATGTGGAGGGGCTTTTTGGTAAAGGGGTTTTTATGAATGGAATGAAAACATACTAGATCATCTATAGAGCACACGCCTTGCTGCGTCAAACAATCAACGGCATCTTGCATTCTTAAACAATTGTCTACCTTTCAGTGATTTGTATAAAACCTAGTAGATTGTCAATATTTCAGTTTCTTAACTTGTGAGTCCTAATTATCATGAAGACCATTCAAAAAGTAAGCGCATCTTCTGATATCAAAAGGGGGTTGGTGACTAACAAGTGGGTCCTCATGTCAGCCTCTCTAAATAGGTACCTGGGACGCGATGACGTCCAATAAGCTTAATTTTAAGTTCTGACTTGCGTATCTTCATTGGCACGTATATTCGCTCCATCTTCACTGTACTTTGGATCACATGTACGAGATGGCTAGAGACTGCACAAGTAATGATGGCGAATTTTCTAGATGCGATGATCGTATGTGCTAAATCATAATATTAGCATGGTGTTTATGCTACCACATCGACGACCACATACCCTACCAATGGAAAAGGGGTGGGTTACGTACTCATGGCCGAGCTACCTGAAAATTCAGCCACCTCATAACTCTCATAACTCTCATCGCGTTAACATGCTTCGTATGCCTCATATCTCATAACCCCCAACATAACAGTGACCTCACTCCTAAGCCTGCCACCTAGCCGTACAATGCGACCTACCTCCATCTCTAAAGAGCCCAAGTCGCAGCCGGCCGTATAAGCGGGCGCTTCCCCTTCGGATCATCCGTGTCCCGCCTCGCCCTAGCCGCCCTCCTTTCGCGTTGCCTGCCCTCCATCCGTTTCGTCATAACGCGTTGCAAACTCATCGGCAAATCGTCCACCGCCTCTTCGTTATTATCCGCGGCGCCATCGCCGCCCCATAACGCGGTCGACGTTCGCCTCAGCATATTCGCGTCGACTCCCATATTGACGGCCGGGCCCATAACAGTACCGTGAGATGGCATTTTCCCTAGGGTGAAACCGCGTCTCCTGCGCATGAAGCTGTTTCCAGATTTGCTCTTAGTCATCTGAACATTCTGTTGTTCTGCTTCCGCTTGCGCCGCGGCTGCCGCCGCATTGCGGTCCGACTCGCGCTCCCTGATCTTCCGCGCGTATTCGTGGAACTTGGGGCGCTCCAGCATTCCGCTGCGGAATGCGTTGACCCCGACCAGTAGCTTGGCGAGGTCTACGAGTTCTTCTAGATATTCAATGATTTCCACTAGGATGAGGTTAGCAGATCTTGGTTTTCTAGGTACCTAGGTACGGAAGAATTTAGTGTCGTTAAAGCTATGAATTCGTTCAAGGACCCCAGGCAGATGCTAATGTTTGGGGCAGAAACGTAGAGCGCAAAAAGTGAAGATGAAAATTGCTTACTCATGCCCGCAGAACTGGCATTCCAGGATAGGAAACTCTGTCGAGTCATCGACTTTAAAACATGTGGCTGAAGCGGAATAGAACCCCCTGTTGGTGTTGCAGGTGAATGAGTGCCGGTGTTATATGCCGATTTCACTATACCCCCAAGCAGAAGTTCACGGACTCGGCTAATATATCGTAGCTGTGCTACGCGGCAAGATGGCAGAAACTGAGGGAGAGGTAGTCGCGTTGTTAAGGCCTCGTTGACGGCAAAGAGGGTGAGCATCATACTAGCCGCGACGTTGCGACGATATGGTAAGACATCAGCATTTAACTCCTCGATCACGCTGCTTCCGTACGCTTTGCGGAGATGAAGCATGTTGTCCATACGATCAATGATTTGAAACAGGACGTATATCATCTCACCATAAATCAATGCTTGTCCCTTGAAACTGCCTTTCATTCTTGGTTCTGTTAGGCAAAATGGTAAGAACGTACGGGCTGCTGCAAGGGCCTGCTCAGCCTTTTCCATGGCGTCCTTGAAATTCTCACTTAATGCATGAGATTTAATGTCGACGTTCTGAGGCGAGTCGATGCCAACAGCGATCGAGCTCTCCATTTGCGAAATCTGTTGGATTGTCGAGGCTAGAGACTCGACAAGCCTATCTCGAGCTCGGACAGGGAAAAGAAACATCTCGACTAACAGTGCGATGGTCCCACCAACAAGGAAACATACCATTCGTTGGACAAAGATCTCCCATGGATGGTCCCCGGAAGGTTGAAGAATTGTTGCTGGTTGCATACCTATTAGAGATGTTGATTCGTCAAGACGCGAAATCAAGAATTTACTTACCAAGCCCGACTACGGACATACTGACTAGGGAGATAATGCCTGTTTTGACGAATGGTGTACCGAGATGGATATATGAAGAGGGTACGATACCGAATACAAGAACGACCACGGCGACAATACGGTTCCCTTGTCCTATTTCGTAAGCAAGGAAGCCAACAACGCAGCCAAATATGACCCCGATCACTCGAAGGAAGAACCCTTGGAAAGAAGTTCCTACCGAAACTTCGAAGACAAGGACTAGTTGAAGAGACGCCCACGACCCACGGATTGAATTGTACCAGGCTGTGCAAATGTTTAGCAACTGATCCACCACGTCTCTTCGGATATTATTGAATTACCATTAGTTGCCGGCACGAACGCAGGCCACGTTATAAGGTACGCTGCTGTACACATTTTGAGAGCATAGGCGAGATCATCGGAGTCGGCAAAGAACTCGACTATATCAGCAGCCAGGCCACGTAACCACATAATATTGCTAGCTTCAGACTTCTGGGGTCCTTTCCGCATCGGAATCCTACCCTTCTCGGGAACCGTGGGTTGCTTCGATATAACGTGACCAGCCTCTTCGTCTACGGAACGCCTTAAAAGCTGTTCTTCGCTAGCATCTGCGTCCTGCTCATTTCCGTTGAGGTCTTCTCTCAAGCCGTGACCCTTTCTTGCCTCCTTTCTTGCGTTCTCCGGAAGAGCGTTTACGTCGTGTTCTCCGCCACTTGTCAACCACTTTTTCCAGCCAATCCTTGGAAAATAAAACCGACGATGGTTGTTCCTCGATTGCCTCCGCTCAACAAGAGATCGTGAATGTCTCAGCATATCCATGGTTTGGCTGGCTGCTTGTCGAACGCTAATTAAGAATGAGGAGATAAGGTGCGTCTCCATCCGTGGCATAATGTCGCCACGTGATTCTCGACCATATTCTATACGGGCAGCATGCTCGAGAGCTGTAGCGGAATCTTGATCAAATTGCAACAATGCTTCTGCAAACATGTTCACTCGGAGATCAATCTCTTCTAAGGTGATACCCTTGGGAGTTGGAGCGCCCGACGGGAGACGGGGTACATCGTAGCAATATGCTAGAGCAGAGGTTATCACATAGACTGCTGCTTGTATCTGGTCTTGAAGGATCTTGGTCGGTCCGCGGATCTGGCAAAGAATATGCTCTAGGAGTTCAATGTCACCAGACTCGATTTCCCGAATTGGTTTGATGAGTTCGATGTTCTGCGCGTATTTGGACTTACGCCGTGACTTTTTGGTATCGCTTTCAGAACTACTGTCCGAGTCGCTGTCTGTCTCGGGTTCGGAGTCTTCGTCATTAGTAGTCTTCTCGTCCGGCTGTTCTGGTTCTTCTGGCTGATCCTCTCCGTATTTATGGCCTGCTAAAGCATATTTGCTTTCACAAGCATTGATAAGACAGATCGTAATTTGGACAAGGCGTGACATCAAAGTCATGCTAACTGGCTTCAATGATCGTGGAGGAAGGACCGCGAAGACTAATTCGAAGTTACTCTCCGCTTGAGCTTTCTTACAGCTACCAAGCTGGGCTCTCAACTTTGACTTTTTCTCAGTTAAGGCTACGAGTCTAGTTCGTAATGACATCGAAGCTGACTTTTCCTTTTCTGCGTCCGCTTCGTCTGGTTGGATAGAGTCAGACATAAACCAGTCTCCGGACTCTTGGAAACAGTTGATCGTCGCACACAACGTTTCTATCGTGGACTTTCCCAGAAAACCGCTTGAAAATTCGGGGAATATGGTGACGTTCACAAATACAATGACACCGACTGCCGTGAGGATAGGATACGCTATGTTCGTAATAATGGTAGATGATACTGAGACTGTCGTGCTCGTTAAGATAGTAATGTTGATGAGCAAGAAGAAAAATACAAACAAAAATAGCCTAGGCGCTGATGAACGTGTGATACCATGGAACAACAGGGCCAATGTGAAGAAAATCGCTCTGATGGCTAGAGACGCTTGGATGTTGGACTGGTGAACGAGGCTGGAAAGGTAAAGTCCCAAGATAGCCCAAGCGACCCCGAAGAAGGTCCCAAGGATAATGAGGATGAGGGATTCAGCCATCTGGCCGAACCGTTGTCCCGGATGTCCAAATACTGAGGCCATGGCCCCAAGATATGTTGACTTTCCATATACGGCGATAACCGCGGGAATGAGGCCGATTATCAGATTGATAGTGGTGCATACGGTATTTTTTATTACTCTCTTCCAGAGATTGTTCTTTTGGAGGTTGGATGTCACCGTAGCCAGCCATTGTTGAAATTGACGCTGAAGCCTTCGCTCCCAATGATGGGTTACTGCCATGGCTTCTTCGAGTGTAGTCCCAGCACAAAATCCAGCGGTAGTTGAAACTTGGATCTATTCATCGTGGTCGAAAGTCCACATAAATACCTAAAAGTAGGTTGGGTGGGACTTCTCCTCGTGACTTGAAAGTAGTACAGTTTCTTGACTGGGGAGATAGATAGGTGATAGCGTGGTTATAGTGAACAATCTCTTCATTAATGTGTCTATTTCTCCATCTCACAAGAAGTTGAGAAGTTGTCGTTTACAAAACTAAAAAGGCCACTGATTGACGCCCCATTCTTACCCCAACTACCCCATTTGTCTTGGTACTCCACGCGAATGATATCATCCATGGATCCCAAAACACGCCAAAAACGTCCGATCTTGGTTATTGGGCGCTCTGTGTTACCGTTGCACTAACAGGGGTAATTCACAGCTCTACCGAGATACAATGTACAGCTACCCAAATTTAAGCTTATTGGTAGCGTATCAAAGAGTATTAGGACTTTGTTAGGACTTTGATCATCGCGGGGTTTCTGCAAGGTTCTCAAAGACAATCTTAGGAGCTGCATGTGCTTCCTCGATAAGACATCTAGCGCCAACCTCTTAGCAACGATCAACCTACCTAGAACATACACCAAGTATGACCCAGTAATAGTACGTCAAGTACTATTATCATATCTGCGAAAGGGATCTCACGAGCCTTCGGGCTGTGCATCATCAACATGCCTCCATCAGTGACTGTGGTTGTAAGGATATTCCTCTTTTATTTAGCCCCGCGGCGGGGAATCTGTCCATCTACAGAGCTAGGCAACTAACTAATCGCTCGATCCTGTAGACGAAGCTGAAAGTACAGCTGAAGCTGTCTATCGCGCGGCTACGAATGGTACAACAACGTGACGAACAAATGGGCAAGACGGCGCGAAGATCAATGGCTCAATTGTTAGATGCTGGCAAAATCGATTCGGCACGGATAAGAGTCGAGAACATTATTCGATCGGACATTACCACAGAACTCCACGAGATCCTAGAACTATACTGCGAATTGCTTTTGGCACGTGCTGGGCTTCTAGAAGGTCATACCTGTGATCCTGGATTGGAGGAAGCGGCGAAGAGTATCATATACGCTGCTCCGAAGACAGAGATTAAGGAATTACAACAAGTGCGTGCTCTCCTTGCGGAGAAGTATGGCAAAGAATTCGTACTGTCTGCTATGGAGAACACGGATCAGAAAGTATCTGAAAAGGTCATAAAGAAGCTCAGTGTTACACCACCTCGAGAGGAACTTGTCCAGGGGTATCTAGAAGAGATCGCTAGGGCATACGGGGTCGATTGGCCAAAGCGACCTAAAGATTTAGGCGACCCCCCAGAGTATGTGGACAATGATGTGGGCAATGATGCGGATGATAGCCCAAGTGGTGACCAAGCGCAGAAGGGTCCCGAGTCACCCCTTCCTGCCGATAGTAAAGCCGCCCAAGAAAGAGAAGCCTTAAGTCGGGAGACACCTCCACGATCCTTAGGACAGAATTCTCCTTTACACATCAATTTGCCAAGTCCTACAACAGACAATCCTCGTCCAAAAGTCACTCTAAACTCAGTGGAACTAAAACCTAGTCAGAAAATGGTTGATGCTGGTATAGCAAAGAAGAGTGACGACAAGAATAGCGGAACAAGTGTCGACGAACTAGCAGCCCGTTTTGCTGCTTTGAAGCGGTAACCTGCTTGGCCTTACTGTGATGATTGGAAGATGGATATTATCTACGTATCAAAGTACTAGTATGGAACAGTACCGCTCTTTGTTTAGCTAGCGTGCTTATGAGTTTCAATATTATTTCAACACTTGTTAAGTCTACTACCAGACTCAAAATTCTACCTACTTACATATAACAATATCTCGTCAAGCCTCAGCACACCTACGGTGTCTCCTATGCATGTTCATACATCTACCCAAGTAATAATCAATTGCCTATCGTTCACAATGTATACCTGTTAAGGACCTCTAAATGGGTTGAACTATATTATACTTAGTTGATATTACATGAGCAAATCGTCATGCATACTGAGAGTATATACTTAACAATGGGAGTGTATTTGGAACCTTCTATACACATAAGCCTTTGGAATTGTCTTAGATGTATACTTCTTACATATAATGGGAAAAGGGGGTTGTGTCACCTGAGGCGTGGGTCTTGTTCAGCGGCAACTTCCCATTAAACGATGGACACCGTCGTACAAGAAATATAACCATCTCAATAGAAGGAAGGAAGGAACAAGCGCAGTTTAGATGCTCATAAGGTCTGGTGGTTTATTAAAGTTCGTTAAGTGATCCTTTCCTGCGAATTTTGCAATGTGATTTACCTAAATCGAAATCTTTACTTACTCCCAACCTTCTTCCTCCCAAATTTCTTACCCCCATCTCTCCACGTACCTGTTCCCTAACACACCTTCAATGTTCTCATACACCGAGCATGTTCCCTTTATGGGTGTTGTGTCTCTCATTCCCATCTTCCAATAAACCCTTCTACTCTGAATAATCAGAGGTGCACCAAATTTGAACTCACACCCGATCTGCAACTCAAGACTTGCAGCTCAGATGCGTTGGTAAACAAACAATCACAATAATCGACCGCCTCTCGTGTCGTCTCAAAGCGAGAATCTTCAGACTCTAGCCCTACAGTCTCCTACGCTCCCTTTTCTAAGACGCTTACACTACTCGATTCGAGTTCATTTGTCTCGTTGAGACTCCATGCATCACTTACACTCTAACGTTCACACATTCATATACTCTATTTTCCACTGCCAAGATGGATATTAGTCCAATCTTGGAGGCCTTGGGGGTGAATGGCCTAGCTGACATCACCCTGAAGGAGCTTCAGGTCAAGATCAACAACATTCAGCGTGGCATACTCATACTGCCTAGACAGCAAGTCCTCCAAGTTTTCATGGGATGGCTCCATGAACGTATCATAAGGGATATTCAGCAGAAGTCTTTGTTGTCTGAATTCATAGATCTTCTGCTGGTACCCGGGAAGTTACACCAAATGTCATTCATTGAAAGTGAGGTAGACGCGGCTTTCAAAGGATGGCAGGCCAAGGACGCTGCAGAGAACCCTGCAAACATACGCAGATACCAGATGGTCCACCTAGATTTTCTCGAATTATTTGAACAGGCTAAGCGTAATTCAAGTTCAGAACCCGACTGGTCTTTTGGGCCTTCAGGTTTTGACCGGGAACGAGATTCTTCAGCTAGCCCAGATGACCAAATCACTCGCCTTGTTGGCGGAGGAAAACGAAAATCTGGGTCTAACACAGTTCCGCTAGGAGATAGGAAGCGCTTCCGCAGCACCATCCCCCAGAAGACCACGAAGGCAGAAGAAGAGATAAAAGAAGAGAACGAGAAGGGGGGGTCCACCCCAGTAAAATTGGAGAATTGTCCCCAGAAGCTTCCTAGCCACACGAAGTCTTCTTTATTAGATTCCTCGCCGCCGCCATTGTATGTGTGCAATCGTTGCCACAAGCCAGGTAAGGAAACGACTCTGAGTAGGTATGAAAGAAAAAAAACAGTTGCACTAATCTATATTATAGGACACTGGATTCAACTTTGCCCTACCAATCTAGATCCAAAATGGGATCGACCACCGCCTTCAAACTACACGTGCGAGATCTGTCAGAAGAAGGGTCATCATTATGCAACCTTGTGCCCCCAGAACAAGAAAGGGCAATCCTTGACGAAACAGCGCCAGAATCAAGAAGATCGTCCTCGACGTCGGCTTAAAACACCCAAGCGAGAAGCTAAAACGCGTGGCCGAGATAATTACCGTCTCACTCCACCTTTTGGGCACCGCTCACGAAGCCCCAGAGATAACTACCCTCATCAGGCGTCTGACGTATATGGAAGTGATGATCACTTGCGATTTGGGGGAAGTGATCGTGATAGTAATGGAAGGTTCCGCGATCGTAGCTCCTCGCCTTACACAACCCGTCGACGGGTGGCTTTTGTAGAGAATTACGATCACGAACAAGGCTCGGGCAACCGCCGTCACGAACCCACTCAAACCTCATCCCCTGCGCTCCCTTACCGTGGATCTAAAGCGGCGCACCTACAACGAAACCCACGTGCATCTCTGGAGTTGGGCAAGACACAGAAAGGGGAAATAGGACGACTTTCGTACAATGACGTATTCGTGGGTCCTTCGCTATCGCCAAAGGAATACGCTTTCTCTCACAAACCGAAGCGTATCGACACACGCGAGAGTGAGAACGAAGTGATGACATATGGATCGATGGGCGCCGAGGACACCCCCGATGAGACAGAGAGAGCTAAGGCGGAAGCCGATAAGTTCCTCGAGGAACTAGACACTGACCCGCATGGCCAGAAATCGAGATCAGGGCTAGATATTATGTCCTTCTTGAAGAGCCACGACAATCCTATCATCCACAGAAAAGCGAGCCGAAAGACCGCTGTGGAGATGTTCGACGAGGTGTATAAACCCCAAACGGAACAGTAGCCCTGAGTTGCTTGGGAACATGGCCTCGATAAATGGGTTCTTTGTCCTTATTGTACATTCAAACTCATGATACTAAGAAGTGGTAACAGAACACCGGCCACAGGAGATACCGATATACTCACCTGGAAGCTTTGAACTTCGTGTTGGAATGGATCTGATACGAAGATTCAACTGGTATCCTTGCCTGCCTGATGGTTCGTCAGATACCAACGCAATCCCTTGAGTTTCTGTTCGTATTTTGCATTTGCGGGGGAGGCCGTAAAACGACTATGCTTTAAACCGTTTGCGAAGCAAAATTTACTGAACCCCCCCTCTCCACGAAGAGTTAGTAATGCTGCACATATGCACCCCTAAAGTCGGAGTTGATTGCTAACCGATAAATTCCCAGGATGCCATCCATACAGGACTCTCTTACATGTACCACAGCAACCTATGAGAATGCTCAAGTATCCACTAAGATGGAAGCTCATTCGAAGGATCCGTTTGAAGGGAGGGATTAGTTGGGTGCACTTTGCGCTTGTGTTACTACAGAGGTGGTTGACAATAGTACTGATCACATTCGAAGTCGTTCTGGCATCGGAACGAGTCGGATGAATGACCACCTCATTGCCCACATAGCTTTAGCTGGATAAGATTCATGGAAGTTGCAATAACAAATTCTTAGCAGCCGTCAAGACGTTCGTAGTCTCCTCCACGAGGATAGACATGGGACCTGTTCCAAGTTTAATAATAAGAGGTGTCAAGTTCCAACTGCCGTTGTATGATTGTGAGATTCAAACTGCCTTCCAATGCCAATCTTGCCGAGGGACGCCAGACGCCTCTACCTAGAAATATATATCTTCAAGCCCAAGCAAGTTTATGTACGCGGAATCGACCCCATTATCGACTGATTAATTATTGTTCATTGTATCCCCCCCACGTAGGTCATCGCCCACGAGCCCTTCACTCAAGCTTATCGAGATGTTCGAGACGGGTGAGGACGACCTGCTTGCTAGTCTCCTCAATCTCGCCGGCGAGGAAGACCTCGTCGAGGATGGCGTAGACCTTGTAGAAGTTGAAGACGAGGTCGAGCTCGCAGACGTTGCCGAAGAAGGCGTCGAGGACCTCGACGAAGAAGTGGATGGCCTCGAGGTAGGCGAGCTCGTTGTCGTTGGTGTCGACGCAGGCGCAGAAGAAGAGGCCGGCGTAGCGGCGGTAGACGATCTTGTAGTTGCGGAACTCGACGAAGTTGGACTGGTACTTCTGGTCGCGCGGCGCGACGAGCCGGTGCACCTCCCCCTTCAGCTTGATCTTCTCCTCGTCGCTGTACGGCACGTACCACTTCGCCAGGCGCGTCTTGCCTCTGGTTTTGGGGGGAATGGGTTAGTCTGGTGCTTGGGGTGAGTAGATGGAGGGTGTGGATGGGAACGTACTGTCGGTTTTGTATTAATATGAATGACAACATCTTGGACGCGGCAACGGTGGGTGTCGCGATTCGAGCCCGTCGGAAAGTATGAACATTGAATGTCGAATGAAGTTCCAGGGGCTCTTTTTGGTGGTGGGGCATATGAAATACAGTGCGAATGATGGGGTGTCGATTACTTATTTACACGATGTGGCTTGTCAGGTACGACCTCCGATATCCCGTCATTATTGGGAAGGAATCACTGCTTCGAACTCGCAATTAATAAGAAAGGGGTGTCTATATGAATACTGTTACACTTATTTCATCTATGTAATTATCTTAAGGACTGGATTCTACAAGTATGTAATCGTTATCTATGGAATTATAACTCCTATATATCAAACTTCTCCCCAACCAACTCCTCGCTCAACGTCCACAGCTTCTCCGCGAGCTCCGGATCCGTCGCCCACTCCTTGACCAACTTCGTATCGGTAGTCAACTCGCAATCTTGCAAGTACACGCCCTCCTGCTTCACGAGATCCGGATCTAGCGCCGCGCGCAGCGTAGTCGCGCACCCCTGCTGCAGCGTCAGCCACGGGCTCTGCCTCCTCGTCTCGGCGAGCGGCATCCCCATCACGCGCATCGAGACCTCGTCCATCATCGTCGCCAACTCCTCCGGCGCCAGCTTCATCACGTGGCTCTGCAGGTTCGTCTGCACGCTGCCCGGGTGCACAGCGTAGGCGCGCACGCCCCGCGCGCCGCGCAAGGCTAGCCGCCGGTTCAGCGCCACCGCATACAGGATCACGGCGCTCTTCGCCTGCCCGTACGCGTCGTACGGCGTGTACGAGCCCGGCTCTGCGAAATTCGGGTCAGAGAACCGCACCCCGGAGTACCGGTGCCCGGAGCTGGTCAGCAGGACGAGGCGCGCGCCGCCGGGCCCCGCGGCGGCCGCGGCGAGCACCTTCGGTAGGATCATGTTTGTTAGCAAGAAGTGGCCCAGGTGGCTGGCCGCCAGCTGCAGCTCGATGCCGTCGGGCGTCAGCTCGAACGGCGTGGCCATCACGGCCGCGTTGTTGATGACGACGTCGATTCTGGGGATCTCCGGGTCCGCGAGGATGGACTGCGCCGCTTTGCGCACGCTCGCGAGCGAGGTCAGGTCCGCTTCGATGAATTTGGTCGCGACGGAGGCGTTGACTACTTTGATGGCGTCGATCGTGGCTTGCGCTTTCTCCCGCGAGCGCCCGACGAGGATGAGCTGCGCGGGTGACTCTGCGGCGAGCGAGATCAGGGTCTCGGCTCCGATACCGCCCGGGCTGGGGCCGGTTAGGAGGACTAGGTAGATAAGTATTGGTAGTCTGGGGAGAATGTTAGGGGAAGTTGGGAGGTGGGCCTTACATGTCCTTCCTTTTACCTGGTCGGCAAACTTGTGCACGAGAGCGAGGCCCTCGGTTTCTCGGCTGTAGGTTGACATTGTTTCTGGCAAGTCTTGCTGTTTTGCCTTTATAAAGCTCGAGTAGACGAGATAGATCTACGTTAAACGGGTTTTTGCGTTTTGAATTGTTCTTCCTAAGGCTAATGTTTTTTTGTTCATCCTCGTCGTCGTCTTCGACCTTTTATATCTAAACGACATGTCAATCGAAAAGTCGCCGTCGTGCTGCTGACGCCCGCGATTTGTAGCGAGGAACCATCACCTGTGATGTTGTCAAAGCTTCTATGCATCTCTCGGTTTTAGCTGTATAACGCCGGGCATCGTTAGCCTCTTCAATAAATAGCTACCGGAGACCTGAGTTATTAGGTACCTGCTCCGTTAACTCCAAAATCCGAGGATGATTGCTGAAGATTGTTTACTAAAGAGTTATTAACAACATGATTGGTTAGACCAGCTGTGGAACGAGGAAATATGAGCAGTTCTTGATTTCGTATCATATCGTTGTGGTATAGGCTCTTGTCTCGATGAGATTTATTTCTGACAGTTTAAAGAATCTCGTTGTTTTTATTATATCATTCATCCCAACCACGATTAAAAAACAGCCAAACCAGGGGGATGAAGTCGATTCGAACCTTTATCAAAGGAAAACTAATTATTTAATATTCATTAGTGGAATTATAAAAGCAGTTGCTGATTTGTATGCATGATGACCCAGTCAGCCAGTCCGGATCTTCTAAGACAATATACAAGTCTGAAATTAACAGTAGCTGTAATATGAGTTTTAATTAATAATTAATGGCACCACCATGTTATTGTTGAATGAGAGAGTGGCTTTTTGTTGTTCTTAAACATATCTACTCGCTTACGTAGAACTCATGGAAGGTAGAATAAGTAACTACTGCATGTTTAAGTGATGCTATCGGTTGATCAGAGCCAAGCTTTTGTGGGTTCTAGACTCAGCCCAGTCAAAGGGATAACCTTGAAACAGATGCAAAGAGACTAAAGCCACACCTAGGTAGCACCAGCACCTAAGTATTCCGTGGCGCAGTTAGGCACTTTTAGACTCAATCCAAAACTCCGATTGGTGATAATAAATTCACTAATTTGATCTCTACGCTCCTTAACACACATCAACATATCAACATACAGTGTCGGCTTCATCTAAGTCTATAGTACGGCTCATCAATACTGCCTTCACGCCCATGATTACGAGTCTTACCTGGGCTATGTGCTGAGCCGTCTGAAACGTATTGCTTCTTGACGAAGGTCGTCAATTTCGCGATATCACCAGCCTAGCCTCATCTGATATAATTTACGATCAGTCGTACGCCATCTTATGAGCTTCTAAAGAATAGACGACTTCATAATGAACTACCCTAACCGAATTTGAAACTATGAAATGGTTTCTGCGGACTACCATTGAAAATTATCTTTCTCCCTTCCTTTCCATTTTTTCGATCTCTATTCCCTTCCATCACATTTTGTTACATTAGGGATTCTTCAACTGTTTTTCTTTTTTCCTAACTACTTAGTTCCTTTTAACACTTGAGACAATAAGTAGATCTTCACTCACTATGGATCGTCCTAAAGATTCTTCTAAGGACGTTGTTGTCTTCCGCTGCATACGCAGTGATGGGATGCAGTATGATGAGGCACGCTTCCCGGCTGATCACAAGCCCGCTGATGAAGCAACTGTGAGGAGTTACTGTGACCGGCTTGGAGCCATGATCGCCGAGCAAGTCTATCCTGGTTCAAGTATGTCAGAATATTCATCATGTAAATTCAACATGCTAACTCCTAATAGTTCAATCCTTTACCTTAGAAGCGTTGCCGCCGTTCTACCAACTCCGAGTCAAGACTCGTACTGACAGTAAGTAAATCCAAAATTGTCCATGACTTCACTAACATACTTCACCAAAGGCAAGACTCGCAATGACACGTTTCTGTATGGGTATCCGGAGCATGAGGATGAGAAGGAAAAGAAGAAGACTAAGAAGCAAGCTGCTTTGAAATGTTTCCGAACTCCATCCGACTTCTTTGACCATCTTCTATGGTTAATCACTGATGCAACAAATGACGGCAAGAATTGTTGTTGCAGGTTTTGTAAGCCATCCAGCGTATCCAAGGAAGAGGCACAGGAGGCTACACCTTCAAGTTTAAGCCAACCTAAGTCCGTCCCCGTCCCAGCCCATTTGACGAGCAAGTCACGAAGTGCCTCACCCGCATCTACTACTAGTACGAGAGCCTCAACCAAGAAAACTAGTGCTGCCACGTCAACGGCCAAAGCTATTACAGGCCCTTCGGCACCCCAAATACAACCGTCAGCGCAGCCAGTGGCAAAACCTGCCATACAGCCTGTAGCACAATCCATGCCACATCTCGCGACACAACTCTCAGCACAACTGCAAGTTTCAGCGCAGCCCACAACGCAGCCCACGATGCAGCCCACGATGCAGGTTCAGGCTCAGACTCAGTCGGATGAATCTGTCTTGTTTAGGGAAGGTGAAGTAATTTGGTACAGAAAGCAGGGACCAACCTTTCGCCTTGGTATTATTCTCCAAAACACCCCTGGAGATTCTACCAACACATCTATGAGCAGAATCAAGCCGCTAGCTCACTTCCAGACGGACCTCGAAGTTGTCGAACGTTCCGATGCTGATATGCGTCCGTTCCTTACTTATAGTGTCCCTAAGGTTCAGGAAATGCTTCAAGAATTTGCCATTCGGCCTATGGAAGAGGTCCCGTGGCTAGTGATAGAATCTGAACTGCTATGCGATGAGAATCAGAAAGCAGAGTTGTTAATCCTCGAGGCTTCGAAGATAGCCGCTAGTCACGTCGATCATTCGTATTCCTTGTTCAACCTTTTTCAGAACTACAACTTACCCAACAGGCTAAGTTTTGGGGGCGTATTCTTCGGCTGTGAGAAGATCGGCGTGTTTGAGGCAGTCCGAGTCAGCGTTGAGCAAGATGAGCACCCGCAGTGGGACAACATGGATATCACCTTCGTTATGGTGCTGAAGAGCATATTGCTCGAAAGATCCGAGCAGGATGAACGACTTCTCTTCGAAGGCGATATCTGGGTCCTGCAAGACAGCAAAGAAGCGGAGCAGACACTCAACCAAGGACAAATCCCTCCGGCCATGCGTCGTGAGAAAGAATTTCGAGACGGGGTGATGAAGAAATACGGTATTCACTATGACTGGGTTCTATTGCGCGGTAACGTCACGAAGACAGAGAAGTTCATCAAAGGTAGATTTTACGAATCCGACAAGCTCGGCCCGATGCTCTACCAAGGACAGTGGGGCGATTACCTGCGAGACGGATATATCCCGTCGATTCAGAAGTCCCTCAACCGGCGCCTCGACTCATGGGGTCCTACAATTGGCAGAGTTCAGACCCGTCGAGATGCTGTCGCCGGTGCCATCCCGCCTGGGACTCTCTTATCTCTTGGACCTCGGGTCGTGGAACAGCCTCGAGCAATTTAGCATAGTCCCTGGCTGCATTTTAGGCGAATTGGAAATGGGGATTATTATAAGCACTTGCAGTTCTTGTGGTTGAAACTACGGATTCTTGGTGGGCGGTTCAGTCTACCTTTTTTTGCTTGACATTAAGTTTGGTCATCTTCGATGGAGGAAGCAAAACTTTCTGACGGTAGTCTAACCGTCTTCTCCCCATCAACACCTGGTTCGCGGAATCGACTCAACGCCCCTTCGCCATCCGATTGATTAGCCGTGTATTGGGAGTTGGCTTAGGGCCATTCTTACACTCCTCCCCTTGACCTTTACCCCTTGCATTTTGCGCCTTAGGACATTAATTGATGGATTCCCCTTTTACATAATCGTGCTTGTACTCTGATGCGTGTTGTGAATAGTCTTGCTCTAGATACCAAGACTTGATCGGCGCTTCCACACGTGCAACGCCTAGGATATCCTAGGTATTTAGAAAGATCGGTACGTAGTGTGCATTCCAGCATGCACGACCCCGTATTCGATGTGTACCTATCAAGCATGTCTCAAACGAGTTCGAGAGGGCTGGCACAGGAGGTTAGTATCTATTGTATCTTGGCAATTACCGTGCCTCTTTTATTGTGCCCGTGCTTCTTCATTTCAACCAGCATCTAGTACAATATTAGATAAGCTTGTGAAAATCACCGATACATATGCCCTGTCCGATACAGTGTGTATATTCCACGTGGAACTCACGTGGAACTTGCCCAGAATTGGCTTTCGATCCATGGCACCTTAAATGTGTATCGTATCGTATTTACATCGTATGGCTACGTACATCCTGGAGTATCCTCACGTGGTATAAGGTGACTCGCCGTCTTGGTTCCTAGATTGGGCGAACGAGGCGCTACCGCTGGTAGGGTTTTTAATAGTTAGGGATCGCAAGAAATTAAGCCTCGGGCACCGCCTCCTTTTAAAACCGGGTTCTGAGATGTTGACTGCCAGGGCCGAGTAGGGATAAGGAAACAAGGCATCTGTGCATATAATCCCGGGTGAAAAGATTGAAGTGTTCTTTGCTATCCCCTAACCGGTCCCCGCCTTACCTCATGTGTAAATATCACTTACGACGACGGGGTTCTTAAGCCGGAGGGCTGGACGTTCGGTCCGCTTTAGTGTACAGAATAATACTATGTAGACGGGTTAACGTGTATGGTTTCGCCGAGCATACTCGCACTATACTTCCCTCTTAATAAACGATACCGACCATCGGGAAATTTTAAATATTCCGCGGCGTCCGGGGAAGGTTCAGGTACGGGGATATTGGTACATTCCCAATTCTAGAAAACGACGCGGAATCATACCCGCTATCTATTATATGTACGGCGTATGTGCCCAAGTTTGCATTTTCAAAGAGGCTGGCGATGAATATAAGGCGTGAGATGACGTTTCAAGGAGATGGATGGTATTGTAGGACGGCATGCGGGACGGGAGTTTCCGCCGTCGCCGCGTTGTGACGATGCTAGTGATGAAAAGGCTGGAATGTGATCAACACAAGTCGATTTTGACGGGAATAGTGCATTTGCAGATCTCGGTAAGGCCCTTCCGGCATGATGATTTTATGTGGCGACGTCGGGAATGCGACTCGTACGAAATATATACAGACCGACATATCCAATTTCTCGTCGTCGCATCGCGTAGAGGCAGACAGCAGAGAGGCTGGCAAATATGTATATACGTATGTATGTAGGTAGGTAGTAGTTTTGATAATTGTTTTATTCTTGCATAAAGAAAACCGACTTATCGACCAATCAGAGTCGACGTGAATGATATCAAGGACCGCAACTCGCAGGACTCGGTTCTGACGGCAATTCATCGCGAGTTATGCTCGGTGGCTTACCTAATTTCCACTCAGGTGAGATAATAAGGGCTGACTAACCTGACAAATTCAATTTTCAAGAAGGGACGTGCGTCAAGGGACAAGTACATAAGTAGCCCGGTACCTTGTAGAGAGGAAAAGGAACCGCCAATCTCCCGAAACTAAAATTGAGCTAAGCCAGTTTGAGGTGCTCGGTACCACATTATTTCCATGGGAGGGTAGCACGGAAGAATCACCAGTTTAGGAACCCCGGGGTTTCCGCTAGGCGAAAAAGGGATAGCCTATCCAAGCTATCGGGTCTTGCTCGAAGGGAAGAAGGGACAGACGGATCCCTAGTCGGTCGGGTCCGGGGTTAGTTATGGCTGTTTCCTATGTACGAGGCACATGCACCACGCTCCTGCCGTCCTGTCATAATTGCTGTCATAATTGCTTGTCATAATTGATTTACTCGTTCAGGTAGGAACCAGAAGCTTGTCGCAGATCTGCGTTCGTCTCAGACCGGAAACCGCGTTTTTGGTTGTCGCCCGGTAGCCCGCGGAGAAGATTTCTTCAGTTGCCCCCTGCCTCTTTATCCACTTGGAAGTTCGTCTAATTTAGGGTTTACCAAAAACGGGGATTTCGCCCCCCCTAATCCCCTTGTCGGGACTTCTGTTCGGCTTAACCCTGTCGTCGATGTTCGAGTAGCGTCGTTACCGTTCAATGGCCGTTCCAATCTTTAGGCGGTAGCCAGGTTTTGCGCAGCAACAAGTCACAGCGCGTAACGCTCTATGGATTGAGCGCCTAAATCAAAATCAATTATGTAAGATCACGATCGAATGGCTTGATCTATTCGATCATGGACAACGCATACAGCGCATAGCAAATGCACGTGTTAAAACTCCGGTGGTCGTGTAAGTACCCTGAGTGGCCACTAAGGAAAAGCCACCCGCCCGACAAGCCGGTTCGCGGTAAGAGCGTTTTGCTTTTCTTTTAGTGGTTACAGCAGCTTAGCCCACAGAGGCGGGATGCTGCACCAATCCCGACAGCCTGGGAACTACTATAGCCAATCCACATCGTCCCCCGAAGCGCCGAGGCGTCTCTCGGCGATTGCACCGGTGTAATCGGGGGATGGGCGGTGTCTGCTTCGGAGGTTGTGATCCAGAGCCGAATCCTGACATGAATGTAGGTAGATAATTATAATAGGAGCGGAAGGAATCAAATAAACCGAGCTCTCTGCTGCGAGTGAAGAGCCGCAAACATCCATTGGACAGTTCCATCGCATCGACTACGACATGTCAAATCGTGGTTCCGACATACCGGTGTTTGATGTTGGTCTGACTGACCAAGGCGACCGTGCCATGGGGGAGACGTTATCTAAGGTAGTAAGCCCACCCTAGAATTGCGTCACAAGGCGAACCTGGGCCGCAACATCGACGAACACGTTGGTCGCTAGAATCGCCGCATACCCCTCTATGGGAAAGTTGCATAAGATTAGCATGAGATTGTCCCGCTACTTTGACATGCGAGTGACCACAGGAACATGCGGTGCGACCAACATAGTCAGAACTATTAGGGTAGGTGATGGAGGGTAAGGTTAACTATAGTTACGGGCTGTTAGATGCAAGGGAGAGACAAAAAGTGCCAGTTTAGGTTACTCAATGAACTGTGCCACCCGAAAATACCGGGTAACAGACACCGTTAGATGCTACCAGGGTGTCAAAATTTAGTAGTATTGTAGTAGGTATCAAGTAAATGTATATGAAGAGAACGACATTTTAACTATATGTTTAAACGTAATAAGCCTGGATTCAAAATTCCGAATGAGGCGACATTGACATGATAGGCTCCGTCTGGGCATGCCACCGCAATCCGCCAGTAAAAATATCCACTTGGGCAAACCGCCTCGCGCTTATTCTGACTCGCACAACAGCCAACGTAAATGATATTCTTGCCTCCCAAAAACGATCCCGTCTAGTCAATGTTTGCGAAGAAAGGAGAAGTAGCAATGATTTTTAAATGGCAATGCGTGCTGAAGGTGGTATAATGCGGCTCATATCGTAATTCGTTGCACATTAGACTCTCCTCCGAAAGTCTGATATATACACTTTGCTCGAATGCGACGGATTTTACTGAGATGATCGAAATTTGCTGAAAGATGGGCGATGCAAGACAATGCCAATTCTTGAATAATAGTCGGGCCTAGTTTGCGTTTTCGAGACGCTCTTCATCAAGATAGGGCGTGTTTAAAGTTGTTAGCTCTCGGCTGTTTTCAGAGCCTCCATACGGGCTCGTAGGGCTTCCATAATCTCGGGGTCCGGTTCGGGGTCGACCTTCTTCGGCTTAACTCGTGGGCAGTCCGGACACTTCTTGTGTGAACAATTTCGACATTCCGTTCCATCCTCCGTATTCGCCGGGAACTTCCTCCTACACTCGTGACAAGAATATACACCTTTGAATGTTTGACCAGGTGCATCATTAGGATATCCATACGGATATTTCTTCTTGCCGTCACTATGAAATGTCAGCATGTAACCTAGTTAAGCATATTCGTGAGTGAACTTACGGATCTCTCGGGCAGTCATCGCAACGTCTATGACCGCAATTGTCGCACACTCTAGCCTCTTTTGCATTGCCGGCAATCAAATTGTTACACATGTGGCAGTGTCTTCTGACGCGCATACGAGGTTTGCCCTTATAAACGAGATCCTGCGCAGCCTTCCTGGGGCGCTTCAAGACAATGTTCTCCGAGTAGTCGTAGCTTGGAATGATAGGACCCATCTGCTTGTTCCTCCGAATAAGAGCCTCTTTCTTTTCCCGGATGGCCTGCCTTTCCTCCTCAGTATGCTTAGGTGGGTTTCGAGTACACTTCTTGCAACGCCTATGGTGGCAACCGGGACACTCATTACCGGCGCCGAAGGCCGAATGACACCGATGGCACTCCCGATGAATTCGCATACGGACCGATTTCTCAACACGGAGCACATCTCCCTCACTCGAATGCCACTCGTCCGGCTTGATTTCTAGACCAAATCTGGAGCCAAGTTTCTGCACGCGCTCCTCGTGAACCTGGATACGAGGAATCCTAGTAGCATTCTCATACTCAAGTCTGGTTGGCGCAGTAGGAGCAGCGGGTTCACTCGAGGACTGTCAATATTGAATGGCTTATATATGGGGATTCAAATATTTACCTGGTGATGACGGCAGCAGCTGGCGCCGTCGGACCAACAGCGCCCTTCTTCGAGCGACCACCTCTTTTGAAGACGGTCTTCACTTGGTAAAAGACCTTACCAACACCCTTCCTTTTCTTGCCATCTTGCGGAACAGGCTCTGTCGGGAGAGCGGTCGCTGGTGAACTCATGATGCTTGAATTATCTTCTTCCTCTTTACCTCCACTTGCGTTGCTGAATAGGTCGCGATGGTGATGAATCAATGGCGTGGTAATGGCTTATTATAAGGTGGTTGGCGAATATGATAGGCGAAGCCTCAAATTACTGAGCCCTACCCGAGTTAAGCCACGCAACCATGTGCTTTACACCTGAGACAACAAAGGCAAGACGGGAGTCGAGGTGCCTGCCTCTTTCCTTTGCAAAGGGCAGTTGTTGACAGTAACGTTTAAAACCAGTAGCCTCCGAAGCGAAATGCGCGAGGACAACGACGCTGATGTTTTGAATGTCGATATAAATTCCTGGGTTACGACTCCAACATTAAGGCCATCAAAATTGACGGCCAGGTCGTCTTCCCTCCCGATTATTACTCTAAACAACAAGGAAATCTCAGTCCTTCGGTATACCGATGCGACGATGACGCTGAAGCAGCTAGAAGACCAAGGCAAAACATCAATTGATGTTTCTGCTGGTGGTTAGTATGGTCGACAATCTCGAGGGCGAGCTGGACGAGAAGTGTGAAAGAAGGGGGAGAAGAAACAAGAGTAAGAAGACGGAGAAAATGTGGGAATTTAGGATTAGTTAGGTAGTTCGATTGTTACGAGTAGCAGTTTGTCCCGGCACCAGGTCACCCCAGGTGAGGAAGTATTCTACTAGGTTAAAAGGTTTTAGTTCAACGTCAAATTGATAATAAATAAGGCAAGTAAGGTACCAGTTTCCAAGGTTCGCAGAGGTGTAGAGACGAAGAGATGGAAAGATGTGGGACGAGCCTGCCAGTACCTAGCACACCTCTGACCTAGCACCGCAGCAAGCCAACAGGAGATTGAGCCAACAGACTTTCTGCTCCGTACCGGTGGGTATCGCCATTATGCTTGGCAGTTTCCACCGACCCGAATGTACCAAGTGTACTTCGTAGCGTGGTAGTCTCGGTGGGGAGGCGCTGCTGGGGGTACCTACGCGGTATGTACATACCTGCTCCTCTTTCCCTCTTTCCCTCTTTCTGGGTTCCAACAGTCCAGGGCTCCTTCGTTCCCGCCGCCCAATTCGATGGATACATGCAACAGCGTACTATGGTACAGTTTTGCTACCTCGGCATACTGTATGCGGGCAAGGTACCTACAATACCAACGCCTCCCTTACGGTAAAGATATCCATGCACCTACCAAACAACTAGGCGGCTCGGCTACGAGAGAGACAGACCACTGGGCGAACACCTGTACAGCATGTACAGCGTGATCATGGGGCGGACGTCAATGAGAAAAATGGGGGCCTTTGCGATGCGCGGAGAAGGGGAAAAAGGGCTCTCTGGTTCTCTGGATGTCTGGATGTCTCGCTGTTGTTGCCCAACGACCTCTTATTCACTACCAGGCGTTTATGTCATCAATTAGGGCAATAATTAATTCATCTATGTATGTACGAGATCCATTCCCATCGATCCCATCCAAACGGAGGTATCATCATGTCGGCTGCTAACTACTAGCTTACGGTAGCCCGTCTATCTTGGTCTAGTGTCATATCGCAACCAAGGGTTTATTCGGTAGCGTCTCTCGGGTTGTTACTTCAACCCTGCTTCCAGCGGTGCGGCTTTGGGGTCTCCAGACCTCTCAGAGTCCCAGTCGCTAATGAGAATGGAACTTTTGCAATTTTAGGCCCCTGATGTGATAAAGCACACACATCCAGCATGTCGGTTCCATGCCCGGCTTCTAGCGAGCAGGTACAGTACAGTGGTCCGGTCCAGGAGCCAGCTGCCAGACGAGTTTTTTCTTCCTTCTTTCTTTACCCACCGTAAAAACGTGTTTGTTCTGCTGTTGCTGTTGCTGCTGTTACGCTAATATCTGCAAAGAATTTACTGGGAATCCAATCATCAATCGTAATCGTCCCAGTACCACGCGTCACCAACGGCGGCACGGGAATAGGAATCTTACATGTTGATGACGGCCTATTGGCGAGTCAGGTATTATCCTTTTCCAAGGTTTGTAAAGGAGGGGAGGAAAAGAGGGGGAAAAGAAGAAGAAGAGAGAGTTTAATACAACGTTCCTTTAAGTCATGTAGATTGTGTGGGTTGTCTATATCCTGTATGTCGGTATATCAATGTGAGTCTACATGTATGTAAGGTAAGGTACATACTCGTGATACTTCAACAATTAAGGTTGCACTCATATTCAACGTCGTGTCAGTGGGTTGAAGTGCACATGGTCTGTTGATGCAATTAAGGTAGCTTGGCGGTTTGGTCGAATTGACTTTCTCCCCGCAGTCACATCAGTCCGCAGTCCGCGGAAGAAGGTCATTGTCGATGTGTTTCGATAAACCACAACCTTGGAAGCACGGTTGTATGTGAGTAGGTACGATACTTCATGGTACTTGCATCCGGTAAACGGTGGACCTGGTTCCCGAGCGGCTGGACATTGGATATTATGTGATGTGCGTTCCCACTTGCCCGCTTGCTAACGGTGGATTATTCTTTCCATTGGGACATTCATGGATTGGGTTGGGAAAAAAGAGAAGGTGTGGATGTACATCGAACTACTACCTATGGTCCTATGCGTACTAATGTACCTAAATATGTGCGGATCCAACTAGACGGGACAGCCTTAGACCAGACGGAAGGTGCCAAACTCTCTTTGCTAGGCAATGTAGGCAACGACCCAGTCAACTTCAAATACTTTTCCCCACAATTCGTTCCCAGTATCGATTCTCCCGCCCGCAAACCCCATCTTTCCCATCGTCCCTCATGCCTCATAGCTCGTCCCTCACCCATCCAGCCCATCTCATTCATCATTAATTACCAAGTTCCGTCATTTGGGTATTGATCTCTGCATATCTTCTTCGATGGTGGTCCGCGACCAAACCCGACTTGGATATCTCTGCAGCAAATGTCATGCCCTCAGTTTGACATGTGGCCCTCTACAACGTGGTGTCTTCAAATTATCATTAGCTGCCTTTTATATACAATCGTACTTCAATATGCTGTTGGTGGAGATCTCGCGCGAGCATGGCTTGTCAACCGTTAGCAGCCAGCCTCCTTTAACGAACCTCTTTAACCCCTGGCCAACGCATTGCAATGCAATATTGCGCTACGAGTTTCTAAAAACCCGACTAAACGGGAATTAATATACCCAAGCTTTCTTTACGCTCTTCGCGTTCCCAATACTACGTTAAGGCAGTTGGGATAAAGTAGGTATCCAGCTTCAATAATTCGCATACCGTGCCGATATCTTAGCTATTCGGCAGAGAATATCTCGTCTCGTCCCGTCACCGAAACAATATACGGGGATGGATACGAGCTCCCCGCAAAGCTGCTTCATACGCAGCATTCCGAATCTTCAGCTGGTTCATCTTATTTAATCAGGTTGTTCCGACAGCCTGGGGTGGTGTGGACGAAGACGGGAAATCATATGTAGCGTTTAGCGATGACACGTCGCTTGACACAACGTGTTTTCCTAGCAGCTTCAACATGACGAATCAGCCGATACGCTGTGCGCTTAAGTCAAGATTTCCGAGAATGGCTAAACAATCTCAACCCCTTCTCATGCACCATTCTCGCCGACAGATATCCCCCTCTCCATCACCGCATTGGGTAGGCTACATACAACGGTAATAGGTCGACAATTTCTGCAGCGAATAGCCCCGCACATCTTACACCATGTAACCCTCCTCGCACTACGTTGACGCGACGTAGCTCGACGTAGCTAGCTGTCAAGAGACAAGAGGGTTCTACGGCTTTATCACGCTATGGAAGGTAGAGGGAGAAATCCTCTAAGCAATCCGTCGTCATATCCATACTCCGATGCCCGTGGAGGGTTGTTCGGTACTTGCTTCCTTCTTCCTTCGTCCGGATCGATCTGCGTTGGCGCCCTTGGATTCAGGCGGTCAACCGAAGCTTGGTAGGAAGGTTATCCAAGGTCAGCAAGACATCACGTTTCGAATGGAAAACCAAGGTACATATCAGTCGGCAAAGGTCGATTTGCGGTTTGCATAAATTATTACGTCCAAGACATATCATTACTCGTGGCAAAACCCTTCAAGTTCCAACAAATTGGATTCTCGGGCCGTTGGCATGGAACCACTTACGCTTGGGCGTATCCCAATGCACTGGAACGCACGATCCCGGCTGGTCGTGAAACCAATGTACAACCTTCTACATAGGTAGTACGTATGCGACCTAAGGCCTCAGGAATCAGCCACTATTATGTAGGCGCATTGTACGTATGTGTCATCAAGTATATTTCATCCTCATTATCTCGTCAGTCCCGGCTATTCGGTGCAGCAGCGCCGCAGGCTCGCATCCACCTTCTTCTTCCCGTCCGCCTTTCTTGCGAAGACCCAGCTGGCTGGTACGCTTATTCCCTTTTTCTCAGTGGTTGGTATTTCTTCACCGCTTCCATCCTTCGAGGAACCGGGCTAGCAGGTTAAGACATCATGTAATCAATTTTGCACGGACACACTTTAATATGAGAGCGCACAGTCCTTCCTCTACATTCCAATCGACGACTTACGAACGTTTGAGCAGCATACTACCACATTGCATCCCGATCAAGTCTGAAAGCTGCAGTACATGCACCGACACACTGTTTACTCTACAGTAATATCTATGCTTGATCTTATAGGTCAAGGCAATGACGTGCATATGGCCATGGTCAGATCGGAAGTATCCCGGGTCGACTGACCCAAGTTGCCAGGTTGCTCAACCGCCGTTACCTTCTAGACAGGAGTTGAGATACCCCCAAATCCGTTCCAAGCAACCCAAGGAACTTTTGGCTACGGCGAAATCGTACCATCGGAGTTCCTATGCGACGTCATATTCTTGTCCCGTAGTATTGAGCGATAATATGTCCACCCATTCCAACTTAGAGGTAACTACATACATGCCTAACTTCAACAAGATCGCCCTCTGCAAAAATCATCAGATCTGCAAGCCGGCTAATCATCCACAGGGTTTTCTTGGCTGGCACCCTTCCCGCATCCCGATGGACCCTACCTGTTGGCGTCGGGAAACTAATAAATTCCGGTAGCAGATTGATGAAAGCCTCTCCGGGTTGCTGCATGAAGCCATGAGCCAGCAGAGAGACATGATTCAAAAATCCGATATATCTACGTTACACGATAATATCATCCTGGAACGCCTCTTGTCCCCAAGCCACACCGAAATCGCGCAAAAGCACAAGGCGGTACTTAATATGTATGTGCTAGACGCGGCTTAGTTACGGGAACAAAATGCTAGGCGATGCATCTATTTGTCGAAAGACCACTTGCCGACGTTCTTCGAGTACCGTATGCATATTCTATTCTATTCTTGTCGTGCGATTTACGGAGTCTTCATGACAGCTGGTTTATTTCCTTCGCTATCTCCATATGCGTCCACTATAGTTCAATTTTGGTGGCATCCATCTCGTTGTTCCTCTATTCAGCCGAAGGGCAGACGCCATCCTAAAAAGACACATATCACGGTAAGGTTAATGCTATGATAGTGTAACAGGAATGATGATTTAACAAGTATACGACCAATCTACCTAGCTACTATACGATTAATATTGTAATGATGGTCTCTTAATATTTGTAGGTAACGAGTTTTTGAATCTTAGCCAACGTAATCATGGGTTTATCGCCTTGATGATAAAGAAATTTTTGAGTCAACCGAGAACTCTATATTCACACGGCTTATGCGTTTTCAGGTCTCCATCTCGGTGCAGCACGGCAGGCTTCGTGGATTTCTATCACAAGTTACCAGGAGCATAGGTACGCATGGAATGTCGCCAAGGTTTAACTTGTATCTTGCCAACAATTTCAAGCAGTACCTGCAGCTTCCTGCAAGCCTCATCCCAGAGTTATGGTCGGAAGCATTGGCACCTTACCCGGCGCCGGACCCAGCGGGTTCCTGACGCGAGAGAACGGGGCAATTGATTTCTTCCTCTTTTTCTCGGTGGAGAGTGTGGAGTGTTTACAGACGTTTACTATATGAACACTCAAGCTAGACCTCAGCGGACCGTCCTTCCAAAATTGAAGTGAAACCATAAATATTATAACACGCCGCACCCTGCATATCCAACGAGGCTCTCCTTGGTCAAAAGGGGTTATTCCGTAAGGATTCGCTCACCCCTGAGGGCTGAACATGTATAGACGCCTGGCCACCAACCTAACATCCGTCGGTCCGCGTGTCAAACTCGCACTCTCGGAATAACTTGACGCAAAATGTGGAACTTACGACAAATTAAGATGCTGCACGAGCGGGATTGATTCACTACCTATTTGTCTCTTCGTTTACTAAATTGCAGGCGTCTAAGGCGGCAGTTTAGACCATTCGCATCGTTTCATGTGGTATGAAGTTGAGTCAACAAGTGGATGATAGGTCGAGTAATCCTTCCTCTTGAGAGCGGAGTAGCGGCCGCTTGCTCGACCGCAATGTCTTCTCTTTGATTCCTACTCGGCAACATCGTGTTGATCGCCGGTGCATCTCGTATCTTCCAACGGGATCAACGCTAAAAGCTCAAGAACTGAATCTTTCTCTAAAGAAGAAAAGCATTTCTATCTCATTTTAGAACATAGGTTGGTGGGTTATCTGGTGTAAATTTACGTAAATTAGATCATGCCACCAAATTCCGGGGCCTGGTGGGTAGAGAATCCCAAATTGTTTGGACTTCCTTTCACGTTGATAGGGGATCACAGATCGGCCTCAGACCGGCGTCGGGAAACCCCACAGCGGGTAAGTCGACCTCGGTGAGTGACTAAGTGAGTAAGAAGCGGAGTGCCGATGCGGAGACAACACCACGCTATCGAACCATATCGTAACCACGACGGCTAGCGTATTGACGGGATGCGTCCTTCGCTTCCGTATTACGGGATGACTCCAAGCAGCTAGACGATAGTCCTACTCAGACGCTATTGCTATAATTGCCGCTTGGCGTTTAGATTTGATTGATCGTATTGCTAATAAACATATGGTTTTGTATCCGCAACTGTGGTTTGACTAAGGCCAATCCGTGGAGATATCGTCGCTAATATGCCAAACATCGTAGTCGTTGGGTAAGTCGGGACGGCTGTTCCCTTCCCGAGGAGCTCAAGCGCTAACGCCATCGCCAATAGTGCGGGAGTGTCAGGCCTGACATCGGCATTCTTGCTATCGAAGCAAAAGGACAATGTCATTACGGTCGTGGCAAAGCATATGCCAGGCGACTACGATATCGAGTACGCCTCGCCGTGGGCTGGCGCTAACGTCCTGCCTATGTCAACGGCGAAGAACAGCTCTCGGGAACGTCGTACATGGCCAGAAATAAAGAGGCTCGCTAAAGAGGTCCCCGAGGCCGGGATACACCTTCTAAGTAAGTAAACAAGCAAGCTAGGCGCAGTGAAGAATTCGGTAAAAATTAAACGATACGCATAGAGTCTCGCGTATACCGCCGAGAGAAGGATCTCGAGGCCCTGAGAAAAGGGGGCTACAGTTTCGACGGCCTCTTCCAGGAGAACCCGTGGTACAAATCCCTGTTCGACGACTTCCGGGAGCTCTCCAAGGACGAGCTTCCCAAGGGCATGGCGTCGGGCTGCGAATTCGGCTCCGCGTGCATAAACGTCATGCTGTACATGCCGTGGCTAGTGGGGCAGTGCAGGGCGAACGGCGTCGTGTTCCGTCGTGGCCAGATCAAGCACATTTCCGAGGCCGCGGGCCTGAGCCACAGCGGCGGCAAAGCCGACGTCGTGATCAACACCACGGGGCTGATGGCTTCTAGGCTTGGCGGGGTGATGGATAGCAAGGTCGTGCCGATCCGCGGCCAGGTCGTCGTCGTCAGGAACGAGGCGCCGTACATGCTGACGAAGTCCGGCACGGACGACGCCGCCGACGAGGTCTGCTACATCATGATGCGGGCCTCCGGCGGCGGCACGATCCTGGGAGGTACCTACCAGAAGGGGCACTGGGAGAGCCAGCCGGATCCCAACATCGCCATGCGGATCATGCGGCGGGCGGTGGAGATGATGCCCGAGCTTACGGGCGGGAAGGGCGTCGAGGGCTTGGATGTTGTCCGCCACGGCGTGGGTCTGCGTCCGTGGAGGGAGGGTGGCGTGAGGATCGAGAAGGAGAATATTGATGGTACCTGGGTGGTTCATAATTATGGACATGCCGGCTGGGGTTACCAGGGCTCGTATGGTTGTGCGCAGGACGTTGTCGCGCTTGTGGATGAGATTCTTAGTCGTCCTCGACTGTAGCGTTGCTAGATCTTATATGATACTACATTTCGTTGATAGATGAATAATTCTTAAGACTACAACAACATACCTAGTATCTTATAAAGACTTATACAAGACGAATGACATTAACTAATGGTTATTACAGCCTCTCTATAGGTCAATATCTCGTCCCAATCCAAGAGCATTTAGTATGGTAGTAGGTAAGTTTTTAACTTGGAGCTCAGAATGAAGTGCTTAAGCAATGTTCATCAGTAGGTGCTAAGCAATGATGCACTGGTGGCACCTGCCAATAAAATGCAGGTGCCTTTCCCCGGGGCCCGGGTACCTACTCAAGGTACCCACTTTACATAACGTGTCCATCTTAATGTCTTACAAGCTTCAGCGCGTCAAAACTTCTAAAGCCAATTTTACACATCAACCACCATAATGGCTATTCCTGCTGGAGGTTCACCAGCCGCAGTACTGGTGCTTAACGTCGCCACTGGTCGTAGCTCTCTGTCAAAGTTCGTTCCGCCATGTCTATTCGTTCTGGATGCGGTGCTTTGCGCACTCATCATATGGAAGATCCCATGTAAGATTCTGCAGCCTTGTCGCATGTCTACCAAGTTGCTTACAATATTCTCTTTTGTAGATACGGAGATCGATTGGAAGGCATACATGGAACAGGTCTCGCAGTTCGTGTCTGGCGAATACGACTATACCCTTATTAAGGGAGGCACTGGACCCCTCGTTTATCCAGCCGCGCACGTCTACACATATACTGCTCTATACTACCTGACGGATGAAGGCAAGAATATACTCCTTGCGCAAGAGATATTCGCAATTCTGTATATGGCGACTGTGGCACTGGTAATGGCCTGTTACTGGAAAGCGAAGGTAGGTTACGAGCTATGGAATAAATATCCCTACTGACAAGGTGCCCATGAATAGGTACCGCCTTACGTCTTTCCTTTACTAGTTCTCTCGAAGCGACTCCACAGTGTCTTCGTATTACGCTGCTTCAATGATTGTTTCGCTACGTTCTTCCTCTGGCTCGCCATATTCCTGTTCCAGCGACGATATTGGGCTGCTGCAAGTATTGTGTACTCGTGGGGTTTAGGAATCAAAATGTCGTTACTACTAGTGCTTCCGGCCATCGGTGTTGTCTTACTTCTAGGAAGGGGATTCTCGGGTAGTTTGAAATGTGCCATGATCATGGTCAATATTCAAATTGCTATCGCCTCCCCGTTCTTGCAAGAAAATGCAAGAGGCTACGCCAGTAAAGCCTTTGAGCTAACCAGACAATTCTTTTTCAAATGGACCGTCAACTGGCGCTTCGTGGGAGAGGACATATTTCTCAGTCGGCCATTTTCCTTGTTCCTCTTGGCGATGCATGCTATAGTTTTGATAGGCTTTGTTGTCAACAAATGGTTGAAGCCCGCGCAAAAGCCCCTCTTCGCGATGGTTGCGCCAATCCTGCAGCTCAGTTCGCCTTTTAGTCCGCAAGAGGAGCGTGAGGTGGCCTCACGCGTAACCCCCGAGTATGTAACGACGACCATTCTCTCGGCAAACATCATTGGGCTCCTCTTCGCGCGCACGCTGCACTACCAATTCTACGCCTATCTCGCATGGTCCACCCCATACCTTCTCTGGCGAAGCGGAGCTCACCCCGTCGTTCAATATGGGCTTTGGGCTCTTCAAGAATGGGCTTGGAACGTCTTCCCGAGCACTTCTATTAGCTCAAGCGTTGTGGTAGGCGTCCTCGCTATGACTGTTGCCTTACTAGTCCCCCAGAAGGACGCACCTACAGCGTACGTGTCGCTACGTGACTCCATACGCAAGCGCAAGTACACTTGAGTCCGACGAAGATGACCGATGGAAAATTTAATCTTCGTCTTCGGGATCCGATGGTGGCATCTTGCCTGCAATCGAGTCTTCGTCCTCGTCATCGTAGGTAACCCGCGGAAACTCCTTCGGCCTAGGTACGATGTTAGGCTCTCAGTCTTCAGGGAAAAGTTAAAACGAACTGACCAATAGCTCTGTTTGCGCCATTCCTTTTCGTCGCCGACGATATTGATAATCTCGCCTTCCACCCTCCCTTTCTCTTCCTTGGAGGAAGTGAACTCTACTAGGACATATCCTCCACGCCTGATCCAAACGGTGTTGCGGAAACGAGATGCAAGCCCGACGAGCACGGTTCGTCTATTGGGCAGAGAGCAGGCGTAGAGACTGTTGCCCTCGGCCTTGATCACCTTGGCGAGCGACTGGTTTTCAGTGAGTTGGTCAGGAGGCGTCGTCGCCTCTTCCGCAGCTGCGCGTATGTCGCGCTTTGGCCGACCCATCTCGAATTATAGACAATTTGCGATTTACAGTCTACAGCAAAGCAAAGGTCTCCGATGACTTTTTAGTTTAGGACAATGAGAATTCCGAGTAAATCTGAAAAATATAGCGGGGCTGCGGGGATGATTGCTCTCTCATTTATCCGTAGTTCTGCCAGCGATATACATATGTACAATCAAGTCGGAGGCTTAATTAGATGTTGTAACATTTGAACGTCCTTAAATACCTGCCAGACTCGAATTTTCCATCAAGATATTTACAGTTCTCACATGAACTTTATTTAAGCAATATGCAAGAGTAAACTTATATTTATGGTTTCAACCTACGTTTTATGTACCACCACTAGTGTCGCCAGTTTATTGTTGACAATCACTTCTTTTTCTCCTCCTGCAAAACATCAATGGAGACTTCTACTACTTGTACTAGCCAGATGGATATTACCAGCTCACCTAATGAGGACGGCTACATGTACCTATACCTCTGTAGGTGCGGCATGTTTCTTGATTCAGCTGAAGACGTCAGATGCGTACCTACACATCCGACATCCATGATTACATTATGCAGCACGGGCAGTCGCCTATCAGCCACGATGTACCTACTACCAGGTAATAAAGCAATAGCCAGTTTATGGCCAATGCTTAACAGCAATACGTGTTAGATAATCTCTCTTCCTAGCCTCGACGCGTCAAACTTTTTTGTTTTCTACAATTGAGGTGACCTCAAGTCAGATCGACGACCATGACGACAACGTTAGACAGTCTGCCTAATGAGATTTTGTTCATCATCGCCAGCCATTTTGGCTGCGACGGCCGCCGGGACTGTCACGTAACTCAAAAGAGCTTTGCGTCGCTGGCCCGCACCAATCGGCGGCTTCACAACGTATTCAACCCCATCCTCTGGCGTTTTAACCGCGAGTGTGGAATCAGCGAGGGATGTCCTTACACTACTGCTGTATCCGCCGTTTCCTGGGCCGCCTCGAGGAATAGGATTGATATCCTTGAGATAGCAGTCAAGTATCAACACGATCTAGGCTCATTTCATCAAGGAGATCCTATCCACCGTGCCGCTAAAAATGGACATGACGCCACGGTATCTTGGCTACTTGATCACGGTGTACCTATAGAATGTGTTCCTTGCGAACGGATAGCTGTTGATTCACCGTTCCCTGTATTCCCTTGGCCTCAAAATCATGTATCGCCTAGCTACTCAGTCCTGCACACCGCGCTGGTATCCAGCCAAGGATCCACCTCTATATTGCTGTTATCACGCGGCGCCAAATACCAATTCAAATCTGAGACGAATAAATCGGCCATACACTTGGCTGCCTTACACGGTCTATCCGCAGTGATAGAGTATCTAGTCAAGACGATGGGAATTGACGTCAACCAGGAAGACCAGCACGGCATGACGCCACTACATTACGCAGTAGAGCGGAGAGACAACGTAGAGACAATCCAAGTATTACTGGATCTCGGTGCTGACAAGGACACGGAACAATACCCCCAGAGTCCTCTCGTCAGAGCACTCAAGATGGGCCATTTTAGCAATGCGATGCTATTGCTAGATGCTGGAGCAGATGTTAATCCGACATTTGATTACCAAGAAGCCCCGCTAGTAGTATGTGCGCAAGAGAGTTTTGCATTGATCGGGACCGCGGAGTCGTCAGTACAGTATAAGGTACTTCGCAAGATCATTGCAAATGGCGCTGCTCTTGACGTGTCATACAACAAAAACACAGCCCTGTGCTCTGCTGTTGAACAAGGGACCGTTGCAGCGGTTTATGAGCTTCTCAGAGCGGGAGCCGACGTAGAAATGCCTAGGGATAAAGATGGACAGACTCCATTTGATCTACTATGGACCCTACGAAGATACGAAGCAGAATCCGATTGCTCTTCCGATTACAATCTATTGGGGGAACTTATCGAAAAGGCAAGACTTCTGATTGCAGCAGGCGCCCGCCTAGATACTCAGAGCAGTGAATATGGCAGCACCCAGCTTGAGAAAGCCATTCATTATTGTTTTTGCGGGAGCACATTTCTGCTTCGCGAACTCCTACGGCTAGCAACGCATCGGAATGTTCGTGACGGATATATCAACGAACTCTTCGAGACGTGCCTCACAGGTAGACAGTTGGAGCCAGCTATGATACTGGCGCATCACGGCGCAACTTCCGATAACGCAAACAAGTTGGCTTTTATTTGGGCTGAGAAGATAGGCAAGACACTCTGCAGTTATAGCGGGATGAACGTCGAGGCCTTGTCCTTCTGTCTGGATTTTTTGTCGGCCGAACAAATTGAAGAGCTGTTCACACATGCGTTAAATCACGCGAACGAGGAACGTTGCCAAAAGTTCATTGATCGCGGTGCTCTATCATCCTGGAGGAAATCAAAGGTGTTTAAACCGTGGCTTCATATAGCCGCATCACGTGGATTCAGCGCACTTGTACGACGCCTGGTTGGAGCCGGGATGGATATCAATGCTCTGGACGAAGAAGGCAGAACGCCTATGTTGGCAGCTCTAGAGGTGGATGACACAGTGTTGGATACAGTTGGACAACTTTTCGAACTCGGGGCGGATCCATTCCATCCTCGCCCAGATGCAGAATGCCGACGACTGCCGAATCCACGGTCGAAGGAAATTCTATCTCCTTTTGAGCTTGCTATCCGTAGAAACTGCTTGCCAGAAATACGACGGTGGTGGCTTAATTCTCCGCCAGAGTCCCGGCCGACGGGAGAAATCTACATCCCTTGCGTCCAAAGTACAGGGCCCTGGCACCAAAATTATCTAAAGTACTTGCGCGGTCAAACCGATAGCAGCACGTCAGAAATCGTTGGCGAAAGCCAACAATGGGACATATATTGGATGCAAGGGTGCGATATGCGAAAACTCGACGAGGAGGAGGAAAAGAAGACCAAACTCATGGATGTGATGAATGAGCGGGACATACCGGAAGATCCAGCTGAGGACTATTACCTCAATCACTTTTGGGAGTCATCTCTCTGAATTACCCCCCATCGCGATCCGGGTTTAGCAACAGTGGTTGTTCACAGGTCCAACCATCGTTATATATTTCAGTGGGAATAGACGGTCCCGCTCGCTTCGAATCTGCTTGCACTAGCGCTCTACACGTCTTCGCCTAGTACTTGACATCACCACGCTGACGTGTCACCAATATGTCAACTTGTCTACGAATATCTTTGGAGATATTATGCAGTTTGGAGGGCTCTTGATCTCGGCGATGTTTATGCTGATTTATTTTCATTTTCAGACCGATGGGTCTAGGATATTACCCTACTCGTGTTAATATAGGTACTAATTATCATACTTAAAGTGTGTTAGAAATGCATTATTAATATCAAATAATCATGAGTTGCGATAATGACAACGCATCGTTAACACTTGCTATTCTTCAGTATTCCCAATATATATAGGTAGACATTTGGCCAGTTCCATCCGCAAAATTCTAAAGACTAGCCGTACCGGTAGTGGAGCTGGGTGTAGTTGATAGCTCATCGCTCGAACAGCACCTTAGGACATTGTTACAAATCATGAATACATCTAGAAAGCTACTCGGGTATTTCTGCAGAGGGCTTTACAATTACAATCCTAGGAACAACTTATGTAGTCAATCGCCATACTGATCACCATGAAAAAGTTCCAGCAGATACATTAGGTAAGTACTGCCTAAGTATGTAGTTCATTCGTTCTTGCCTATTTACACACAAACACATACACTACGCTCTTGCTTTAACCTTAGCGAAGCCTACCATTGGGCATATATACCAAAATTATTAGATGTGCCTTCCAACAACAGAACAGCAGCCATGGTCAAGTGGCAAACCGCATGGAACTCAATGCTAACATAGAATCTTTAGGGTTTCCGTTCGAGACGTCGGTTGCGCGTCCTGCGTGCTGATGAGAGATACCGCTTCGGCGGCAGAGGACCACACGGTTGGGTATCCCGTCCTGGGAAACTCGACGTGCTTGGTCGAAGTCGATGTATCCTGTTCATTCGGGATGACCTCCTGTTCGCTTAACCGCCACGGGAGGAACTCCAGGAATGGACAGTGAGGGTCGCCGCGAACGTAAGTTAAAATCCCCCTAACACCCTACACTTGACCATGACTGTTGTTCTGTTGTATCTTCTAAATATCCTCAATAAGAGGAACCACCCCTCTTCAATTACCATTATTCCTTTTTTTTAAAAAAAAAAAAATCAATGGAAATTTGCGAAGAGAAGTTTCTTTTTAGTTGGTTTAAACCCTCTTGGGGGTTCGTCATGGGCAGAGTCCATGTTCCCCGAACATCTTTACCAATTTACCGCCTCATAGCAAGAGAAACTATTTTTATATGAATATTACTACCTAGGTAGGCAGAATATTACACTTCTACTGGAGTAAATAAAGCGTGTTGTGTGTCTCCAGAAACGAGTGAAACCCACATTGATATGTAAGACACGGTCTAGCACATCTTTCAGCATATACGTACGTATATTTTTCTTTGAAAGCAGTGTTACCTGCACATATAAGTATCAATTGATATGGTTGGACAATCGAGATAGCATGTAACCGGCGTGTAACTGCTAAAGCTAATTTCCTCTTCTGGAGTCCCGTCGACGTCATTGATTAAAGCTGTGTCTTTACATTGCGTCACACGGAAACAACAAAACACTTTAAACATCATACCTTCCTATTCGTAATGCTAAGAAGCGCCTACAATACCTATAAATCATTACATACCAGTAACTAACCAAACCCCTAATAAATCCAATATCTATTCACATACCTACCCGTAACCATAACCCAAAATGGATCCCTCAGCACCGCCGCAGCCGCCCAAGAGCACCGCCTACGAAACCCAGAGCAATCCAGCGACATCCAACACGCAAGAACAGCACATAGCGCAAGACCACCACCACCGCCCGCCCGCCGAGAACGTCGCCGAACGCATGCCGCCGCCAGCTAAAGCCGGAGGAGGAATGGCCGAGGCCACGCCCTCGAGCCTGGGGTACGGGATCCGCGGCGCGCCGGCCGGCGAGGAGAGGTACGGTCACACGAAAGAACAGGTGAGCAGGGCAAGAGAGCTGGAGGGCGAGCAGATGCGGGCGCCGGGCGAGGGCGACGTGGCGGAGGCCGTGGAACGGAAGCCGGGGGCCGGGGGCGAGCAGCCTGATTTAGCGGGGGATCTCGATCGGTAAGTTCGACGAGGGGAGATGAGAAGGGGAAGAGGAGATAGGGATGTTGGGGTGTTGGGGTGTTGGGGTGGTGTAAAGAGGGCTTGCTAACGTGTGCGGTTTTGGCGTGTGTAGGAAGAAGAACGAACAGGCTGCGATGAGGGAGGCGGTTAAGGAGAAGCGGAGGCGTGGCGAGGCGCCTGATGATGGGGATGTGAGGGCTGGGGTTGGGATTTGAGTGGGAGGTTACGTGTTAGTACGCTGAGTAATGGGGGTTGTTTTCGAGGGGCTTTTGGGTGGAAGGGGTGGGCGTATTGTGTTTTCTTAGGGAGACCGAATCAAATATGAGAATATCACTTCACGTTTATTCCAAGTTAGAGGTTAGAAAGATATATAATTCGCGTCTATCGTTCGTAACGATGGAATGTTGAAGTGCCGAGTCCTGCTCCCGCCTTCGATAGATCTTTGAATCTGATGATTTGTGGAGTGTCCCTAAAATGTGGTATGTTGACCAAGATATAACCGTCTGAAGGCATCCAAGGGCGATCGATACTAAGGAGTCTCGGCTCTCTAGTATTCTAGGCAAATAATCGACTATCCCATTAGAGGTATGAACTGCATTGGATTAGGTTCTATGCTGCGATGAGCTGCGGGGAAGCAAGAACGGACGATGGATCCCTGCGAGAAAGACCAATTGGCTCAAGGTATAGATTCAACATAGACGCTCATTTCGTGTTAAGAAAGGATTGACGGCTTACGCTCGTGACTACATTGCCGAGGCATACAGGCATACGGGGGACTGAACGGCGACTTCATATGCTTTCCGAGGCTTAGGAGTACTATAGTTGAGGCTCCAACATCCGTATAGAAGATGTGTGAACCATTAGTCTTTGTATAGTGGAAACATCGTTAGATGCCTGTAAAAGACGATCCATATTGCGATGCTAGCTCAACTGTCATCTATTCACATTGGTCTCGCTGTAGGCTTGTTGCTGATTTGCGCCTTGATCTACTATGTAGTTCAACTATCAAGGCACGAACTCAGGATCAGAAAGATAGGCGGAGTGCGAGCACCTTCTCTAACAAGAAACCCTCTTATAGGTAAGTTCATTATTGTCGACTTGAGAACAGCATTCCTGACATACAAATCGTAACTGAAAAGCGGCTTCGTGGTTCCTCGACACGGGCAAGGCTATAATAAGGAATGAGCTTCTAGAGCAGTATAACAGTTTCTTCGATGCGGCAACCCCTGAGTGTCCGGATTTGGTCGAGCTCCAGATATTTCCACGGGAGAGATATCTTTTCACTAGATCTCCGGAGCATATTAAAGCAGTACTGGCGGCTCAATTCGCTGATTACGGGAAAGGACCCCGATTCCACGACCTATGGAGGCCATTCCTTGGCGATAGCATCTTCACAACTGATGGTCAGCTATGGCACGATAGTCGTAGCTTGATCCGTCCAATGTTCATTAAGGATAGGGTTAGTGACTTAGCCACGTTCGAAAAAGGGATGGCAATCCTCCTTTCGAAACTTCCACCCCAAGGACAAACTGTCGACATCATGGATCTTTTCTATCGAATGACTCTAGACGTCACCACGGACTTCCTACTAGGAGCCAGTGTTGACAGTCTAAGCAAGTATGTTGAGCTTCCGAGACACGTTGACTACTATCACTATTCCCACTAACCTCGACAAGCCCTCAGAGTGAATTTGCAAAGGCTTTCAATGACGTCCAAAGGATTCAGATGTTGGTCACTGCTATTGGGTAATGACTGACTCGGTCTTCGAACTGTTGTCTTTGACTTGCTCTGCTAACTCGTGGATTTAGACCATTTGAAACACTTGTTCCTCGTCGTCGATACAATGAGGGGATCAGAGTCCTAGACCGATTCATTATGCCGTACATCGAGCAGGCATTAGCATTGCCGCAGGAGGAGTTAGAGAAGCTCTCCAACTCTGACAAACACTTCACCTTCCTGCACAATATAGCACGGTATACTCGCAATCGCCAAGTGCTCCGTGATCAGATCATCGCCGTGCTCCTCGCCGGGCGCGACACGACAGCCGCAACGCTATCATGGGCGTTTTACGAGTTATCTCGCTATCCCGACAAGTTCAAGAAGCTTCATGATGAGATCATCAACTCCGTCGGTCGCACACGAACCCCGACGTACCAGGATCTCAAGGACATGCCGTATCTGCGACATACTCTGAACGAGACATTAAGACTCTATCCTGCCGTGCCGTATAACCTGCGAGGAGCACTGGAAGATACAACCCTACCAGGTCAACCAGGTCAGCCGCCTATCTCGGTAGTAAAGGGCGACATCGTATTCTACAGCACGCTCGCGATGCAGCGACGGAAAGAACTGTACCCTCCGATATCAGAGAAGTTCGAAGATCCTGCAGTCTTCTCGCCTGAGAGGTGGGAGAACTGGATACCCAAGTCCTGGCAATATGTGCCCTTTAACGGTGGGGCGCGCATTTGCGTAGGACAAAATTTTGCTTTGACTGAGATGGCGTATTGCAGTAAGTGCCCTAGAATCCGTCCCTTTTAGTAAGAAGGATATAATTTGTTGATGATCATGCTCAGTGGTCAAAATCGTCCAGAAATACGACCGCCTCGAATACCGCGGAGATTGGCACGCGCAGAAGCATGAGACAGAGGTTGTTGGCAAACCCAGTCAAGGGGTCAAGGTTGCCTTATATGAAGAACCTTCGAAGGTACTGGAGGGACCGAAGCCATTATATGTTTAGAGACGAGTTTATTCTTCCATAAGTATACTACAATATCGCCAGCTGTTATTGAATACTCAGACTGCATTTCTCTTTGGTTCTTGCGAAATGACGGTTAATGATTTCTAAGCAGTTAGCGCTATTAAGCAATATACAAGTAGCTAAACCATTAGAAATGACACACATTGGCAAAATTGTCGCTTTGTAACCACTAGGTAGTAGCGTGTGAATTGAGTCTTAGATAGAACCTAAGGGTTGAGAACGTCGAAGATAGAATGAGTCGGGGAGTCAAATTGTCGGCCAGTCGGAGCTACCTAGGCCCGCCAGGCCCACTAAACCGGTAGGGCTATTCAGGACTCGGCAGAGCGCGTAAATTACTTAGAGCAGGCGCGTCGCGTTTTAACAGGGCAGCTGCCAGGGGTTATTTCCTAGCGGCCAATTTTAGTATGGAACTTCTGTGGCAGGGGCCAACATTTACGCATTTACAACAACTTCCAAGGTTATTTCACCTTCAATTTCGCTCGTAGTGAATGTTGATATGCCTGATGGACCAGCGTCTAAATAGGGAACCGCCGCCATCCGCAAAATGGCCACCGCGCAGACTCCTTCCGGTCGAAGAAAACGAAGTCGTCCTGACGATGAGCCGGACTCGTCGCCAGCAGTTACACCAAGCATAACCGCCGCCGTCAAGAGGCGCCGTCTTAATAACTTTTCAAATCAGTCACCCTCTACACCGAGAGGCTTTTCTGCTATTACTTCTGCAATTGGAAACGCGCTTGGATTGGGCCGAAGAGGAGGTTCGAAGAATAACACCGAAACCGACCAGACAACCGCGACTAATGGTACCGCTTACGATGTACCTAAATCCTCCACTAATAAAAAGCCAGTCAAATCCTTACAAGACCTCCCTATCAAGCACAAGAAGCTTGGCCTTCCCCAATCGAGGGCGAACCAACGGCCTCCTAGCAGCGTATACGATGTGCCTGTTTCCGATGATGAGGTAGAGCGTGGACGAGAGGAAACAAGCACAAGCCAGGATGAGCTTCAGGCTACGCCGACTGGAAGGAAGGGTATTAAGGCAATATCAACCGCTTCTTCAAGAAAGAGTGTAACTACGCGGTTATTAGAATCGCGGAAAAAGAAAGCAGCCCCCCCAGTTCAGAGTGAACCCGATCAAGGCACGCCAAAAAGAAGGGGTAGACCGGGCAGACCTGCCGCTAAGAAACAAGACAAGCTTGATGTATCCACGACTAGCTTCAAGCTGACTAGGACTGAACTTCCAACACGTGGTGTAGACCCGGGTATCAAAGGGATACTATCGCCACAGAAGAAAAAGCCTGGTCGACCTCGGAAGAATGTGGTATTTTCTGAAGGAGACAGTGGGAAGGAGAACGATATTTTCTTCGAGGACATATCGACGAAGCCTACTAAATCAGGAAGACAGGGGAAGACCTCGGGTATTGTAAATGATATTACGCTGCCTTCCGCTGATGAAGAGGATGATGTTCAAGATGATGAAGATGACGAAGTATGCGCCATATGCTCGAAGCCAGACTCGGAGCCGCCGAACGAGATCATATTTTGCGAGAATTGTGATATGGCAGTTCACCAAAAATGTTACGACGTACCGGTCATCCCAGAAGGCGACTGGATTTGCAGAAGTTGTTCTCAAGACGATGTTCTATCGGGCCCAAAAGCGACCCCGAAGAAACAGATACATGTGACGAAAGCGTCCGAGATTCCTAGCATTCCGAATTTCGAGCAGCATTTACGACATATGCAGCGTGTGCTGCTTGACCGTTGTTCCGGGAGCCGTCGCATAAAGCTTTGTGGCCAGGCTGAAGCTTATGACAAGGCGTATCAACTAGTTGAACAGACGGTCTTGGCTGGTGAGGGAAATTCGATGATGGTAATCGGTGCAAGAGGTTGTGGCAAGACTACGTTGATGGAGGAGATTATCTCAAATCTTCGAGCCGAGCATCAAGAAGAATTCCATGTGGTTCGCCTCAATGGGTTTATTCATACGGATGATAAGTTGGCTCTTAAGGAGATCTGGCGCCAACTCGGCAAGGAGATGGATCTCGAGGATGATTTAGTGAACAAGGTACTATCGCGTATATACGACACAATGGGTATGAACTAACTTTAATTAGACAAACAATTATGCCGATACGATGGCTTCACTGTTAGCGCTTCTGTCCCATCCGGCGGAAATCATGGGGGCTGAGGATGGTGTAACATCTAAGTCCGTCGTCTTTATTATCGACGAGTTCGACTTGTTCGCGACGCATGCTCGCCAGACTCTACTATACAACTTATTTGACATCGCCCAAGCGAGAAAAGCGCCGATTGCGGTGCTAGGGTTAACCACGAGGATAGATGTCGTGGAAAGTTTGGAGAAGAGAGTGAAGAGTCGATTCAGTCACCGATACGTTTACATGTCGCTTCCGAAGACGTTAGCGTCTTATTGGGACATCTGCAAGCAAGGACTTTGTGTCGATGAAGAGGATCTTCGTCACGAAGGGTTCGACCTCAGTCTGCAAGGGATTTACAAGTTCCGAGATTATTGGGACAAGAAGATCGAGGTATGTTGCCATTATTGTGAATTTCTTCGTGTGCTTTTGCTGATGCGTGCTAGACCCTACGTAAGACTCCAGCCTTCGAAGATCACCTTGAATATCACTATTATACGACAAAATCTGTGCCGACATTTCTCACATCTTGCATTCTACCCCTATCGATGATTTCGGCATCCTCGTTAGATCTGGCAATACAGTCGAACCCGGTGGGCTGCGTCTCCCTAGAACCTTCGGGGTCAAGCCTCCATCTTCTAGCAACGCTGTCAGACCTCGAGTTAGCACTGCTCATTTCAGCGGCCCGGCTAGACATTGTTGCTCATACTGATACCGTCAATTTTGCGATGGCGTATGACGAATATAGCTCTCAGATGGGTAAGCAACGAGTGCAGTCGGCTTCGTCCGGTATATTGGCGCTAGGGGCTGGCGCAAGGACATGGGGTCGGGGCGTGGCTGTTGTAGCGTGGGAGCGTTTAGTGTCTCTTGGTATACTAATTCCAGCCGGTATTGGCGGCCGGAGCAATGCTCTGCACGCCGGTCTAGAGGGCAAGATGTGGAAACTGGATGTTGCACTGGATGAGATTCCTACGGCTTGCGAGCTGCCGGGGTTTCTATCCCGATGGTGCAGCCAGATCTAACTTATTATAGATCCATTGACACCTGCATATGCCGTCGCGGGACTCGCATGGATATGAATAAATGCACACAACCGTTATCTAGGCCATCCTAGGCTTTGCTCAGCCAGCCGGATTCAAAGACATCCGCCAGCTCTAGCCAGCCACCAGACTAAGTCCCAGGTTAAAAATACATAGATATTTTCGTGCAGACTATTAAGCACGAGCCAGAGCACGAGCACGGACTGATTGCGCTTGCAACGTCGGTAAGACAGACATCGTTTTCCCCATTGTTTCCTCAATTGCGCCAGCATTGATAGGGTACGAGGGAGCCAACCACGATATCCTTCTAAGGGGTAGCGCATATTTTCCCCGTAAGCCGTTCTATTTTGGGCTCCTGATCAAGCCCAAAAATCAATACCACAGCCTCGTCATGCAGGGAGAGGTGGCCAGAAACGCCAACGATGCTTTCAACCCCGTTGATCGCCCGACGAATGCGACCAATCGTGTAAGAGTTTTGTTTCTACTTCTCCATGAAACGAGAAACAACAACTGGGTGGTTATAGAATAGCAAATTAAACTACCTTATTTCAAGCTCCAAGCTCCATTATGTGACCTACTATTCCAACCTTCATCAATTTCTGCATTTTTCTTACTTCACTCTACACTCTTCTCTTCATCCGATATCCTCGTCGCCGTGTTAGTCAGCTGATTATAGCAGTGCAGTACATAGCTATATCGCGCGCAAGTAATCTAAATCGATCTAGCAAACCAAGCTTCGTGCCATTTCGACTAGTGACATACTCTACTCGTTTATCCGATCACGTATTCCTTTCGCTTCCGCGACCTATTGCAAACAATTTTCTTTTGCGCGAGCCATTTCTTTCCCAAAAATCCTGGATTTACGGTAGTCTAATTACCTCGGCATCTCACAGCCTCTTCTTCGCGAGCGGCCTTTTAACTCCGTCCCATTATATCGTCGTCTTGGCAGTGACGTGCGTCGCACGCAGTTGGGTTTTATTTAGGGTGCGCGATGACGATGTCGAAGCGCACGACGTTCACGACGATCTCGCCGCTGCCGCCGGGCATCACGCGCGAGGTCGTCATCAGCTTCCTGCACAGCCACGTCGAGATGATCGACCTGAACCCGCTCGTGATCGAGCGGCACCCGATCTCGCCGCCGCCGCACGCGGCCCCCGAGGAGCGCCGGTGCGTGTGGTGGAGCCTGACGGACAAGATCTCGTACCTGCCCGGCGGCGTCGTCTCGGGCGACATCACGTACACCGCCGCCTTCAACGACCTGCCGAACGGCGTCCAGACGCACATCTACGCCCCCATGAGCACCGACATCCGCGAGCGCTGGAGCCTGAACGGGACCCTGCCCGGCGAGCCCCCCGAGCCGGTCGAGCTGGGGATCGGCGCGCCGAGGCAGGGGCTCTATTTGCGCGAGGTAAGTTCATGTCCAAATCTCTCGCTACGCTGCTACCTTAACAGCTACCTACATGCCTACCCACCTGCCTGCCTGCCTACCTACCTATCCCCCAAGCCAACATCAAACTAACAAGTAAAAAAAAAAGGACGTCGATCTAAGATGCAACTTCGTAATGTCCTCCTTCGTCAAGAAGACGCTAAAGAAAGCGCACGGAACCCTAGTAGAAAAACTGCTAGAAAAGGCCGCCGCCTCGGCCCCAGCGAAGCCGCTCCCCCAGGTCCCCGTCGCGAGCCACCAGCACACGGGGTCGAGCGCGCATAGCGGGAGCGGGAGCGGGAGCGCGCGTTCTAATCGCTCTTCCGCGGGCCACGCTTACCCGCCGGCGCCGTATCAGCGGCACTCGCACTCGCACTCGCGGCAGGGGTCTAATTCGCATGGCCAGGGTCACGTATCGCCGCCGCCGCCGGGTAGGTCGTCGCCGTACGACCGTAGGAGTGGGAGTGGGAGTGGGGTTGGGAGTGTTACGAATCCAGCGGCGCCGTTGAGCGTGGATGTCGGCGCTGCGAACGGTAGTTTCATGCCCGAGCCGCTGCGCGTGAACCGCAGTCGCGCGCCGTATCACTCCGGGCTGGAGGTCGTGGCGCCGCTACAGCAACAGCAGCGCCAGACGCTGAATGGGGGGTGGTCGGCCGAGAAGCCAAGGTTCGGACAGCAGCAGGTTCCGAGGCCGGGCGACGGGGGCGGGTTTCGTGCGGAGTTGGAGTGATGGGTGGGTTCGGATAGAAGGCCACGCTATTTCGTTTAGGTGTACCTATGGTTTATCGGGTTTTTGTTTTTTTCTACGTTCATGCATCGAGGTCCGGAGTACCCGCGTTCGAGCGCCGTGGCGTCTGGGAAATTAAGGGATACCTTCGTTTTCTTAAGGAGCGAATGAGTCGCCGAATCGGGTTATGGGGAAGGAAGTAAAGCCTGGTAGGGCGCGAAAGATCGTGTTATATACCCCGGAGAGTTGTGGTTATTAGTGATAAATCCCAGAGCCCGGTTTGATTTGTCCTCTTATATGTGCGTCCTTGGTGTCTTTTGATGAATGTTCCGTTGTTGGGCGAGACTTGGGAGTTTGCTTGTAGATCCGACTGGTAGCATGCCTCTCTAGTCCGTAGCTTCCACGTCGATTCATGCTCCCGAAAGCCAGAGATAATGTAAGCTTCCATCGCGAGCAACGTTTCCAGAATTTACTTGCTACCTATAAATGAGTAACTAGATCGTACCTCTGTCCGGAAAAGCGGGTTGTTCATACGGTTGCCACGTAGGCTTCAATTCATCGTAAACTACCTATCAACAGGGCATATAATGTGTCCTAGCCAGTAGTAAAGCCTGATAGGGTACTTGAACGTAAATTTGGCGTGTTACCTAGTTGGGTTCAACGGGTAGCCAGTTAAGATCGTCAAGTGCCCCTCGAGGGGGACTGGAGCAATCTCAGGGGTCGATAGAAAGATCACAAGGCATAATGAACGGTAATTTTCTAAGACGGACCTATTCGTCAGAGCTCTAAGGCCTTTGGGTACCTACCTAGCTTGAGGGTTAAAAAATCCTTCTCGTTGAAGCCTACTCTCCATCCATTCCCATTTGCCGGATTTGTCGTAGGATTTATGGCCTATGGGCTACCTTCCCACGTATTTCTAATGCTCCAATAAGCCTTAGTCCTGGCACTTGCGAAAATAGGTAACTTCCGTCACTCCTAATGTATTATATAATAATTTCTTTGTGTTTCGAATCATTATCGTCATTTCGACGTGTTCCTGCTTATGTGTTATAAGAAATTATGTATTGAGGATCACTGCTTTACACGGTAATTTATTCAAAATGACGTGGGTACTCATGTATAACAACTTGCCTGGTCAACAAAGCCTAATCCGCAGACTACAAACCGTCCATTGCCGTAGCAAGTTGCTACGAAATTGGCAAGAAGGGTTACGGGGATCGAGGTAGCCTAAAGTCGCCCCTCGTATGACGCCTAGGTAAACAAGGCGAGTCGCAGTAGAAGTCAGAGATTCATCTTGTTCATCTGTTGAATACTAACAAGTATGGTGAACTCTCCCATGGCAAGGAATTGACTGTAGGGGGGTCTACTTGGAAGCTACCCCTAATCTTAGGCCTTATCCCAAGAAGAATCAGCGACTTAAGTATGTATACTTTTACATCTGATGCCACTACAGTTCAAAAACGAGTTTGAATCGATGGTTCTTTTGTTCACACTGAGTTTTCCTGCTAACCATATTCTGCTGAGACCCTTGTCAGTGGTCCGTCTTCCTCAAGGACAATTCTCATCAAATTGTCCTATTAGGGACGCTATACCCTATCTCTCGTAGAAAGCATGATGTATTCGGTAAACAATAAGCAGTCAATGACCCCAGGGTGAACCAATACTCCCATTACAAGTACCCCTGGGGACATGTAATTATCCGGAATGTGCCTTAGATGGCTTGGGATCAAGGCTATGGCAACATCGGAAGATAAATCTACATGTTTACCTATAGTGAAGACATTTTTCCAGCCCATTCTAATATCAAAGAAGACAGTCTAGTTAATTAACATCTTAAGCTATATCCAGAAGGCTTGACTAACTACATAAGGGGGGAGGGGGTTACGGATTGATGATATGGTGGAATTTATTGTTTAATATCATCGAATACTCGACTGTTCTGCCTCAAATCATGAATGCAACACCACAGAGTGAAACATGAATAATCATCCCTCCGTATCTAGATGCTGCCTCATATAATAGCTAGGATAACCCACATACCCTTGATGTTAAGTTATGTAGAGATGGCACTTAGCAGTAGGACTAGTCTGTAGGTTCAACAGACGGCCAAGTGTACTCGAGCTTGTGTACTTACCAGTGATTATCTTGTATCTATAAGTATCTAATGTTTAGCATAGGCGGTGAAGTGGCACCGGGCAGACCTGGTAAAATTCTTGGGTAGGATACCTATGTGATCTCAGGATGCTATCTACAATGTTGTGTAAAGGAGTGGCGAGTGAGAAGGAAACCGACCCCCAATATTTAAACCCCGAGCGTCTAGAATATTAACTGCATATAAGACTTCTTGTGCTACATCTTATTAATATCTATGATACTTTATCTCAATTAGCCGAGCTGAGTTTCTTACATTGAAGCTGTAAGATAAGACTCCTGGTGTACTCTTTACTCCCAGAGTCCCAGCTAGCAAATCCCGTAAGACAGCATTGATTTCATGTCCTCTTTTATATGGAAGTGGTTCCTACCGAACAGACACCGAAGAATTTCATAAGCTGATGTCTTCACCTACATCAATAGCCGGAAGGCGTCGGCATGCTATCGAGCCAAACAAGGCCCAACCTTGAGCGGAATATGATGCGAATGTACTACGGCCGAAAACCGTGCAGGATATATTGGTATCAGACCACTACTAAGGATATTATGATCGACTGTAAGCCACATTAGGGCGCGGAGATTCGGAATTCAGATTCGGAATAGCAATAAAAGGGCTGAAGTCGCCGAATCTCTGCTATACCCGGAACTCTGAGCTACTACGGACGTTATATGATCCGGAGAAGACAAGTTTCGGAGAACAAACACGCGCTATATCACTCTCATCTCATCTCAAATCGTGAACTCTCGCATATCGGAGATGTCCAGACTCCAGACATGCTCGAGGCCACGTGCGTTTCCGGGAAACCCCAGCGAGTCGGACGACGAGCAAGGTTCGAAGCGGCAATAGACAATAAACGCATGAAGCGCCTCCAAGGGGACATGCGATCGGACGTCCACCATCGGCAAACCTAGTACCTAGGTAATTATCGTCATCCCCATCCCTAGTAGAATTGGCTACCTACCCATCGTCGGCATTAATCTACGTAAAATCCCGACTCATTGGGTCATCACTAAACGTAGGGCGTAACTTGGACGATAGTCCAAACACTCAGCGGTCGGAAGACCTTGTAGTAGTTCCCGCGGAAACCTGCTTTGCCGGAATTTCCCAAGGCTCCTAAAGCTCCCTGACCGCTCTGTCGGGATACCTAGGTAGATATCGTCCCTTTTGCCACGACTCCATCACAGCTGACCGCCGGGGAGCTGTTCTCTCGAACTGACAGGCTCAGCTTAGAATATCAGTGGAGAAAAGGCAAGCCATCGTTCGGCCAGTCCGGGGCTGAAGAAACCTGAGAAATCATGAAAAAAAAGACCCGAATCACAAAAAGCTGTGTGAATTAGCTACTGATACCCAGCAAGTCGTTTGGAAAGTAGCCTTATTATTGCGCACTATGTAGATTCAACACGGACTCAAACGACCGGGGAACAACGCGATAACAAGGATTTGCCTTGTTCGAGCGCATGAAGTCCCGAGACCTTGACCGACCCTGATATAAGGGGGGTAAAGTTCTAGATGCCGAAAAGTTGTGGGTACAATGGGTTTGATCGCACGTGAGGCATGTCAAGAACAATGAGAGATACAGGCGCCTGTCTCATTGCTCGAACCATGGACCCGGTAGCCCTTCGTGCATCCATGGGGATCGCGAGGAAAATGCCGGTTTGGGTCAGCTCATGTTAGCATGTTCGAGCGGCGCACGAAAAAATAAAATAAAAATAATAATAAAAAATAAAGAAATCAAAAATTAAGCGGCTCAAAAGAGCGCAGACAGGTAGGTAGGCGTGCAAACTCCTCCATACCACGTGGGATACCCGCCCGGGCGGTCAGCCGTAACGTGAGTACAGGGCCAGATAACGCCGGGAAGTTCAGGCAGGGCAGGGGCAGACGAACCCCAGGGAATATTCGTGCTCGGACAGCGTGGTGGAGCGCGCTTAGCATAGCGCATCGTCCAAACTTACCTAAGGTAGGGCCGGCTGGCTGGCTGGCTGGCTGGCGCATCGTACGAGAATAGAGACCCGACGACCTAATCGAGGAAAGGCTTCTTCTAGGGAAAGAAGCTGTAGGGCCGGATTGATTCGTTGGGATTATTATAAGGAGGGGGAAGTCTTCTATATGGTAACCATATCGAGGTAGTGCTGTATGTATGAGATAAGACTATTTAAGAGCCTAACGGCCCTATGGCTTCAAGGGTCTAGGTGCTTAAGCCGCTTCTAGAAGTCTACTACGTAGTAGAATCGAGTACGATACATACCTCTGTAGAAATTCTAGACACGATGTGTTGTTGCAGTGATGTATTCTGGTATTATAGGTACACCAGAATGCTCAAGGCTAGAAGTACACAAAATGTATGCACGTATATAGATGGCAATACCTTTCGTGCAGTTGGAGTACCGAGCAGTTCGAGTTCTCGGGACTAGTCGAGACAATCTCCCGCGTCTTGCTTGCCTGCCACGTGTGAGATCGCCAAGTAATTGGGTTTTTCTTTCTTACTGTCGTGCTGTCTGAGAGCCATGCCATGCCATGCCATGCCGTGCCATGCCGTGCCAGGATCTTTTGTACGGACACCACGGGCTAATAACGTGGACGAGCATCATTCTAGTACATAGTAGGTAGCAAAACTGCCGTGTCCCCTATTTGGCAAGGAGCATCAGGAAGGCTTGGTGGCTGGGCCTTTGGTTGACGTATGTACGGATGTATGTATTGGATGTACTTACGATACCCTACCTAATGGCGGTGTGATAAGACTGAGGTATCATCGACGCCATCGCCGTATATTTCCGGAGCGGTGGTATGCGCATATACAGGTGAGTCTATAGCTGTACACAGATTGATTACCATGAGTACATTCAATATCCTTCACATCTAATAACATCTAGTCACGAAAGGTGAAACACGCCGTCTATGGCGGCCCACGAATATCCACCGCTTAGCTAGGTTATAGGCTCGTGGGAAATCAGGCAGTGTCACAGA